CGGTCAAAGGTCTGTGGTCTGCGATTAAGAACTCCTGTCTCGAGCCATACTCATGCGCAGACATGGATGAATTCCATTATTATACTCCATTTCTCAGAAACGACAGCGAGGAGGCCGGGCGGGAAAATCGCGCGACGACGATGATCGCGGTATGCTAGAAAAGAGCGATATGAAAAATGAGCGCTTCAGCTCATATTACAAGGCTCAGCACATCATTCCCGAGGAGGAATGGGATCAGTTCATGGAGGCATTGAGACATCCCTTACCTACCACCTTCCGCATCGCCGGAAGTCGAGAGTACGTGCCTTTCCGTTCTTCCATACCAAACCCAACTGACGGAGGCGTTAGGATTGCCCATGCTCTCAATGATGCTATCAAGAAAACTTATGTGCCGTTGTTGAGCGATGTTGTTTTTGAGGGTGATGTTATACCGCCTCCATCTCGGATTCCTTGGTGCGCCATGTTCCACATGTATGTGTGATGTGTGAGACTGACGCTGTGCCTAACCAGGTATCCAGAAGACCTAGCCTGGCAATTCAACGTGTCCAAGAAAGTTCTGAGGAAGCAGCAAGCGTTCAAAAAGTTTCACTCTTTCCTTGTTCACGAGACTGAAGTCGTACGTGATCCTTCGCCTCGAGTCGTGCGGTCTATGACCCATGTAACAGGGTAATATATCAAGACAGGAGGCAGTCAGCATGCTTCCACCATTGTTCCTCGATGTCCAGCCACACCACAAGGTAAGGTATGCCAGTCTGCTTCCGTAATATTCAAATTATAAATCGTAGCTCTGCAGGTCGTTGACATGTGTGCGGCCCCTGGTTCAAAGGTAACCCATTTGTTACGCCATTACATCCGTCCTTGATGGACCTTAGACAGCGCAATTATTGGAAGCTCTGCATGCGCAAGATACTGCAACGGCAACTTCTATTCCTCCAGGTCTTCTGATAGCGAACGACAGCGATAGCAAGCGGGCGCACCTTCTCATTCACCAATCTGCGCGTCTTCCCAGTCCGGCTTTCATGGTCACAAATCTAGATGCGTCAATCTTTCCTATCCTAAGACTTCCCGTGACAACTGGGGATCCTCGCCGTGGCATCAAGAAAACTGCGAATCAACTCCTGTTTGATCGTATTTTATGCGATGTGCCTTGCAGTGGTGACGGCACACTGCGAAAGAATATTGGCATATGGAAACGGTGGCAGCCTATGGATGGGAATGGCCTACACAGGTCCGTTCCGTACATGTGCTCATCCTTCACCAGCTCATTTTTGGCAGCCTCCAAACCCGCATTCTGCAGCGGGCCATGCGCATGCTGGAGCCTGACGGTCGTATTGTTTATTCGACTTGCTCACTCAACCCCGTCGAAAACGAAGCAGTTATAGCAGCTGCTTTGAACTCAAATCCTGGTGAGTGATTCAAAACCATTACAGATCGATTATTGGAGTATGCTGAGGCATGGTGCAGATTTCCAGTTAATTGATGTTTCGGCTCAGTTGCCGGAGCTGGTAAGACGACCAGGCATAAGTTCGTGGGCACCCACCGTCAATCGCACAATAAATACAACTTTCAAAACATGGGATGCCTATAACGAAACTCTGACGGAGGAACAGCGAGCAGACAGCAAGATGTCGGAGACCCACTGGCCGCCTATTAACGCGGAGTCCTTGCAGTTACATCACTGGTAAGTTTCACCTTGTGCTAGTTGACAACGTCCTCTGACCACGAGGTTTCGCAAGCATGCGAATATATCCCCATCTTCAGGACACGGGTGGATTCTTCGTTGCTGTGCTCGAAAGAAAGCCGCGACAAGGTAATACCAGTGTTGCAGTGTAGGTTCCAGCGGCATCTTTTCCACAATTATTTCTTATGCCTGTCCAGGAAAAGAGATGCGGAGGAAGCTGAGATCACTGTCCCAGAAGCCAAAAAGGTTAAGCTTGACCTTGGTGGTCTCCCAGAACCCCAACCAAGTACTTCATTTCCGCCTACACCAATGTCCGAGGACGATAGTTCACGCCCGTTGGTGTTGGACACCGTCGAGGCAGATGCGCAGGCTGTGACTGACACGAAGAAAACGACATTCAAGGGTAAACCCAAGCTCTCGGATCCCTCCTTCAAGGAAATGCCCTATACCTTCCTCGAACCCAATGATCCGACCTTGATATCTTGCATGTGCGTATTTCTGGATCATCGCCATAATCTTCAAACTCCAATTCACACTATCACAGAGATCAACTTAATCTTACAGCCAGCTTCCCATCGTCGAACGTCCTTGTCCGCAACCCGGAAGGCGATGCGGTACGATCTTTCTATCTTACAAACAACCTTGTGAAAGCTGTCGTTCTGAACAACGACTACACTCGCATGCGCCTGATGACGAGCGGGACAAAGGTCATCACCAAACAAGAGGCGGGACGGGGGCTTGAAGCGCAGTTCCGCGTTCTTGGCGAAGGTTTACCTGTCGTTCTGCCGTATATCGACCCGAGTGTAATATTGGACGCTGAGTTTGCCACTCTGAAGACTCTTTTGATGACGTACTATCCACTCTGCACGTCGTTTTCGGACTCGTTCCGATCTGTCATTGAGAACAGAAGTATGGCTCTTGCAATAATCATGGAATAGACTTGCTCACGTCATGTTGCAGGTCCAGGGAGTCATATCGTCCGATTCCTGGCTGGTCAGTCAAATGACTCGACGTAGGTATTTTATACTTTGATACGTGCATCTAGCTGATGTCAACAGGCTGTCACACGACCTCCTTGTACCTTTGTGGAAGTCCAATGTATCCGTAACTCTCATGATCGACAAGAAGGCCAAAAGGTTCGTTTGAAATATTTTGTGTCCAATTTTCCTGGGTAACCCATCGATTGTTCTTAGTGCGCTCAGTTTACGACTTTTCGGTGAAGATATAACAACTGCTGCGCGTGATGGTGGAAAGAAGGCTCCTCAAACATCCCAGCTACCACAAAATACAGGCGACGCAGTCCCGGACGAAGGCGCCGATAACGAGGATGAGGATGCAATCCTCGAAGATGAAGGCGACAATGAAGCAGAGTAATACTAATCGGGAGTTGATTCCGTACGTTTGCTTCCCCGGCGTCGTCGGGGCTGCTCTTGTATCTGACTTCGTGGTGTGACCCTTCGGCAAGCCGTGTTGCAGATATTGTATTGTCGCACTCTTCCAATGGTTGTGTTGCGATTGTAATGAACTCTTCTGAATTTTCACTGTGAGTGGTTTGCGCTTCAAAACGGAGCTTGACCAGAGCTATTATGTCGTCGTTCACGATGACTTTTCAATAAGTAGATCGAGGACACGACGGGTACACAAGTACTATAGTGTCGGGCGCTGCTCAAAGACAACAAGTATGTTTATACCACAACGCAACTTACGACAAAAATCCTCCTGTTCCCTGTAGATTATTCAACAAAGATTTACAGCGTGGTAGTTTGATGGTACCACCCTCACACGCGAGGGGGTCACCAGTCAAAGTTCAAAGCGCCACATAAGCACACCCACAGGCTGCCGTGTCAGGAACGCACTCCTGTGTCCCTCCTTCCCTAACCGTCTCTGAGGTCGACAAAATCTTAGCCAGTGGTCAACCGACTCGCGTTTATGATTGACATCAATGTTTCCTTCCATTCCTCCAGCCCTGCTGCCTCTGAAAGCTAGGGACATCCTCGATGCTGCCAATAGGTGACCCCAAGTACTAGCCTTGCAGTAAGATCAAGAACGACGGGAAGCTGCGCCTATAAATGAAAATCGGCAAACACCCTGCGAGTATACATTCAATGATACTGCGTACAAGAGGGAGGTGGGACTGACGCTGTCTAAGCTCGAGTCTGTGAGGGGGGATGGCTGGAATTTTTGAATTTGGAAAATGCTGATGATGATAGATACTAGTCGCCCATAGACGGACCTTTATCGAAATCGCTCCTTCTAACAAAGGATATTAGATACAGATTTGATGACTTTTGCTCGTCCGATTTGAAAATTGCGGTCAAGTGACAAGCGAAGATCTCGTGCACACACCCAGTCCGCAACTTGGAAGTTGGAGGGCTACATTGCCAGAAAGATGAGAAAACGGTGCATGGAAGCCGACGCTCCCGGAACAGCCGGGGTAATCGGAATGTACTAGTGCTGCAGAGCGCTAAGCATGAACATCGCCCGGATGATCGACTCCTCAATAGCATCCGATAGCAATCGAAATCAAACCCAACATGGCAAGCCCACGTACTCAGTGTACGTATTCAGCATCATGCTCGACATGCGCTACACCTAGTACCATACCCACAGTGATAGGGATCGCCCGCAATATATCATGTGTCAGTCAAGTATCAGTTCCGTGGATTTCGAATGACGAAGAGTGAGGCAAAAAGGGCCAACTAAAGCTGAAACCGTGACGAGCTGTGGCGTTGCTGCCGTGGTTCCGGAGGGAGACAAGGGAACATGGCAGAATCTATGCGCGCGAGGACTTTGTTATGTATAGTACGTCAGTTTGAAGTTAGAATTTGAGCCAATTGTTGATGTCGATGGATTAATGTAACATGTGACACCATATATTAATAACTCCACTGGCACGTGCGTGACGCCCCATTACTTATTCTCTACTGAGGGTTGCGGCTTGAGCTTGAACCGCGACATGCATGATGCAATCTCTTTCAGCTCAAGCTCACCACCTCCAGGGAATGGACCCTTCGCACATGAGCAACTATGTGCTTCATGGTTATCTCGGGCTCAGAAAAATAAAACACTCCGACTGCAGTATGTACGTTATTTGGTGAACTGTTCTACAATGTTGTCATTCTCGCACCACACCCTGCTCGGAGATTTGGTCCGCAGGTGGTTCCTTCTGTACACTAAGACTGAAGTATAGGAGTTGTAGTACGACTCCTGCAGATGCGCTGCACGAGAAGTTGAAGAAGCTAAACCACGACATAATCTTGAGGCCCAGGGATGTCCGAGTCAGTCGCCCCTTCAATTTGCTTCCCCATTTCTCATCCCCCTGCCACCTTCTAACTTTCTTTAACCACAATAATAGACTTTGGCGCGGATCGCCACTGACACCGCCTCTGTTATTATTTCACTCCAAAACTGCATAGAGTTTGCAGGGGCCCTGACGCTCGTTCTCTAACTCACTGAAGTAATATGTGAATGTATTGTATGACCCGCGGGATCCGTATTTGGTTCTGACGCTCGCCAAACCCTTCTAGCAGGTGACTACCAATTAATTCCTGAAACGAGTTTACCTCGAGTTGATTTGTTGGATGCGGCTCGGCAATCTGCAGGCGAATGTCAATCGTCGAGTCAGTTTCCGATGGATGAGACGCCTGAAATATGGCTGTAAGGAACGTGGTCAACGTTCGTATGGTTTTAAAAGACATGCGGCCAAACGCTACCGCAGTACCCTAGTGCCATCCTGAACGACCCTCCTAAATCGCGATGAATACAAGGTGCGTAATATCTAGACAGGATCCTCGTGACATATTTTCCAACATTGATAAGTAGAAAGAAAAATATTGTCCTTTTTGGGCCAGCAGGGGCAGGCAAAAGCTCACTCGTCAATCTCATGGCGGGAAAGGACGTAGCAGTCACGTCCAATGATACGCAACGCTGCACATTATACTGGAAACAATATCCCATCAAATTCGGCGGCGAATCTTATATGGTGTTCGATACCGCTGGACTCGATGAACCACAGCTGAATATCACAGAATACCTCAATGCTGTCGAGAATGCCTATGGGCTCATCCAGTATTTGGAGGCACAAGGGGGCATTGATTTGCTTCTGTTCTGCATGCGCGCAGGCAGACTCACTGAGACGCTTCGGAACAATTACCGGCTCTTTCACGAATTCCTCTGTGACAAGAAGATTCCAGTCGTTGTAGCGGTCACACACCTCGAAACCGAGTCCGTAATGGATGAATGGTGGGGGAGGAACGAGAGAACCTTCCAATCTCAGCAGATACATGTCGTTGGTCATGCATGCATCACGACCAAAAACGATTTCCGAAGCCTGTATGAACAATCACGCGTCATAGTCCGCAACCTTGTTAAACAGTACACTGCCGACGGGCAGAGGCAAGCTTGGATAGGAGGAAACAGCATGTTCGTGTCGTTGATGCGTAAACTGAAGCAGCTACTTGTAGGGAATTTGCTCGTGAAGAGGGGTACCATCCCTCGCCTCATCAAGAGGTGCGGTATGTCTCCAGACCTTGCTAAAGAGTTAGCTAGGATGATCGATAGAGTGTAGAAGGAGCTACTTAACCTCTCGTGTCCGATAACTTGTGCTGATTCGGCTGTAGACTTTGTCCTTGCCGGTGTGTCTTACGTATCCTACTTACCCTAATGTCATGTATCCATACTGAAGTCAATTCTTGCCGAGCTGTCATATTGAACGAATAGATTACAGGGTCATGTGAGAGTCAGGTACTACAGAAACATGTCTACGTAGAGCTTTGAGACAGGCTTCGACAAACTACATTGTGCGTAAGGATATACCACGCGTACGTCACTTCACCGACAGCAAGACGAGAGTAAGTTAACGAACACAAGAAAAGTCAAGTAGCTAATTCTATCTCGTCTTTTTGATCCTATCAGCTAGCTCATTCGCGTCATCTGAAGACATACCACAACGCCGTGTGAAGAAATGGACAATATCATTCGTCTCTTGCAAACTCCCATTCCCTACAAGTGGCCCCTTTAGCTTATGCCTGTCGTCGGTAAACTCCTGGACAAGGTTGTGGATCTTTGCGCGCGACTCTTCATACAGGTTTGGGCGATTGCCTTTGATGGCGGTGATGCACGCATGATCATCAACGCGGATGTTCCAGTCCCGGAGCGTTCCACTGTTCTTTTTCCACCAGTCGTCCATTGCTCCCTCCTGCTCGAGGTGCGTGATCACTACAACGATTGGAACCTTCTTATCGCAGAGGAATTCGTGAAAGAGCATGTAATTTTTCTGAAGCGTATCCGCGACTTCGCTTGGGCGAATACAGAACAGAAGCAGATCAATGCTCCCTTGTGTCTCCAAATGCTGGATGAGTTTACAAGCATCCTCGACAGCATCGAGGTATTCTGCCTTTTTCAGCTGTGGTGCCACAAGTCCAACGGTATCGAATACCATATAAGATCTGCCGTCGAATTCGACTGGATATTGTTTCCAGTGCAATGTGCAGAGTTGAATATTGTTGGACGTGTCTGCTACGTCCTTTCCCGCCATGAGGTTGACGAGTGAGCTTTTACCTGCCCCCATCTGCCCAAAGAGCACAATATTTTTATGCGTGCTTGTCGAAGTTAGGAAGATACAGATACAAAAAGTACATGAAAACGACGTACCTTGAAGTCGTTTTATTGGTGCCTCTGCGGTTCACACCGCGAATCCCTCTCTCATTCGACAGGCGACACTGCTCGATGAGTTTGCAGACAGTGAGGTATGACTCGTCGCGACGCTCCGGGAGCTTAGGACTTGCATTCTTGTGGGACATGGCTGTGGTGACACATGCGTGGCCAGCAAAGGTCATCCCGTGGTTCGAGATGATTCGCTCATTTTTTCTCCACCAAGCTTCCATGTCTGGTTCATGGTATTCCAAACCCGTGACGACAAGGGCGATTGGAACTCTCATCTTGACTTGGGAGCGAATCAAGTCGTAGTTCCGGCGGAGTGTCCGAATCACTCTCTCACCCCGCACACAGTACACGATGAGATGAATGCCGCCTTGCATCATCAGAGTTCGAATGAGCGTCTTTAACACTTTTCGAGCTTGCATATTAGGGACTGTACCTCCAGGGCCCTCATCGAGACCTGCGATCTAGTTCAGTAACAGCCACAAAAGGCGGCGAACTGGACCGACCGGCAGTATCGAAAAGCTTTACCTTCAACTTCAACGGAATCGAAATCTCAGTCTCGTATGCGTTGGTTTCAGTCGTGCATCCCATAGTATCAGAGGATACCCGCGCCGTGTACTCCCTAGTGATCAAATTGATCAAAGAACTTTTACCAGCTCCTGCTTCTCCGAAAACGATGACATTGCACGTATCTGTGCCGTTGTGAGCAGGCCCTGGTGTGACGGACACCTGATTTCAAGTCAACATCACGCTGAGGAATGATAACCAAACACCACTTACAGTCTGCAACATTGCGAAGATGACTCGACTCGAGACAAGAGAGCAAAAAAGTTTTGATTTGCGTGTTCGAGGAATCTGATGGATTTGAAGCTGATGCTTCATGTAGTATTCCCGGGCCCGACGCCAGATGTGAAATCAACTAGGCGCATGGATTCAGCATGTTCCAGCGACTCGGACATGCGAGAAAAGCATTGAGTGATAATGCAGCTACTACTAGCGCTTGAGCTCATAACTTGCTTCTCACATTGGGCATCATATGATACTGCTGCTAGCTGCAGCAGCGAGGATTTAATCATTCGGTTGTGCTGCGTGCTTCAAGAAGTTAAGTTGGTCCCCCAGAACAGTGGCAGCGCACGGCATACCCCGAAATTGCTACCTGAAGGCTCTGGCCTCCACTGCTATCCGATAATCCTATCCCTAACAACAATCCCTTTTGCGCATGGCAACTCAGCACCTTTCATAGTTGCGTGTACAATCCTCATGCCAATCAGTTGTGGTATGTCTTTTATTATCGTTTGTTCATTTCCGATGCTTCCTCGAGCCCGCCGTGTCTAGTGTTAGGATCAATCTTCCTGGTTCCGCTCTTTCGTTCTCCATTGTCTTGTCTTGCGGCCGAGAGGCCGCCTTTGTATAATCTATCTTTACTTTATCACTCCCTGCAAATTCCAGTGCACTTCGCTGCGATACTGCTCACATTCCTTCCCTTGACCCTCCCGGGCCACACCGCCGTATAATGATAACTCAGCGATCTGTGGCCACTTTCATTAACATTGATTCGCTTGGTCACAACTCTTCCTTTCATTTTAGCTGTTGTGCATACTCAACGTTCACCGTATGTCACGCATTCTATGACGAGTGGCATGCCCATTTGTACCATCGCGAACCGCAAGCTCATTTTTCATCCTCGTGAGCACTTTTGACCTTTCTTTACCATCCTGGACAGGATTACTCGTCCTCGGCCCTAGACCCTTCACCTGTCGCATTGTCGTCATCGTTAGGTTGCTCGTGGCACTCCGGAACATGCTAGCTGGAGGTAGCCTAGCTCCAGCAGTGAGGAGTCTAGATTACCTACACATTGCAGTGGGGCCAAAGCTGGAATGCAGGTATCTGCTCCTGATATAACCAATCTCGATTCTCCCCTCGCTTAAGTACCACGAACTGCGTGTCGATATCATCCACCGATAATAAGCGATACATGGCTTCTAATCGTGTACGATCATAGGCCTATCGCTACAGCCGGTGACAAAGGCTTCTCGTCCAGGGTCTAGCAATGACAACGGAAATGAAATTTGCACGATGGAAGTTCGAGCTCCAAAATTCCCCAATCGTTCTGAACGCAAGGACGCAAATGTGGAAGATGCGATGGTGATGAATGGTCTAGAGCAGTCCGATTATGTATGATATGCGGACAGCAATATGAATGATAGCGAGGATAGCAGGGAAATAAAACAGCAAGAAATCAGAAAGACGTGAGTAGAGACTGTACCCACGCATTTTGTTCTATGCGTGGTCCGAACTCTTCGACGCATCGCTGCAGTTCAGCCAGCTGATGTAACTTGGTTAAGACTATCGTCCGCTTAACTGTTATGCCAAAAGGTAGTGATACTGAAAGCTTATGTTTCAGTATCACGAACGGTATTTAGGTAGATTATGGGAAATCTAGTAAGCCAGGGTGCTTACAGTCGAGCCTCGTGCAACACATCGTTCATCACAACGTCCTCATCGTCAGCCGAAGACTCCGAGGCCCACTTTTTCAGTAACTCCTCAATAATTTGGATGCCTTCCTCGGTGACTTCGTCTGAGCGCTCGGGTTCTGATTGCTGTCCTGCTCAGCAAACATCAACGTGACAGATTCCTGACAATTTTTTTAAACAATTACCAGTCGCGAAATCTTCTAGCTCGTCAGATTTCAGTTTTGCGAGTTAGAACACTTTCAGTAGACATTGTAAAACAATCCTATCCAGAACTGGCTAACCACATTGTCAGAAAAGTTGGCCAGTTTGTTGCGCAACGTGGATACCGAAGCTCTAGCCCGAAACGCCTTCGCCCAAAAGTTTCAGAGAAAGAAGCTTGATTGGAAAATCGAAACAAACCTGGGTCGACCTTGAACAAGAGCGTGATATCCCTCTCGCGTGGCGCAGATGCATATTCCTGATTCACATGAGCCACGATGTAGGGGTTTTTCACGTGAGGAAGCTCGTGGTCGAGGGCAGTCAACTCGTAAAGGTGAGTAGCAAACAAGCAGAAAGCGCGGATGTGGGACGCAATGTGCCTTGGGTACTGTCAGGCGCTACTGCAGGTAATAAAAGTAATTCTCTTACTCGGATATAGACCATGCGAGGCCGAATCCGTCGTACGTTGAAGTTCCTGAAGACAAAGCCAAATATCGACAATACGTGCATTATCATCTAACAGAAGACATACCACAGCCGAGCTCATCAATGATAATGAGAGAATCTTCAGTAGCAGACTGAATGGTAAGCGACAATCAAACTAAGGAAATATTTGAGTAGATGCTACTTACTCGGAGGATCGAGGCAGTCTCAAGCATCTCGGACACGAAAGTCGAGACGCCCTTCAACTGACCGTCGCCTGCACCTACTCGGCAAAGCACGAAATCAAAGATGGCAAGGGACAAAACATCCAGTTTGTGCTATGAGAGTAATGACTCCAACATCTAAGATGGGTTGAGAATGGCGTTCGCGAACGATAGCATGGCTGATGCACCTAATGGATATACGTACTCTTTCCGCCCATTTTAGGATCAGGTTAGCTTTGATAAAACGGCACAGTAGCAGCACTTACTGATGATCTAAAGTTCACCCTCGCCTACAAGGCGGCACATGAGACATGTAACAGTGACAGTGCGATAAATCTTACCCTTCACATCTCCACATCATTTGGAATGAAGCTGATGTCGTCCTGAACTTCAAGGCAAAGATGCCGCGCGTTGCGCAATACTAAGCCGCTAGTGCCTGATGTGCACTGATCAATTCCTGCGTCGAACATCGTCTCCTAAACTTGCCTTTCTCCGGGACCTTTGGCTCCACGTATGCCTCGGGAGCGTTCACAGAAACATGAGCGAAACTGGATGATCGTCGCCACGTGCGCAAGCTCCAGTGATGGGGCTCGCCTGAGGATAATATCCAGGTGTGCAATGATGTGGTCAAGATTCTCTAGTACGGGAGTATATGTTGCTGCAATAAGGAAAAGCATCTGTGGATGCCAAAGTAGCAGTGAAAGGGTATCTTACATGCAATGCTGACGACTTCCTTCGCCAACCCGCTAATATTCATGCGTGGTCTCTTGATAGTCCATAGAAAGTGCTTTCAGCTTCGTAGCCGTAAAGTAAACTCCGCTCTTGACAGTCCCTAGTTCGATATATTTGCTGTTCCGCACGACGGTTCCCGCGTCCTGATGCGTATGCGAGCTCATGACATCTCGCAGTACGGAAAGCGCACGTTCATCGTCACCTGAAGCAGTGTTCATAGTTCTGGGAGTTCTCAAGGTGCAGCTTCTTGCCGAGATCAAGATCCTTGCCGGTTGGACGATGTGGAAATGTGCGTCGTTTTCTCGAAAGTCTGGAACAGGACATGCAACTGAAGAGGCAACTACAGGAGATGGGACTGGAGATGGGACTGGAGATGTGACTGAAGACGCAAGGTTTGGAGCAGAGAGAGGATGTCTCCATTGCTGTAAAGGAGTTGAGGACTACAGCCAGAAATATGTCGGAGAGCATTGGTCAGCACTTATGAGTCCCCTAATTATGACGGTGCTTACATGTTGTGTTCGAGTCCTGGAATCAAAGGAAACCATGGGAAAGTGCATGTGCAGAAGCGGGAAGCATCCAGACCTAAAAGAACTCGATATTCAACCATCAGTCGTCTCTGACCTGGTAGATGCATGTTAGGCGTGAGGAAAATCGGGCATGGGATGCAGATATCCGGGAGATCAGGATGTAAATGTCAACTGAGGGGAGGTTGTTCCACGGGTTTAAAACTAGACACTCACTAGCAAGGTTCTGCGCTCGGCTGCCCCAGTCGACTCACATCCCTTCATCGATATGTGCATCGACTTGATCATCAAGCCTCTCTGCTACTCGACTCGACTTTGGTAGTCTCATCAAGTGCGTAATGCGTTACAAAGGCGGAAGCTGCCAGCGCCTGACTCAGCCAGCCCATATCTTAGTAACGCGTACGAATTGATTCATATTGATGGCGTCAAGCACTGATCATGAAGTCAGGCAGCCGTGCGCAGGATGTAGTCTCGCTGCAATTCACACGTGAGAAAGATCGATGAAGAACAAAGACTCGCTTCGCAACTTGGGGGTTATCGGCAGCCCCCGACCACCATTACCGTAGTGCATTGCGGCTTGAACCGACATGCTGCATGCATGATGCAATCTCCACTTTGACTCAAACTCACTGTTCTCAAAACCTCCGGGGAACGGACCCCTTCGCAGTCTGGCAATTACACGCCACGAGTACGATGCGCTTCATGCTTATCTCAGGCTTAGACAAAGCACTCTGCTCGGAGCAGTCTGTACTAGTTAGTTCAATTTTGCTTGTACGCTTGGACTCAAGTGTCGGAGTAGTATGAGATGCGCTGCATGAGAAATTGAAGAAGCTAGGCCACAACATCATGATAATCTTGAGGCTCAGAAATGTCAGTCGCCCCTTCAATTCGCCTCTCCATTTTGCATTTTCCTGTCGCCTTCTAACTTTCTTTAACTATATCTTCGGGACGAATCATACGATCACCACAGACACCGCCTCTGTTATTTTGCCCAAAAGTTGCATGGAGTTGCAGGGGATCTGACGCCCATTCCCTGACTCACTGAAGTAATATCTAAATGTATCATATGACTCGTGGAAATCGCATTTGGTTTTGATGCTCACCAACCTCTTTCAACAGGGTGACTAGGAATTAACTTCTCGAATTGTACTATCAACACGAGTTTGCAATCTGCAAGGGAGTGTCAATTGTTGAGTCAATATCCGATCAATGAGGTGTGGTACAACGTGGTTAACGTTCGTGTGGCTTTAAAATAAACGCGGCCAAATGCTACAGTACTACCCTAGTGCCATCTTGAACATTCCTCCTCCTAAATCGCAATGGCCGAAAGGTACGTAGCATCTAGAGAGGAGCTTCGTGCCGTATTTTTCCAACGTTGATAAGTAGGAAGAAGCATACAAATATCGTCCTCTTTGGGCAGGTAGGGGCAGGCAAAAGCTCACTCGTCAATCTCATGGCGGAAACGGATGTAGCAATCACATCCAATGACATGGAGTCCTGCACATTGCACTGGAAAGAACATCCCATCCAATTCGATGGCGAGTCTTATAAGGTGTTCGATACCGTTGGACTCGAAGAACCACAGTTGGGAATTCAGCAATATCTCGATGCTATCGAGAATGCCTATAGCCTCATTCAGGATTTAGAGAAACAAGGCGGCATTGATCTACTTTTGTTCTGCATGCGTGCAGGCAGACTCAATTCTACCCTTCGAAGTAACTACCGCCTCTTTCACGAATTCCTCTGCGACAAGAAGGTTCCCATCGTTGTAGTGATCACGCACCTCGAGGGCGAAGTCAGAGAAATGGATGACTGGTGGAAGAGAAACGAAGATTCCTTCCGTCGCTGTGGGATCCATGTCGCTGGTCATGCGTGCATCACTGCCATCAAAGACAATTATGAAAAGCAATATGAAGAATCGCGTACCACAATCCGTAAGCTTGTCAAGGATTTCGCTGCCGACGGGCAGAACCTAGCATGTGCTCCATGGAACGATCCGAACGGAGGAGACAACTTGGACTGGTTCGTGTCGTTCACGTGTAAGCTGAAGGGGCTACTTAAGGGGAATTGGAAACTGCATGCGAAGAAGGACGTGGTCCCCCGCCTCGAGCGTTGTGGTATGTCTCGAGATATCGCAAAACAATTAGCTCGTAGGATCAAGAATGTTGTGGTAGAAGGAACTACTTAACTTCCCCTGTTCGATAACTCGCGCTCATCCAGCGATTGTAGACTTCTAGATTGTTGTTGCTAATATGTCGTCGTCATACGTATTCTTACTTGTAATAATATTATGCATGCCAGCTCATCAAGACAAAGATAGCTGACTGTATAATACCGGCAGTCATCCTCACTACTGGCAGCAAATCTACACATTACTTAATATCCCGAACATCTGTACTAAGTTGATTAAGAGGATCAGCCCCTTGATGTGCTTGGGCGGGACTGCATGGATTTGAAGCTAAGTCACCCTTAATAAGTAATGTATACTTTTCCTGACGCATCCAGCTTATTTTACCGGCCTCCAGACCCGCATTCTGTAGCAAGCCATGCGCATGCTGGGGCCTGACGGTCGCATTATTTATTCGACTTGCTCACTTAACCCCGTCGCAAACGAAGCAGTTATAGCAGCTGCTTTGAACTCTAATGCTGGTGAGTGACTTCAGGCCGTTACAGGTAGATTATTCGAGCATGCTAACGCATAATATAGATTTACAGTTAATCGATGTCTCGGCGTAGTCGCCAGACACAGCTACACAGCTGGTAAGTTTCACCTTGTGCTAGTTGCATCATGACGTTCTCTAACCACAACTCGACTCGGTTTCGCAAGCATGCGAATATATCCCCGTCTTCAGGATACGGGTGAATTCTTTACCGTCATACTCGAAAGAAAGCCGCAACAAAGTGGTCATACCAATGTTGTAGCGTACGTTTCAGCGCCATATTTTCTACAATTATTTCTTACACTTGTCCAGGAAAAGAGATGCGGGGGAAGCTGATATTTTGTCCCGGAAGCCAAAAGGCTAAGCTTGACTTTGGTGGTCTGCCTACGCTAATGTCAAAAGACGACAGTTCACGTCCATTTATATCGGATGCTCTCGAAGCAGATGTAGAGGCTGCATCCGATAAAGAAAACTACGTTCAAGGGTAAACCCAAGCTCTCGGACGTCTGAGCTCGAGTCTGTAAGGGGGAATGGCTAGAATTGTTAGATTTGGCAAACGTTTGCGATAATCGCCCATAGACAGGCCTTTATCGAAGTCATTCCCTCTAACGACAGATATTAGATACGGACTTGTTGACTTTTGCTCGTCCGATTTGAAAATCGCGATCAAGCGAGGATTTCGTGCCCACATCCAGTCCGCAACTTGGAGGCCTACACCGCCAGAGAAAAGAGAAAACGGTGCATAGGGGCTGATGTTCCCGGCACAGCCGGGATGTGGGGTGACCGGTGAGCACTAGCGCTGATCGCCTGGATGATCGAGCTCGGTAGCATCAGATTGCAATCGAAATCATACCCAACATAGCAAGCCCACGTACCCAGGGCAATGTCGTATTTAGAATCATGCATCATGCTCGACATGCGCTACACCCAGTACCATACCCCCTAAGTATCATTTCCGTGGATTTCGAATAACGAAGAGTGAAGAAAAAGGGCAAACAAACCATGAGCTCAATGCCATCGCCGCCAGCCTGGGTTCTGGAGATAAGTAACCTAATTCAAGATCAGTCACGACTCACCAACTCCAAGTCGTTTTACAAAACGTTTCTCTGAGACTTGTCCACCGTCACGAGTACTTTGACATTCAATCGATTTTACACGAGGAAGACTCCAAGGGATCATGATAAAATACATGCGCGCGAGGACTTTGTGATGTATACACGTGGAATCCCCCTCGAGCCCCGGGCAGTTTGAAGTTTGAATTTGAAATGTGGTGCCATTGATGCTATGACACTGAATTTATACATATTATGTAATCTGCTTCCGTCATTGACACGGCGACGACTCGCAGTCACTTCAAGTTGTCACTATCATCCAGAAAGTCTGAGATTTGTGGAGTCCGAGAACTCGAGTCCGCCGGACGATTCGTGGATCTGATTGGATGCCCTCCTCACCAAGTTCTACCATCCATCTCTTCACCAACTTTGAGATTCCACTATATGCACATGCAAGTTAATTCATTTAGGCTTTGCATAAAGAGCAAAAACTCGCATCGCAACTCGGGGGTTGTCGGCAGCCATTACCATCAGGTTGCGGCTTGAACCGACATGCTGCGGCATGCATGATGCAATCTCTACTCTGACTCAGACTCACTGTTCTCAAGACCTCCGGGGAACGGACCCTCGCCACATGGGCAATTATACAGCACGATATCCAGGGTACGATGGGCTTCATGAGAAATTGAGGAAGCTAGACCACGGCTTAAATGCTTGAGGACTTAGGAACGTCAGTTGCCCCGTTAATTTAGCTCCCTATTTCGCATCTTCCTATCGTCTTTTAACTTTCTTAACTATATCCTCAGCACGACGATCGCCACAGACACTGCCTCTGTTGTTTTGCCCCAAAGCTGCATAGAGTTGCAGGGGCTAAGTTGACGTTTGTTCTCTAACTCGTTGAAGTAATCTCTGAATGTGGTTCGTATTTGGTTTTGACGCTCGCTGAGTTCTTCCAACAGGTGACTAGGGATTAATTTCTCGAATTGTACTATCAACACGAGTCTGCCTCAAGTTAATTTATGGGATGCGGTTCAGCAACCCGTAAGCGAATGACAATCGTTGAGTCAGTATCCGATCGATGAGGCGTCTGAAGTATGGGTGCAAGGAACGTGGTCAGCGTTCGTATGGCTTTAAAAGAAATGCGGTCAAGCGCCACATACTGGTATCCTGATACCATCCTGAGCACCCCTTCTTAATTGCGATGGATGCAAGGTATGTAGAATCTAGACAAGATCTTTGTGCCGTATTTTTCCAACAATCATCAGTAGGAACAAGCATAGAAATGTGGTCCTCTTTGGGCAGGGAGCAGCAGGCAAAAGCTCACTCGTCAATCTCATAGCTGGCGAGAACGTAGCAGAGACATCCAGTGACGCGACACACTGCACGCTGCAGTGGCGATCATATTCCGTCAAATTCGATGGCGATTCTTATAACGTGTTCGACACTGTTGGACTCGATGAACCACAACTGGGAATCCCACAGTACCTCAATGCTATTGAGAATGCCTATAGCCTCATCCAAGATTTGGAGACACAAGGCGGCATTGATCTACTTCTGTTCTGCATGCGCGCAGGCAGACTCACTGCTACGCATCGAAACAATTACCGACTCTTTAATGAGTTCCTCTGTGAAAAGAAGGTCCCCGTCGTTATAGCGATCACATACCTCGAAAACGAACCCGGGGGAATGGATACCTGGTGGGAGAGAAACGAAGCAACTTTCAATCACCAGGAGTTCTATGTCGCTGGTCATGCGTGCATCACCGCCATCAGAGGCAATTGTCCAGAACGGCATGAGCAATCGCGCACCGCGATACGCAACCTTGTCAAGCAGTTCACTACTGACGAGCAAAAACGAGCATGGAAAGGAGGAGACAACCTGTTCGTGTCGTTCATGCAAAAACTGAAGGGGCTGCTTTTAGGGAATTCGCGTTCGAAGAAGGATATTGTCCGTCGCCTCGTCAAGAGGTGTGGTTTGTCCCAGGATGTCGCAAAGAAGTTAGCTGATAGGATTAAGAAAGACGTGGTAGAAGGAACTACTTGACTTCCCGTGTTTGATAGTCATTTCGGTTATAGACTTTCAAAATGACCTTGCCAGTACGTCATGACCTACACGCATAATGATTCTACCCTTCGAAATTCTCCTAATAATATATCATGCATGTGGAATTCAAAATAAGTACCCCACGCAGTGGCTAACGAGATTCAGCCATTCTCGCTGACCGTCGATTGCGATGTGGGCCTAGTCTTCAGTAGCAGTTAAGCAGGGCTTGATAACAGGAAGATAGTCGCGAACATCGACCCCGAGGGGGAGTGGAAGCAGACCATAATATAAATATAGTAGAAGGACTCCACCACTGTCTTTCCAATGGTCTGAACAAGGGAGACTATTACCAAAGCGATCAAAAAAGTGGCACCGTTACACTCGCAAAATCATGCGACGACCGGATGGAATGCCGGTTTGTACCCCGTAAGAAGAGAAAAAGCTATACACTTGCATTATACAGAAATAAAGATGGGATATAAATGGGATAAGATGCACAGTAAGATGAGCATAATTGGTCGATCACGGGAATCCGAGTAGGCATACTGCAACACTCAATGTCCAGAAGCTCCTTCTACCACGTCTTTCTTGATCCTACCAGCTATCTCTTTTGCGACTTCTGGAGGCATATGGCAGCGCTTGGTGAGGCGGGAGACAATATCCTTCCCCACACGTAAATTCCCATTTCCCGCAAGCGGCATCAACGACACGAACAAGTCGTTTCCTCCCTTCTGTGCTCGCTTCTGCCCATCGGCAGCGACATTCCTGACAAGGTCCCAGATCGCGTCGCGTGATTTTTTTTGGAAGGTTGGATCATGATCGTCTTCGATGGCGGTGATGCAAGCATGACCATCGACACGGATCTTCTTCTTACGGAAGATTTCTTGGTTTCTCGTCCACCAGCTCTCCATGTTCTTCTTCTCTCTTTCAAGATTTGTGATCGCCAGGACGATGGGAACCTTCTTATAACAGAGGAAATGGCGAAAGAGCTGGTAATTGCGTTGATGCATAATTTTGAGTCTGCCTGCTGGCATGCAGAACAGAAGAAGATCAATGCCGCCTTCTCTCTCCAATTTCTGAATGAGGTTATAGGCATTCTCGACGGCATCGAAGTACTGTGGGATTCCTAGCTGTGGTTCATCGAGTCCGACGGTATCGAATAACTTAAAAGGTTCGCCATCGAATTCGAGGGGATATTCTTTCCAGTGCGTCGTGCAGGCTTCAATGCCACAGGATGTGCCTGCTACGTCATTTCCCGCCATGAGGTTGATAAGCGAACTTTTGCCTGCCCCGGTCTCCCCAAAGACTACAATGGTGTTACGCTTGGTCCTACTTATCAATATTAGGAAAATACGATACAAAAAGAGTGTAGGGAATACGTACCTCAGGACATTGTGAATAGTGCCTCGCGATGATTCAGTGTGAATCCCTGTGTTATTCGACAAATAACGCTGCTCAATGAGCTTGCAGACAGCGTCGTATGACTGGGCGCGGCGCATGTACATAGATGTCATTGTCTCCGTAGTGATGCATGCGTGGCCGGCGAAGGTCATCCCGAGGTTTGAGATGGTTCGCTCGTTAACTGCCCACCAGTCTTCCATCTCTGGTTTATACGATTCCAAACATGTGACGACAAGGACAATTGGAACTTTCTTCTTCTTTACTTGGGAGCGAATTAACTCGTAATTCCGGCGGAGTGTCCGAACCACTCTCTCGCCCCGCACACAGTACATGACGAGTTGAATATTGCCTTGCTCCGTCAGAGTTCGAAGGAGTTTCCTCAAAATTCTGCGAGCTTCCTTATCTGGGACTGTGCCTCGAGGGCCCTCGTCCAGACCTGTAATCTAATTCAGTAGTAGCCACGAAGAAGGGCGAACCGGACCGACCAGCTGTATCGACAAGCTTTACCTTAAATGTCTCGTCTCGAGTCATCGTAATATCGTACGCATTGGTTCCAGCTGTACATCCCCCAGCATCGGAGGATGTCACTGCTATGTTCGTCCCAGCGATCAAATTTACCAAGGAACTTTTACCAGATCCGGCTTCTCCGCAAATGACAACATTGAACGTGTCTGTGCGGTGTGGTGGTTTCCCGACTTCAGTATAGTTGGGACTATCAACAAATTGAAATGAGCTGGAGGACTGGTTTCAAGTTAACCTGAGCTGAGGTAGAGTCAAATACCACTTACACTCAATGGTTTCTCACCAGGACTCGACATTACAATAATGACTCAAGACAAGAAAGCGAAAGGTGCGTCTTGACTTGTGCGTCCGGGGTTTTTGAGTAGCGTCAGCCCTCCTTCAGCTGAGTCTTCTCGTTAGAACAGGGGTTGGTACGTCCAGGCAGATGACAAAGACGCTTGGATTCAGCATGTTCCGTACACGTGCCAATAAAATTCTGAGAACCAGCGCTGGGCATTGGGGGCGGCGTAACTGCGTGAGCTCATGACGCATATTACAACCACGCTGCCTAAATGCATTGAGCTTCGCACATGCTAAGCTGGTGGTCTAGCTGCAGCGTGACGGTGCGGCTGTGCACTTCAAGGTACGGACCATAAGCCATTCGCATCGCGTTGTTATTAACCTAAGTTAAAAACCAAGTGGTTGCCTAGGGCTATTACTAAGCATGTCATTAACTTGACAAAAAATACATACTCGAGGAGACTGGAGGCAGTGGAGGGTTGTGGGTGAATGGTTGATCACTGCCTCATGTTAATTGCAGGTGCCGGTTAGCGCAGTGACCAGAATGAAGCGCACCAGTAATCGATCGTGTCGTCACTATAGGTACCGTAAATGCGATAAATCTTACCCTTCACCATCTCCACATCACTTGGAATGAAGCTGATGTCGTCCTGAACTTCAAGGCAAGGATGCCGCGCGTCGCACAATATTAAGCCGCTAGTGCCTTATGTACGTCGATCAATTCCTGCGTCGAACATTGTCTTCCGAACTTGCCTTTATCCAGGACCTTTGGTTTCACGTATGGCTCAGGAGCGTGTACAAAAACATGAGCGAAACTAGAAGATCGTCGCTACGCGTGCAGGCTTCAATCACGGGGCTCACCGGAGGATAACGTCTAGGTGTGTAATGATGTGGTCAAGATTCTCTAGTACCGGAGTATATGTTGCTGTACAAAGAAAAAGGCATCTTTGAATGGCGAGGTAGCAGTGAAAGGAGGATCTTACATGTGATGCTGACAACTTCCCTCACCAACCCGCTCTGCGTCCGCTGATATTCATACGTAGTCTCTTGATGGTCCGTGGAAACTGCTTTCCGCTACTCGGTCGTAAAGTAAACTCCGTTCTTCACAGTCCCGAGTTCGATATATCTGCTGTTCCGCATGATGACTTTCGCGTCCTGATGTGAATGTGAGCTCAGGATATCTCGCAGTACGGAAAGCGCACATTTTTCGTCAACCTGAAGCAGTATCCATAATTCTGGGAGTTCTCGAGGTGCAGCTTCTTGTCGAGATCGAGATCCTTGTCGGTTGCACGATGAATGTTCGGCAGCAAGACCATCCCAGATCTAAGAAAATGTCAACCTCTTCGCTATGATTCTGATAGGCGTGATATGAACCTCCACAAGTTTATCTGCCAGAGCTTGCAGACGCTCATCATAGCCAGGCTTGATCGCGTAATTATGATTTTTGAGATCTAGCGTTGACTCGATCATCTCGCCATATTTGACGAGATTATTGACAGTCTGGTAGTAGCACGTGTTAGAAAGGGAGCAGCGAGGATATAATTTGACGAAACAATGGCATGCGCACCTGGAAAGGCTTGGTATAAATTTCATCTATGAGCTTCCGGTGATCCTTGTGTTCGTACTGCACGCCTTCGAGAGTCTCAAGCAAAAGAGGCACTGGGTTGGGTAAGATAAGTCTCACTGAGGACCGAGAACCGAAGCGAGGTACCTTGAGGACTTCTTGATATACCTGTACAATATCCTCAAGAGAAGGGATAGATTTCTTGAATCGCCTACTCAGCCAAGCTTCAGCTTGAAATAATCATCCTGTGAAACGAAAATAAATGACGCCCTTGAAAAAGGGTACTGCAGCGTCCTCCGAGAAGATCTGTCATCCACAAATGTATCCACGTAGTTTTGAGCATCCTGCTCGCGGACAGAGTAGTAGTCTGTGCGATCAAATAGCCAGTTTCAGGAGGCAGGCCGAGATTTCTTCGGAAGTTTGGAAAAGAATGCAACGACACCGGGGTCAGAGGCTGATCTCAGGTCGTAGTTAAATTTCTATCGGTCGATGAGCAAGCGAAGACTCGCCCAGCTCAAGCTCTGTATCTTTTTCCTTCCCATACATGAGAGCCATAACCTGGTTGTCAAAAGCTTAGAAGAAGCAAAAGACGCGTCGCATCACGTGAGGTTTAAGTCTTATTCCATTACTCCCGAAGACCTGACCCAGGTGCCATACGATGATGTCGACTTCATTAATTCAGCGTCAACTTCGAGCCACCTCATGCCACGGTATCGGTATTTGTATTTCAATGTGAAATTCTCCTGTCAAGTCAACTGCCAGTGCTGCAGGTTATAATTACACGTATTTGCTTCCAGTGCTCATCAATCGGGGACTCGAGATAGCTCCGCACTGCACGGCTTGAACTCTAACCCTGGTGAGTGATTTTGGACTGTTACAGATCGACTAGTATTGGAGTATGCTGACGCATGACATGGATTTTCAGTTGATCGATGGTTGCCGGATATTCCTTACGCTTGTCCAGGAAAAGAGATGCAGAGGAAGCTGAGATCCCTGTCCCGGAAGTCAAAAGGGTCAAGTTTGACCTTGGCGGTCTACCAGACCCCAACCAAGTGCTTCATTTCCGCCTGTACCAATATCTGAAGACGATAGTTCATACCCATTGGTGTTGGCTATTGGAGGCAGGTGCACAGGGTGACTAACACGAAGAAAACTACATTCGAAAGTAAACCCAAGCTCTCTGATTCGTCCTTCAAGGAAATGTCCTATACCTTCCTCGAACACAATGATCCGAACTTGATATCCTGCATGTGCGTATTTCTGGATCGTCGCCGTAATCTTCGAACTCCAATTCACACTATCACAGAGATCAGCTTAATCTTGCGGACAGCTTCCCATCGTCGAAACGTTCTTGCCTGCAATCTGCAAGGCGGTACGGTATGATCTTTCTATCTTGCAAACGACCTTGTGAAAGCTGTCGTTCTAAACAACGACTACATTCGCATGCGCCTGATGACGAGTTCATCACCAAACAAGAGGCAGGACGGGGACTCGAAGCGCAGTTCCGTGTTCTTGGTGAAGGTTTGCCCGTCGTTCTGCCGTATATCGACCCGAGCGTAATATTGGACGCTAAGTTTGCGCCTCTGAAGACTCTTTTGATGGCGTACTATCCACCCTGCACATCTTTCTTGGATCCGTTTCGATCTGTCATTGAGAACAGAAGTATGGCTCTTGCAATCATTATTGAATAGACTTGCTCACGTCATGTTGCGGGTCCAGGGAGCCATATCGTCCGATTCCCAGCTGGTCAGTCAAATGACTCGACGTAAGTATTTTGTACTTTGATACGTGTGTCTAGCTGACGCCAATATGCTGTCATACGACCTACCTTTGCGGAAGTCCAGTGTGTCTGTAGCTTTCATGATCGACAAGGCAAAAACGTTCGTTTGAAATATTTCACATCCCGGGTAATTCATTGATTGTTCTTAGTGCGCTCATTTCCGTCTCTTTAGTAAAGATATAACAACTGCTGAGCGTGATGGTGAAAGAAAGCTCCCCAAACATCCCAACTACCACAAAATACAGGCGATGTAGTCCCTGATGAGTGCGCCGATAACGAGGATGAGGATGCAATCCTCCAAAACGAAGGCGACAATGAAGCAGAGCAATACTAATAGCGAGTTGAATTTGCGCGTTTGCTTCCCCGGTGTCATAGGGGTTGCTCTGGTATTCGAGTTCGTTATGCGGACCTTCAGCAAGCGTATCACAGACACCGTCACACTCCCACTGGTTGGAGACTTGGTGATGGTTGTACATTTCTAATGAACTCTTCAGAATTCTCATTGCGAACGGTGCCTACGGTGCTTGATCTATTCAAGTATGATACACATAAACACTCACACGCAGACGATATAGACACAGTCGTGTATCGTTGCCGGCGTGAAACTAATTTCAGGTGTTTGCACGATGCTGCCAGCCTGAGATGAGCTTTGTAACATTTTCGAGTGCATACAAGGATGTTTATATCGGTGTTCTCAACTACTGCTCAGAGAGGTTTTTGACCGTAAATAAATACGTGCGATGTATTAGGAGTACAGTAGAACAATGACTTTACCTGAGGTAGCAATGCTATGACATATCGAAGTACGTTCTGCGTCGGCTGGAGGAATAGGATCAGCCGATTTCATTCGAAGGTTGTCATTAGAGCGCATTGAAAAAATCACAGCGACGAAGAGACTGCTCATCGCGGAAGCAATTGGTAAAGCGTGTTGTTCGAACGAGGACTAGACCTTCGGGTATAGCGAATCCTGGGTCATAATGATGACCAGCATATTCTGCTCAATCGACGTTTAGCTAAGGAACCGTGCTTGGGCTCTCCTGCGATAACATCTTCCGAGTGCATATAGCCAGTCTTAACCTCGAGGGCGCCCTCAAGGCAAGTGGCATGCCTTACAATTTGGGTCATGAACGAAAGCGGATAACGGAGATCCGTGGTCCATCAGCGCTTCAGCAACAAGCTGAGTGAGTGTTGCGAGGGCATCATTGATGAGCTCCCGCAAACTCTTGTCATCCATAAGAACACTCTTGGAGAGCACGAAGGCAACCGGTGATCTGGTTGCGGCATTCAGTGAGGAAGATTCGATCTTCTGAAAGCTGCAGCGCCATCAACATCAGTGCAATGCATATGCCCACCGATTGCTCATATCACATGGTTAACAGACTAGAAAAGGCTTCCATATCTCACTAGACGCAACGCCAACATCGGAACCAGCATTGATACGAAGGTCGCAGCGTGTTTCATGCGAGATTGTCGTTTCGACAGTATTGATGACCCCAACAATGGGCGCCACACTCCAAGCAGTACCACGATGCCACTAGTACTGAGATCGTATCAGCAGTCTCTCCACTCTGGCTGACAAAGACACGGATATCGTCGCAGAAGATGGGAGTGCGAGTTAAATTTATAAATACAAGCAGGTAAAGGTAAAGACGGGCGAGGGACCGAGAACCGAGGATGGAAGGGTTCCGAAGCATAACCCAGCTGAAGACTAATTGACCAGAACTTCGGAAGGCATGGCATGGTTGGGCGAATGGAAGCTGTCCTGGAATGTTGAAATTTGATAAGGGCACAACTGGGCAAAAGGAACCAAGTTTGAAACACAGGAATCTGCAATTATGTAATAGGAAAGTAGCTGTTAAGCAGCATGGTTAATTTATGAGCTCGCGCAGCTACCCCCAATGCCCTTTTCACGTGTACGGAACATGCTGAATCTATGTATCCCTATCGATTTTCACGTCTGGCTGTGCCGACTCCTATTCCAACAAACCGGGGGATAGCAGAAGAGCTAACGCCACTCAAGAGTCAAAATCACCGAATACTCAAGTCAAGACGTACCTTTCGCTTGCTTGTTGAGTCCGAGTCAGAGTCAAGTTACTATGACAATTTCGAAGCCTGCTGGGAGACTCCGACCATCTAGTGTAAGTAGTGTTTGGCCCCCCCTCAGTGTAAGGTTAACTTCAAGCTGAAACCAGTCCTCCGAGTCCGTCCTATCTCAAAGCTCTGCTAATTCCAACGACATTGCAGTCGGGGAACCTCCACATCGCACAGACACATGCAATGTTGTCATTTTTGGTGAATCCGGAGCTGGTAAAAGTTCCTTGGTCAATTTGATCGCTGGGAAGGATGTAGCAGCGACATCCTCAGATACTGCGGGATGTACAACCGGAACCAGTGTGCACGAGATTTTGATTCGGAACGAGACGTTGAAGGTAAAGCTTTTTGATACAGCTGGTTGGTCCCATTCACCGTTCTTCGTGGCTATTACTGAACTAGATGGCAGGTCTCGACGAGGATCCTCAAGGTGCAGTCCCAGATAAGGAAGCTCGAAGAATTTTGAAAAAGCTAGTCCACGCTCTAATGGAGCAAGGCGACATTCATCTCATCATTTACTGTGTGCGGAGTGAGAGAGTGATTCGGACGCTCCGCCGGAACTACGAGTTCATTCACTCCCAAGTCAAGAGGAAAGTTCCAATTGTCCTTGTCGTCACATCTTTGGAATCCTACAAACAAGACATGGAGGAGTGGTGGAGATTGAACGAGAACACCATCTCAGAACTTGGGATGACCTTTGCTGGCCACGCATGTGTCACCACGGGGATGATCACACAATCTAATGTGACGGAACGCGGCCGCAAACAGTCGTACGACGCTGTGTGCCAGCTCATCGAACAGTGTCGTTCGAATGAGTCAGTGTATTACACTGGACCGTCACAAGGCACTACTTACAACATCCCTTCTAAATTGGCTGCGAGGTACGTATTCCCTACACTCTCGATGTGTATCGCACTTTCCTAAACTTGATCAGTAGCAACAGGCATACAAATATCGTCCTCTTTGGGCAGGCGGGGGCAGGCAAAAGCTCGCTTGTCAATCTCATGGCGGGAGAGAACGTGGCAAGAACATCCAGTGACATGAGATCTTGCACATTGCACTGGCAAAAATATCCCATCGAATTCGATGGCAAGTCTTATAACGTGTTCGATACCGTTGGGCTCGAAGAACCACAGCTAGGAATTCCACAGTACCTCGATGCTATCGAGAATGCCTATAGGCTCATCCAGGATTTGGAGAGACAAGGAGGGATTGATTTACTTCTGTTCTGCATGCGCGCAGGCAGAGTCACATCTACCGTCCAAAACAATTACCGGCTCTTTCACGAATTCCTTTGTGACATGAAGGTTCCCGTCGTTGTGGTGATCACGTACCTGGAAAACGAGGTCGGAGAAATGGATGACTGGTGGAAGAGAAACAAATACGCTTTCGATGGACGCGAGATCTATGTCGCTGGTCACGCGTGCATCACCGCCATCCGAGGCAATTATCCAGACCGGTATGAACAATCGCGAACTACGATCTGCAAGCTTGTGGCTGCTGATGGGCAGAGGGAGGCATGGAAAGGAGGAGACAACACGTTCGTGTCGTTCATGCGTAAGCTGACGGGGCTACTTGCGGGGAAGGAGAAATCGCGTATGAGGAAGAACATGGTGTCTTGCCTCATCAAGCGTTGCGGTCTTTCTTCAGATGTCGCGAAACAGTTAGCTGACAGGATTAAGAATGGCATGGTAGGGAGAGCAACTTGACTTCCCGTGTTCGATCAATTATGCTCGTCTTACTGTGGGACTTTCTTTTGAATAAAAAATCCATGTTTTTGTCTTTGAGAGAGTCACTCTATGCAAGACAGTACTGTCCGGCCTTGGGGGCCCCTGTGCCCCCGCACCTCTAGATTCATGAATGCCCGATGTGAGGCATGCCTCCATCGGTTCTGTGGGCCTTGTATCTTAATATTTGTCCTATAACATGTTATATCCAATGGAGCGCCATCCACTTGATTCTTGCGTCCCAGGGCGCAAACTTCAAGCCCGCCATCGCACTGCGCCTGCGATAGCTATGTGGCGTCCGGTTACTTCTGGAAAGCTTATACGAGCTCACCCTCTTGTGAGTTCGACCATTCACCACCTTCAGTATCCCACGTGTCTTTACTTTCAATGCTCTCTCACTCCGTACGATACCTGGCAAGATTCTGCTCGACTTCAGCATGCATAATTTTAAGTAATTTTAAGTAGAATAGGTACGACAACATTTTGGCAAGAACAATTTGATAAAAGTCTACAACCGGATGAGCATAAGTTATCAAACACGGGAAGTCAAGTAGCTCCTTCCGCCATGTCGTCCTTAATCCTATCAGCTAACTGTTTTGCGACATCTGGAGGCAAACCGCAACGCTTGGTGAGGCGGGACGCCATATTCTTCTTCATACGCGGTTTCTCCTTCCCCACAAGTAGCCCCTTCAGCTTACGCACGAACGACACGAACGTGCTGTCTCCTCCTTTCCATGTCCCCCCCTGCCCGTCAGCAGTCCACTTCGTGACAAGATTGCGGATCGTGGTGCGCGATTCTTCATACCGGTCTGGATAATTGCCTCTAATGGCAGTGATGCATGCATGACCAGCGACACGGACATCCCGTTCATCGAAAATGTCTTTGTTTCTCTTCCACCAGCCATCCATTTCTCCTTTCTCATTTTCAAGGTACGTGATCACCACGACGATGGGAACCTTCTTGTCACAGAGGAATTCGTGAAAGAGCCGGTAATTGGTTTGAAGCGTAGGAGTGAGTCTGCCTGCGCGCATGCAGAACAGCAGTAGATCAATCCCGCCTCGTTTCTCCAGATTCTGAATGAGCGTGTAGGCATTCTCGACAGCATTGAGGTACTGTTGGATTCCCAGCTGTGGTTCTTCAAGTCCAACGGTATCGAACACATTATATGACATGCCATCGAATTTGATGCGATATTCTTCCGATTGCAATGTGCAGGATCTCATGTCACTGGATGTTTTTGCTAAGTTATCTCCCGCCATGAGATTGACGAGCGAGCTTTTGCCTGCCCCTGCCTGCCCAAAGAGGACGATATTCTTGCTATTCATCAACGTTGGAAAAATATGGCACAACGATCCTGTCTAGATTCTACGTACCTTGTGCCCATTGTGATTTAGGTCCTAGGAATGTTCAGGATGATACTAGGACACTGTAACGTTTAACTGCATTTATTTTTAAAGCCCAACGAACCTTGACCACGTTCCTTGCACCCAAACAACGCCTCATCGATCGGACACTCAACAGTCGACATTCGCCTGCCAGTGCGGATTGCCGAGCCGCATCCGACAAGTCAACTCGAGGCAAACTCGTGTTGATGTGTACAATTTGAGGTAGTCACGTATTAGAAGATCCTAACAAGCGTCAAAACCAGATGCGAATCACATTACTTCAGAGGCAGTGTCCGTGACGACCGTACGATTCGTGCCAATTGCAAGGATGTGGCTATTATCATTCCCTGGCACCCACTTCAGTGGGAGGAGGGTTTTGTCGGATGAATTCGTCCGGGTACAAAGTTGTACGCTGAACCGCGGACACTTACGTCAGCTCAGTATGCAGCTTTTTCTCGTCTACTCTGGTTGCGGAATTTATTACCCCAAACTCGTACCTCGCACGACGCACTTAGGCAAAACCCAACGTTATCGAGAAAATATCTATAGGTTAGTGTCCGGCTTACTGGTAGGGTATGACATGGGTCAGTGTCAACGCTCGTGATTCGCTTGACACGGCTACGGTGATAATCAGATATTGAAAGGGAGCACTATTTTTCGGGGATGTTGTCAAGTGGTTCTTGGTGAGTGATTCGTTTACCACGCTTGCTTTCTTTCTATGATCGTTTTTATCTTTGCTTAGTAGTTTTACACGGTTCTGCTTCCTATTGACATTGTGCGCTGATACACCTTCCTGCACACAACCACGCCCTCCTTGCATCTTACCGTATCCTCCTTTCTTCTCTTCGACTCTGTCATAGTCCTTTGGCAGTATGGACTGCCAACGGAGAATTTTCGCCTACGATTGTGTCATCTCAAGAGTCTCACCTAGGCTCGTGACCAGCCTGGCGTACACTACGAAATCACACCACCTCAGGAAACGCACGTAGGCAGAATGGTTATGAGCCTACTTCTTGCTACCTATTCCACATACCGGTCGATCAAATTTCCCTCTTCGCTCCTGTTTCTGACTTCAATCTATCATGTCACATTCCTAACATAGGCGTCGTGGATGCTTTGACGTATAAAGAATTCTCAGTGAGTAATGTGCGTGCATGGTCCTATTTTATGTATGCTTTTTCTTGTTCTTCTTTGTTTGCCAAGGTTTCTCCTGCACACATCGCTGCGCTGCACCTCCTCCCACCAAACCACACCCTCCTTACACTCAACCATGTCCCCACATGTTACTGCCTCTGCAGACATTCGTCTTGCCGCTCCTCTTATGCTATAACACACCACTGTTGCTACTAGCGCGCCCTCTCACCTGCTCGTCACCATGTGGCAGATGCATGGAGGGTCAAATCTTTGTAGCGCACAAATTGTGTATTATATGTATCTTGGTTGTGGTCTACTCAGTGATGGCAACGGCGAGATCCTTGGGTGGCTGCAGAAGTGTATGTTGTTCGAATTTTCGTTCTTGCCTAATTGAAGAAGCCACCTGCTTGTTCTATGATGTTAATTCGGTGAGGGAGTGTGCGCGCGCAGGGATCAAGCAGGAACCACAGTAAGATCTCTCAACCCATTCGAGCGCTCTGAATTCATTATACATGCGTGATCGAGATCGAAGACCAGGTGGATTCTAATCGGCCTTACTACACAGCCGAATCCTCGCCGCTGCATCCAGGCCAACTACAGCTACTAGTAGCATGTACGAAGCCTAATGCATGATATACTAGGCATTATGGCGAGCTCTCCCAGCTACGCCACCCAATGCCCTTTTCACGTGTACGGCCCGGGAACATGCTGAATCTATGCGTCTTCGTCGATTTTTCACATCTAGCTAGGCGAACCGATCCCTATTCTGACGAATTGGAGGGTAGTTGAAGGAGAGCTGATTCCCATCAAAAACACCGAACGTCTAAGTCAATTGCTTCCTCATCTTGAGTTGGGCCAGATTCGAGTTAGTATGGCAATTCGGAACCCACCTGGGAGACTGCAACCATCTAGTGTAAGTGGCGTTTGGCTATTCCTCAGATTATAAGCTTGACTTGAAACCAGTCCTCCGTCCCATCTCAAAGTCCTGCTAATCCCAACTATACTGGGGAACCTTTAAATCGCACAAGCACGTGCAATGTTGTTATTTTCGGAGAATCTGGAGCTGGTAAAAGTTCCTTGGTCAATTTAATCACTAGGAAGGACGTAGCCGGAACATCTTGCGATACCAGGGGATGTACGGCTACAGTCAATGAGCACGAAATTTGGATTCAGAACGAGACGTTGAAGGTAAAGCTTTTCGATACACCCGGTCGGTCCAGTTCATCACTCTTCGTGGCTATGACTGAACTAGATGGCAGGTCTTGACGAGGACCCTCGAGGTACAGTCCCAGATAAGGAAGCTCGACGAATATTGAAGAAGCTTGCTCAAACTCTGATGAAGCAAGGCGACATTCATCTCATCATTTACTGTGTGCGGGGTCTGAGTGTGATCCGGACACTCCGCAAGAACTACAACTTCGTTCACTCCCAAGTCAAGAGTAAAGTTCCAATTGTACTCGTCGTCACATCTCTGGAATCCTACGAACCAGATATGGAGAGGTGGTGGAGGTTGAATGAGAACACCTTCTCAAAACATAGGATGACCTTTGCTGGACACGCATGTGTCACCACGGGGATGATCACACAATCTAATGTGACAGAACGCGGCCGCAACCGGTCGTACGACGCTGTCTGCAAGCTGATCGAACAGTGTCGCCTGTCGAATGAGATGGTAATTCATACTGGACCGTCACAAGGCACTACTCACAACATCCCTTCTGAATTGACTGCGAGGTACGTATTCCCTACACTGTTGGTAGTGTATCGCATTTTCCTGACATTGAGCAGTAGCAGCAAGCGTGCAAACATTGTCCTCTTTGGACAGGCAGGGGCAGGCAAAAGCTCACTCGTCAATCTCATGGCGGGAATGGACGTGGCACGCACATCCAGTGACGCGAGATCCCGCACATTGTACTGGCAAAAATATCCCATCGAATTCGACGGCAAGTCTTATAACGTGTTCGATACCGTTGGACTTCAAGAACCACAGTTGGGAATCCCGCAGTACATCGACGCTATCGAGAATGCCTATAGACTCATCCAGGATTTGGAGAGACAAGGTGGCATTGACCTACTTCTGTTCTGCATGCGCGCAGGCAGACTCACCACTACGCTTGAAAACAATTACCGGCTCTTTCACGAATTCCTCTGTGACAAGAAGGTTCCCGTCGTTGTAGTGATTACGTACCTTGAAAACGAGGTCGGAGAAATGGATGACTGGTGGAGGCACAACAGAGACATTTTCCGTGAACGGGAGGTCCGTGTCGCTGGTCATGCGTGCATCACCGCCATCCAAGGCAATTATCCAGAACGGCACGCACAATCTCGCACCACGATCCGTAAAGTTGCCAAGGAGGTCACTGCTGACGGGCAGAAGGAGGCATGGATAGGAGACAACACGTTCGTGTCTTTTATGCGTAAGCTGAAGGGGCTCTTGGGTGGTGGGAATTTGGAAAAGGATATGGTGTCTCGCCTTACCAAGCGTTGTGGTATGTCTCCAGATGTCGCAAAACAGTTAGTTGATAGAATCAGGAATGGCGTGATAGAAGGAGCCACTTGACTTCCCATGTTTGGTCAATTATGCTCGTCTTACTGTGGGTCTTGTCCTATACGTATCCTATACGTCCTATTCCATGTTATATCCAAGAGAATGTCACCACTCGTGTGATTCTTGCGTGCCAAGGCACAAACTTCAAGCCGCCTGCTATAGCTATGAGAAGGCCAGATAATTACTAGATCATGCTTTTAAAAAGCTTATACCCTCTTGCGTTTGAGTTCGACCATCCAACCCATGTATCTTACGTATACTTAGCTCTCGATGTTCTCCCACTCCGTAAGATACCTCAGCACGCGAAATATTATTTCAAGTAGAATTTCAGTAGAGTATGCATGACGACATATTGGCAATAATTTAACAGTCTACAATCGGATGAGCACAGGTTATTGAACACGGAAGTCAAGTAGCTCCTTCTATAATACCGTTCTTTATCCTATCAGCTACCTGTTTTGCGACATCTGGAGACATACCGCAACGTCTGAGGCGAGACACCATATCCTTTCCCAAATTTCCACTCCCCAGAAGCCCCTTCAACTTACGCATAAACGACACGAACGTGTTGTCTCCTCCTATCCATGCTTTCTTCTGTCCGTCAGCCATGAATTCCTCAACAACTTTACGGATAGTGGTGCGAGATTGTGCGTGCCGTTCTGGATAATTGCCTTGGATGGCGGTGATGCACGCATGACCAACGACATGGACCTCTCGTTCACGGAAAATGTCTCCATTTTGCTTCCACCAGTCATCCATTTCTCCGGCCTCGTTTTCGAGGTGCGTGATCACCACAACGACGGGAACCTTCTTGTCACAGAGGAATTCGTGAAAGAGCCGGTAATTATTTTCAAGCGTAGTGGTGAGTCTGCCTGCGCGCATGCAGAACAGAAGTAGGTCAATCCCGCCTTGTCTCTCCAAATCCTGAATGAGTCTATAGGCATTCTCGATAGCGTCGAGGTACTGTGGGATTCCAAGCTGTGGTTCTTCGAGCCCAACGGTATCGAACACGTTATAAGACTTGCCGTCGAATTCGATGGGATATTTTTGCCAGTGCAATGTGCAGGATCTCGCGTCACTGGATGTGTATGCTACGTCCATTCCCGCCATGAGCTTGACAAGCGAGCTTTTGCCTGCCCCTACCTGCCCAAAGAGGACGATATTTGTATGCTTGTTGCTACTGATCGACAATGTTAGGAAAATACGACACACTGAGAGTGTAGGGAATACGTACCTCGCAGCCAGTTCAGAAGGGATGTTGTGAGTTGTCCCTCGTGACGGTCCAGTATGATTTACCGGCTCATTCGACAGGCGACACTGTTCGATCAGCTTGCAGACAGCGTCGTGTGACTGGTTGAGGCCGCGTTCCGTCACATTAGATTGTGTGATCATCCCCGTGGTGACACATGCGCGGCCAGCAAAGGTCATCCCAAGTTTTGAGAAGGTGTTCTCGTTCAACCTCCACCACTTTTCCATGTCTGGTTCATAGGATTCCAAAGATGTGACGACGAGTACAATTGGAACTTTACTTTTGACTTGGGAGTGAATGAACTCGTAGTTCCGGCGGAGTGTCCGAATCACTCTCTCACCCCGCACGCAGTAAATGATGAGATGAATGTCGCCTTGCTTCATCAGTGTTTGAACTAGCTTCTTCAATATTCTTCGAGCTTCTTTATCAGGGATTTCACCTTGACGGCACTCGTCAAGACCTGCCATCTAGTTCAGTAACAGACACGAAGAACGGTGAACTGGACCGACCGGGTGTATCGAAAAGCTTTACCGTCAACGTCTCATTCTGAGTCGAGATATCGTGCTCATTGACTGCAATTGTACATCCCTTAGCATCGGAAGATGTCACCGCCACGTCCTTCCCAGCGATCAAATTGACCAAGGAACTTTTACCAGCTCCAGTTTCTCCGAAAATGACAACATTGCACGTGTCTGTGCGATGTAGAGGTTCCCCGACTGCCGTATAGTTGGATCCAGCAGCACTTTGAATTGGGATAGAGGACTAGGTTTCAGGTTAATCTTATGCTGAGGAAGAGTCAAACACCACTTACAATAGATGGTTGTCTCCCAGTGGTACTAGGCCTCGACATTGCAATAATGTCTGAACTCGACACAAGAAAGCGAAAGGCACGTACGTCTTGACTTGTGCGTTCTGTGTTTTTGAGTAGCGTCAGCTATCCTTCAGCTATTCCACGAACGTAAGAATATCCAGCCAAGACGATAAAGACGCGTGGATTTAGCATGTTCCGTACACGTGAAAGGGAATGAAAAGGGCATTGGGTGGCGTAGCTGCGCAAGCTTATGAATACATGCAACCATGCTACCTAAATGCATTGAGCTCCGTACATGCTAGCAGGAGTTGACCTCGCTGCGGCGGTGAGGATTGGTAAGTATTGGGGTCCAGATCACCTACATATCGTAATGAGGCCAAACCTGGAAATTAGATTTTTCGCAGATAACCCCTGGACCCACCTCATACAGCAAGACTCCAATCTCTGCCGCTGGAGTACTACAAACTGCATGTCAAAGAACGAATTGAGCATAACTTCTTATCGTGTGCTATGGTAAGCCACAACTAGTTAGACAAGGGCTTGAAGGGCTTCTCGTCCAAGATCTAGCAGTGAGTAACAAAGTATAACCACGGAAATGAAGATCTGCACCACGAAGGTTCGAACTCCAAAGTTCCCCTAATCCTTCTGAACGCGAGGACGCAAACGTAGGAGATCCGATGGTGACAAATGATCCAGAGCAGTTCGATTATGTATGATATGCAGACAGCAATATTGATGATAGCGAGGATAGCAAGGAAATAAAACAGCACGAAATCAGAAAGACGTGAGTAGAGACTGTACCCACGCATTTTGTTCTATGCGTGGTCTGAACTCCTCGACACATCGCCGCAGTTCAGCCAGCTGAGCCTCGTGCGATACATCGTCCATCATGACGTCCTCATCGTCAGCTGAAGATTCGGAGGCCCACTTTTTGAGCAACTCCTCGATGATTTGGATGCCCTCCTCGGTGACTTCGTCCGAATGCTCGGGTTCCGATTGTTGTCCTACTCAGCAAATATCAACGGGACAGGTTCATGACAATTTTTTAAACAATTACCAGTCGCAAAATCTTCTAGCTCATCAGCTTTCCGTTTTGCAAGCTAAAACACGGTCAGCAGACATTTTAGGACAGTTCTATCCAGAACTGACTTTGACCACATTTTCAGGGAAGTTGGCCAGTTGCGCAACGTGGATACCAAAGCTTTGATCCGAAACGCCTTCATCCAAAAGTTTCAGAGAAAGAGGTTTGATTAGAAAATCGACACAAACCTGGTTCGACCTTGTACAAGAGCGTGATATCCCTCTCGCGCGGCGCAGATGCATCTTCTTGGTTCACATGAGCTACGACGTGGAGGTTTTTCACGTGAGGAAGCTCCTGGTCGAGGGCAGTCAACTCGTGAAAGTGAGTAGCAAACAAACAGAAAGCGCGGATGTGGGATGCAATATGCCTTCGGGTGCCATTAGGTACGACTCCAGGAAAGAAATGTTGTTCTCGTACTCAGATATAGACCATGCGAGGCCGAATCCGTCATACGTTGATGTTCCTGAAGACAAGCGAAATATTAACAAACGTGCATCATCGTCCAACATAAGACATACCGCGACCGAGCTCATCAATGATAATGAGGGAATCTTGAGTAGCAGACTAAACAGTAAACGACAGTCAAACCAAGGAAAGATTTTGTATAGATGCGCATTTACTCGGAGAATCGATGCAGTCTCAAGCATCTCAGCCATGAAAGTCGAGACGCCCTTCAACTGGCTGTCACCTGCACCCACTCGGCAAAGCACGGAATCAAAAATTGGCAAGGTTGCCTCCGAGCAAGGAACAAAACATCCGGTCTGTGCCATGAGAGCAATGACTCCAACCTGTGAAATAAGTTGAGAACGGTGTTTGCGAACGATGACATAGCCGATGCACCTGTCGGATATATGTGCTCTTTCCACCCATGTTAGGACCAGCTTTCGGTGGGTCAGCTCTGTTAAAACGGCACAGTAGCAGCACTTACTAATGATCTGAAATTCACCCTCGCCTACAAGGCGGCACATGAGACATGTAACGGTAACAGTGCGATAAACCTTACCCTTCACCATCTCCACATCATTTGGAATGAAGCTAATGTCGTCCTGAACTTCAAGGCAAGGATGCCGCGCATCGCGCAATATTAAGCCACTAGTACCTGATGTACGTCGATCAATTCCTGCGTCGAACATTGTCTCCAAAACTTGCCTTTATCCAGGACCTTTGGTTTCACGTATGGCTCAGGAGCGTTTACAGAAACATGAGCGAAACTGGATGATCGTCACCACATGTGCAAGCTCGAGTCATGGGGCTCACCTGAGAATAACGTCTAGGTGCGCAATGATATGGTCAAGATTCTCTAGTACGGGTGTATATGTTGCTGTACGAAAGAAAAGGTTCTTGAATGCCAAAGTGGTGGTAAAAGGAGTATCTTACATGCGATGCTGACAACTTCCTTCACCAACCCGCTCTGCGTTCGCTGATACTCATGCGTAGTCTCTTGATGGTCCGTAGAAAGTGCTTTCAGCTTCTTGGTCGTGAAATAGACTCCGCTCTTCACAGTCCCGAGTTCGATATATTTGCTGTTCCGCATAATGGCTTTCGCGTCCTGATAGGTACGTCAGCTCAGGATTTTTCACAATACGGAAAGCATACATTCTTCGTCAACCTGAAGCAGTATCCATAGTTCTGGGAGTTCTCGAGGTGCAGCTTCTTGTCGAGATCAAGATCGAGATCCTTGCCAGCTGCACGATGTTCAGCATCAAGACCATCCCGGATCTAGAAAAATGTTAGCCTCCTTCGCTATGATTCTGATAAGCGTGATATGAACCTCTACAAGTTTATCTGCCAGAGTCTGCAGACGTTCATCATAGTCAGGCTTGATTGCGTAATTATGATTTTCGAGTTCTTCGAGATCTAGCGTTGACTCGACCATCTCACCATATTTGACGAGATTATCATTAACAGTCTGGTAACAGCATGTGTTAGAGAGGGAGGGGCGAAGATATAATTCAACGAAATCATGAGATGCACACCTGGAAAGGCTTGATATAAACCTCGTCAATAAGCTCCTTGTGCTCCTCGTGTTCGTACTGGACGCCTTCAAGAGTCTCAAGCAAACCAGGCAGCTAGTTGAGTAAAGTAAGCATCACTGAGGGGCGGGAACAGAAGCGAGATACCTTGAGGACCACTTGATATGTCCGCACGACATCCTCAAGAGACGCGACAGATTTCTTGAATCGCTTGCTTAGCCGGTGGAGGTCAGGCATCAGCTTCAAGTAGTCATCCTGTGGAATGAAAATAAATGACGCCCTTGGCAATGGGTATTGTATTGACCTGCAGCGTTCTCCGAGAAGATCCGTCATCCACAAATGTCTCCACGAGGTCTTGTCGTTTACCTGCAAGGCTAAAGTTTTTATTACGTCAAGTAGAGTAAGAAAATAGGCATACGTATTTCGTGCAGATTAATCAAGGGTTGCTTAAGCCATGTCCCGAGAAGCCTAGTTCCTTGGGCAGTCTTGCATTTATTTAGCAGACCAAGGAGGGTTGCGTGCTTATTGATACTTCCCTACACGGTGACCATTAGCAGGTAATATATCAGTATGAACTACACGCTCGAATGACTTACAGCACTCCCAGGAGCGTCGATCAGATTCAGTGCACGCAATGCACTGGCATCCAAGCGCATATATCGTGCTAGGTCGTGTGTCCGTAACTTGTATGCCCCGTGATTGGAAGGGTCGGAAAGGAGAGAAAGATAACTAATCAAGGCAGAAAGTGCAGACGGGGCTGAAGGAAGGGAGAGCTCGGCTAAACAATGTTGTGAGTGTTATTATGCAGTTTAGAGATCAAAACCCACAAATCGGAGCAGCAGATTCTGAATTCGTTTCTGAGTCGATTGTTAATTTTTTGATGTTGTCTTCCACATGTCTCGCAGTAAACTCGCCTAAGAACCCGAAATTAGATGGACTTAAGAAACCGCATAGATGTTGACCTACTTGGTTTGCGTTCGGTCACAACAACGGCGCACCTCTCGAACACGGCTTTCAGCTTGCTCAAGTCGAGGTCGCGGTCTGTTGTCCCAGATACTGTTCCAGTAGGAATAATGGCTTCTTTAACTGAAAGCTGTATGACAAGAGACTGCTCCAGTGTGAGAGGATAGAGATGACGGTCTGTAACTAAGTAAACCGACCTCAAGATTCGAGAAAAGATCGTTGTCAATGAAATCAGCAAGTCCAAACTCCCTCACGCTGGTGTCCGCGAAGGCAATGCCGACTGACTTGGTCTTGGCTTTGTCCATAACTGAAGATGATGATATTTTGACAGCTAAAACGATAGGTGCTGATGTAACATCAGAACTGGCAAAAAGGAGGTCTTCGACTGCTTGGAGATTTCCAGGTGATGCCTTTCAAATGGTTAAATCATGGCTATAAAGACAAGACATTACTTGCTTACCTCTTTTTCCAAAACGAATTTGGAAGCTTTCCTTCCCTGCCCTGGTGCGGGCACCCAAATTTCTACGCGCAGCTGTTTAGATGTGAGAGCATCCCGCAAAAGAGAGTGAGCCAGGGTATGGCTAAGCGTGACGCTCGGGAGACCACCAGCCTTGCCTCCAGCACCTAGATACTTGAGTACGGAGTTGGTGCGAAAGACGTGCGTTGCGACGTAGTGGGCATCCTGACCATGGACAGAGTAGTAGTCTGTGCGATCGAATAGACGGATCGTTCCAGTTTCAGGAGATTTCTTTGGGAGTTTGGAAAAGAATGCAACGAAACCGGGGTCAGAGGCTGGTCACAGGTCAGAGTTAAAATTCTATCGGTCGAAGGGCAATTGAAGGCTCACTCAGTTCATGCTCTGCGTCTTTTTCCTTCCCATACATAAGAGCCATACTACTAATTTTTGACCTGATAATAGTTGTCAGAAGAAAGAAGCAAAAGACGCGTCGCGTCACGCGATGTCGCGAATTGAGGTTTAGGCTATGCAATTGCTCCCGAATGCCAAGATCTTTTAAGTTCATGCTCGGAGTCTCCTTGCAAGTCTGCTGTCGTAGTCTAGACATCATTAATTCAGCGTCGCTCAACTTCAGTCCCAACGATTTCCCGTGCCTTGTGTCCTGTAAACTCGGTCTGACGCCAATATTAACGCTGCTAATTTGCAAACGCCATCCAAATCATTAACCTATGTAAATCTGCATCAATCTGCAAGTCAGCTATTTAGCGCTAATTTACTTGTAGGTTTGACAAATTAACGGTTAATATGGTTCTATGGTCATATGTCCCAAGCTTCGCATCAGGAAGTGCCTCTACTTAACGACAAGGAACGACGTAGTTGATGCCTTGACATGCAGATTTATGTTTCAGGGTGTTTCGCCCAGGAAGTCTCGGAGATAGGGACAGCACAACTCGATATGTGCATTTGCCCCGGCAAGCAAGAAGTGTGAGCCGTCATTGGAATCACCAGCAACATTGAGTGGATTGGACTTGAAGGGTCTTGGTTGAGATGGATGGTATCCAGGGAGTGGAAGGTCCTCAGACATACCTACATCTGAAGCTGTGCACTTGCAGAAGTTAGTTCTTCGTTCATGTCCCACCATGCCATGGAACGAGCAAAATTTTGGCGGCATTTGAAATTTGCATAGTACGAATGCAATTTGAGGTTGTTGTGCTAGGATTCGAAGACCAGCTGGAAAACGTACCTTGGGTTTGTAACGATGCCATTATCGAATCTTAAGCTTGATCAAAGCCTGAACTAATGTCCCAAGATTTTGATTAGCATGGCGAGGAGAGTACAATCATGTGACGGCAACGAGATGTTTGTCTGGAGGAGTGGAAGGTGATCAGTAGCCTAGAAGCAATGCTGGACTTAGCAAGCACTGAATGTAACTGCGGAAAGAAGGCGGTGGGTAAATAGTTTAAAAGGGGGTTGGTTCCAATTCCAGGTTGTCCTTTGGCTCCATCAACATTGAAGGCTTTGTGGAGGTCTGATACAGCATGAGAAATTCTGTGTCTCAGCTTGTTACTGATCAGTGTCGTGACGAACACAGCCTAGTACTTGCCAAGCATGCGGTCAAGTGTTTGGATACCACCCTACGCCTCCAGAAGGATCCAGCAAGATGCTTAGTGAGCTGGGGCAGTGGTGACTCGATGTTGAAACTCCGCCACGTCCCAGTATATTAATGGCCGTTATCTAGGCGTTTCCCCACAGTCTCTCTCCTCACAACCACTCCTGTAAACTCTCGTACACTCTACTTCGCATCCTTCACGTGAGTTTTTTATCATTATAATCTCCTGTATGTACGAGGCTGACATCGAGCCGTAGAATGCAGATTTTCGTAAAGACGCTCACCGGCAAGACCATCACTCTTGAGGTCGAGTCCTCTGATACCATCGATAACGTTAAGGCCAAGATCCAAGACAAAGAGGGGTATGTATGCCATCCCAGTAAACAGCACTTATGACTGACGGTTGTCCCTGTAGTATTCCACCTGACCAGCAGCGTCTCATTTTCGCTGGCAAGCAGCTCGAGGACGGTCGGACGCTCTCCGACTACAATATCCAAAAGGAGTCTACCCTTCACTTGGTCCTGCGTCTCCGTGGAGGCATGCAGATCTTCGTCAAGACCCTCACGGGCAAGACGATCACCTTGGAGGTGGAGTCTTCTGACACCATCGACAACGTGAAGGCCAAGATCCAGGATAAGGAGGGTATCCCTCCTGACCAACAGCGTCTGATCTTCGCCGGCAAGCAACTTGAAGACGGACGTACCCTTTCCGACTACAACATCCAGAAAGAGTCCACCCTCCACCTTGTTCTCCGTCTACGTGGCGGCATGCAGATCTTCGTCAAGACCCTCACGGGCAAGACGATTACCTTGGAGGTGGAGTCTTCTGACACCATCGACAATGTGAAGGCGAAGATCCAAGACAAGGAGGGCATTCCTCCCGATCAGCAGCGCCTCATTTTCGCAGGCAAGCAACTCGAAGACGGTCGCACCCTTTCCGACTACAACATTCAGAAGGAGTCTACCCTCCACCTCGTTCTACGTCTTCGTGGCGGTATGCAAATCTTTGTCAAGACCCTCACGGGTAAGACAATCACGCTGGAGGTGGAGTCGTCAGACACCATCGACAATGTCAAGGCGAAGATTCAGGACAAGGAGGGCATCCCACCAGATCAGCAGCGTTTGATCTTTGCTGGAAAGCAGCTGGAAGATGGCCGCACGTTGTCGGATTACAATATCCAGAAGGAGAGCACCCTTCACCTTGTACTCCGCCTTCGTGGTGGACTTTAGTACTGAGCGTTGTCCTTGTATACCAATAGTTTGCTTATCATTACCGTGGTATCCTGTTGTAGTATTACGCCATCATTATTGCATCGTCCTGCGAGCAAGTCCGTGGTTCCAATTCAAGTCCAGCCGTGATATATTGATATCTTAGGTTTCATTAAGATTGAACCAATCCAGCAGACTACATGAACCAGCTAGTGTGTGCATCATAGTAGTATCACAACATCAGAGAGTGGTGAACCCCAGTAAGAACTGGTTATGACAGGAGAGGACCGTAAGTGTCGGGAGGTGTTGATGAAATGAAAATACCAGACGCGCACATTCCGCTTACAAAGTGGGACAACCAGCACATTTTCGAAGTGCTGCTGTAAGATCTCTCGCGCTCTCGTATGTTTTTTTCCGCATATGCACATCAGAATCACCTTAGAGCATATAGTTAAACTGCTTGTGTGCTGTGTCATAATATGCTAGGATAGTTTCAAATATGATTTCATAGGGTATTGCACACTTCGCACTAGGGTCTCGGAATATGCTCAGATAACATAAAATATGATCATATTGTTAGGTATTACACTGGGAGCGCCCATACAGATTGAAACTGCAGGTAATTGAAACATAAAACAGACGCGAAAACACATCGAAAGCAGGTGCGGGAACGTCGCAAGCAAGTGCGGGAACGTCAAAAGCAGGTACGAGATCGAAAGCAGGTGCGGGAATGTCGAAAGCAGGTGCAGGCACATCGAAAGCAGGTGCGGGAACATCGAAAGGAGGTGCGGGAACGTCGAGTGTCTACTAGTGCATTGCTCCATCGCAAACATTCTTCACCCAAGTGTTGCTGGCAACCTGCGCACATCAGAACAGGAACTAACTTTTGGAGACGTTACTCACTAGCGCAGATGCCTCGTCATCATAATTCTGATATAAGACAGTGAGTGCACAATATGCACGACGGTGATGCAATGACTTCGTACCTTGTGCTGTTCTGCAGTGAGATCCACGTAATACAAACAAAACTCTTCTGTTGTCCCGTCGGTTTTGATTTGCTTGAGCCAGCGAAGAGCACACAGATTGCTTCAAAATTTGTAAGTACTAGTTAGATTGGTGTGAGAGGGATCATCTGATAGTACATACCGTCCGTTTCTAGTTGGGCTTGGACGCATCTTCTTGCTAGTTTTACTGGTGCCCTTGCCGCTTGCGAAGTCGTCGGCCTTGCCTTTTTTACCCTTCGAATCAGCGCTGTCATTTGCTAGAGGAGCCTTGAGAGGAGGATCGATGGAGGGTGGGAGTGGTGGGATCAGTGTGCCGACAGCAGCTAGCGCAAGCGTAGAACTGTTGAAAGTGACATCATTAGCCATTGACGAAAAGAGACAACAAACTTACAGTGAATTAGTCATTATAATTTTAATTGGCTGCGGTGCGATAGGATTAGGCTTGGGCGCTAGTGTGATACTAGAATTAAGTACCGGTGCAATAGGATCAGGCGTTGGTGGAGGAATATTCTCCTTCTCCGCTACAATAAACTCCGGAGAAGCAGGTGGTATAGCTGGTAGCTGCCGAGAATTGGGATTGTTGGGCAGTAATATCGGAGACAAACGAATTGTTGGAGACGGCGCTCGAGAAGGGGTGGTAGGGTGAGACCTGGATAGCAGTAGCATAGACTCGGCAGCTAACGAGTTAGGCATAGTAGGCGATGATGCCAAGAGAGAGTCTGGCGTCGAAGGCAGGATATTCACGGTAGGGTCGACTACAAAAAATACTAGTTAATACAATATCATATTAAATTAAAGACGCACCTTTTAGTTTTTTGTCGGGGACTTCAGACTTGAGAGCGTTCTTCAATTGTTTACGCTTCTTGCCCCCGCTACTCTCGTCCTCGTCATTGTCGTCATCATCAACGTGGTTTCTTCGCCACGCAGAATACGACGTGCTCATGAGATAGTCGAGCTTCCAACCGTCGTCAGCGAACTTGAACAATGGATGTGAGTTCTCCATCAGGGTGTGAACAATTTGCCTTGCAGTCGCAGTTGCTTTACCCCACGTCTTCGGAGCAAGTTTGCGTCTGACGAGCTCCGCCCAAGCACCACGAAGAAGTTTCCGGATAGACTTGACTATCGGGTCGGTAAGTGGATCACCGTTCTCATCCTCGAGATACGGCACTTTCCCGCGGTCAGCTCGACGGCCGTCGGGAGAATCCAGCCATCCTAAGAAGTCGTCATTGGTCCAAAACCGAATCTTCGGATGGGTGACGCGAGTTGGCCGGTTAGCAGTAGCTGGAACTGAGGAAATGAGGGTACAGTCAAGGTCGAGCGAGTCCGTTTGATGCAGCCGAACAGCGCTTGAAAGTTGTTGAAACATCGATCTGAAATATGATTATATCAAAATTAATTAAATCAATGGAGATGCAGAGCAAGAAAATACGTACTTGAGCGTGTCGCGTTCGCTAGTCAATTTCACGATTTGAAGTTCTAATGTTTTGCAGTGTTCGAGCAAATACTGGTTACTATGCTGTGCAGGCTGCATATATGCGCGCTGAAAATACATTTATGAGCACCAAAACAAAGTATATCGGAGTACTTACTTGTTGCGGGAACCATTGAAGGTGTGGTGTCATTGAATCGGTGAAGGGGTCCTCTGGTAATGGCATGGGAAGATCGGGAGATAGGGGGCCCGGGGGAGGTGTGTATCCTCTGGCTCCCCAGTATGGATTCTGCAAATTATGAGGGTGTGCAGCATAAAGTAAAGACCATACTTGTAGTACAAAAACTCGATGATACGATGCTGGTGCGATGCGATGCAATGTTGGTGCGATGCAATGTTGGTGCGATGCAATGTTTGGTGCGATGCAATGTTGGTGCGATGCGATGTGATGTTGGCGCGATGCGATACGACGTCGTTTTGCAAAACGCAACGAAACTTCTCATGATTCAGCAGATTCCGTCATAGTACAAATAAGGTAACTAACTTCTCAGCAGCTGTGATCCCCTCCGGTCACAACCAGTTTTTACTGGGGGTGAACGGTCAAATCAATTTTAACTCGCTCTGATTTCGCACTGGATGGCATCAGACTATTAAAGATCATGAAGCTGTACTGCTATCACCTCTACCTTCTCTGTCCTTTCCTCTGTCCTTACCCCGCTCTCTACCCTCGTCCTTCTCCTTCTTCCCTTTCCCACTCCTGTCTTTGGCCGCTCTAAAGCACATGAACTCAATCCCAGTCGCACGCCGACTCTCGGCCAGCGTCCTCTTCACACTGTCCAGATTCCCCTGCAAATTCTCATCTCCCGACCGTCGTGCATACGCCTGCGAGATCTTGTTATACAACTCCGAAAGCGTCTTCGCAGCCGGCGGAGACACGTAGCGAGCAAGCGTTTGGTGCATGAACTCGATCTCTAGCGTAGCCTGTAGATATTGTCTCATCGATAATATAACATGCGAGGAAGGGGAACGTGACTTACGCGAAGCATACCGCCCATGCCGAACCGCTTGACTTGTTTGAACGAGAGTAATGCATCTTGAGCGACGTTCTCTACAAGGGCGTACATCCCGCGTTCGAGTAGATTCTCTGCAACGCGGCTGATTTGCGCGTGAATTTCGACGAGGCCCATCAAGGCTTTGTACATATATGGCCGTATTTCTTGCAATGAATGTCAGAGTAGGTAGGGACAAGTGACGTCGACAAGCTCACCCGTAGGTTGCGGCGTCTCGTACCAATCCATGTCTTTGTCGAGAATGCCCTCTCGCAAAATGACTGCGACGGCTGCAGCCTTGGGCTTGACATATCCATCAAAGAGTGTCTTGTCAAGCGCAGTCACTGCTTTCATTAGTGTCTACGTCATAACTTGAGCATGCAAGGCAACGTAAGTAGAAGAATAAGAAGCAATACCTTTCTATCATCTTCAACTGATATGCCGAGCGCATTCTCCAGTTGAGATAACACACTGGGTATCAACGATCCTGATAAATGCGAGAAATTAGATATCACGAGGAGCAGCCTCGTATTCTTAACGCATAACTGTATCAAGGGCCAGAATCGTGGAGCACACAAAACTACGCACCGAGTCGCGCAGATTAATCAGCTCCTGCTTCCCTTCTCGCTCAGGTGCTCCCGTTGCCACGATGCAGCCCACACCTGGTGGCGCTTCCTCCGCGACGAGCACAACAAACCCATCCAGAATCGCATATATTGCATCCAAAAATGCCTTCGTGATTTTTGATATGAATGCTGGTGGTACGGTGTTATGTTGTGTTACCTGCAACACGCCCGATCCACTATCTGCCGAGACACCACCCGCAATCTTAAATGCTGACGTTGCAAGGTGGCGCATGAACGATTCGAGATGAGCGAGATGGAGCGTTGTAGAAGGGGTGGAAAGATCGGGAGTAAACGATTCGAGCGTATACATGTAGTTTGCGTCTGGGATTGTTAGTCCACAGGTGTATGAAAGATAGTAGAACACTGTTAGTAGCGCATACCTCGCAACCAAGATCTCACTAGAACATCTTCAAAACGCCACCGCGCGCTCTCCACCAGCCCTTTCACCAGACTGCCTTCTCCGAGTTCCAATGCGCCAATCTCGGCGACGCAATCTTGTACCTCATTAAGAATCTTAGTCAGCCAGTGAGCCGTCGTTAGCGAGTTCGAATGAGCTGGGAGATGCTCAGGAGAATTGGTGGTAGAGGAGTTTGATAGGACGTCAGAAAGAGTGAAAAATTCCGAAAGGAAATTGATGTAGAGCTTGATGATGTCGAGTGCCATTTGCCTGCATTGGGAGGAACTGCGCCTCGATGACGATGGCTAGAGGAAAATGTAAACGTCAGACAAGTGATATGACCGCACAAATGACACGAACTCGTTTGAACTTGCCCTCCAAGAAGCTCCTTGCAATTTTCCAGAAATTGGGCAACGAAGAGACCATAACCTCGGAGATATTTTTCACCATGTCCCAGATAGCCTGCCACACCTCATGACCACCTGCTTGCGCTGGGTGCGACAGAAATGAACAATAGCTTGACAGAAGGGCTCTGATAACGCACCAATTACGGCTTCGGGCGCTTTGTTCTCCAGCGCTACGATACATACCTGAAGTTGCGCACCAAGGATCTGTCTGAGCGCATTCGGAGACGACAGTTCAGGTGCCGTGCGAGACTTCGTGGCTGTGATACACGTCAGTATAAAAAGTACTCGACAACGCGAGAGGGACGCGCCATCAATGTTTGAAATACCAGTCCTGTAGGCAGCACTCATCCGGTCCATGATGCGCTTATGCTGGCTATCGAAGTAGGTCCATATCGGATCTTCAGGTACATTTAGTTCCAGGAGAATCCTGGTTAGTGCTGGTTAAAAACGAGACATGCAACAATAATGAGCAAACGTACTCAATCCCTCGCTCCATTTCTTCGACGCTTCTTCCTGGTTCTTGCAACCGTGCCAAAAGTAGCGCCTTCATCTCCCCCATCACCTTTTCAACGTTTGCCCACACCTTGTCTAATATCCTCTTCTGTTGTGCCGTAGAGCCTGCGTTGGCACCTGCTTCGACGGGGAGGAGCTGCCCAGGGCGAGAGTCGAGGAGAAACTTCCCCTTGTTGTACTGACGCAGTGCAGCTTCATATCTTCCAGCCTCGATAGATTCCACGAGAAATCCTGGGAGGCTGAAGAAGAACTTGGAGCGCTCAAAAACGCCGAGCGTAGTGCGCAACTTTTGGGCTTTGGCGCTGTTCTCGAGGGTAGGGAGGAAGACTTGATTGGCCTTCACAGCCGAGCCTAGGTCGGAGTGCATTAAAAACGGGACTGAAAGGAATGAACTGGGACAAACGTTTTAAGTAGTCCACAAGCGGTCTGCTGGCAAATTCCGCCTTGTCACTCAGTAATCCCTCACGCATCTCCGCATATAACGCTACGAGCATGTATAAGTTATTTTGGAGCATCTACGGACGAATGACACACAGCGCACCATCAGTAGAAGCCTTGACAGCAACGAACCGATCAAAGTTATCTTCTACGAGGACACGGACAGCCTCCGAACGAGCATCAATGGATGATTGGAGATGATTAATGCCTGCCGCAAGATCTTGGTATGTTGCGTTTGGGTGTACAGCAGATAGAAAGGATTTTGGATCAAATGATTTGGAAGAAATGAGCACGGACATCTCTGGAGGTGTAGGCTATGAACGACCGAAATCCCAGCTGAAGTCAGACACTAGCACGCACTCGATTCTGCATCCAAACTTGTCAGACTGAGAAAGTTGTTAGCACCGAGGGGCGGGCTCAAATGACGACACATACTCAACGACGCCGCCGAGGCCCAAGGGGTCACCGTCTCCATCGTTGGATTGGGAGGTAAGGAGGTCAGAAAGAGGATCTTCCAGGTCATGATCTATCTCTTCCCATTTCCTATGCAACTGTTATTCGTACATTTATGCAGTGGATTCACCACGTACGTCGGGTTCTGGGACGATAATTTGTAGGCCTTGAGGATGGAGGCTTCGTCGGTCGTGAAGTTAATCTTACCCATCAAAATAAGTCAAAATGGAGGATCAAATCCCTTTATTTCAGCAGCTCCACCGCGAATGGTACACAAGCAGTGCTAACACAGACCTGGTAGGAGATCGATCGATCAGCTTAGAGCTAGTAGTATTGTAGTAGTACTTGCTCTGTTACGTATACACTGCGGCTGGTAAGTTAGTCAAGTTGTGTTGCACGTGATTCATAACGCGCTAAGTATGCGGTACAGCCTAGTACGCGCGGGCAGTCACTAGCACAGCAACCTTTTCCAAACCCTCAAAGACCACAGTACTGAGCTACTGGCTGAAGTGAATCTACTGATGGCCTCCATACCACTCCAGAAGTTTTTATTCCATAAACTGGTCACATTCATCAAACATCTCAAACCCTTGAAGTTGTCGGCGGCGATCATTCTGTGCATTTACCGGCATGTCATCACACTCCTTCGTCGACTACTATATGAGATTTCGTACAACCCTGATAACCATCTATCAAGACAAAGACCCAGCGTTGATAGAATTATAGGAGCCACACAACCCGCTGTTGGGGACACACAGAACCGGACTCTAGTAACAACACTTGCTGTACGCCCTCCCCAGAGGGAAGATGCGCACCCCTTTCAACATTGTGTTAGGAGTCCTTTGGTATTTCCATCAGCTCAGGTGCCAATGGATCATCGACCTTGTTCTGTTCAGACATCTTCAGCAGTACCCAACGTTCGTCCACCAGGAGCAATTACTCTTCGCCCAATCGTTGCATCACAGATTGATAGGTACGGCAGGAATATCACTCAGTATGTCTGCCTTGTATTCGCGTTTTTCGAATGTCTTTCTAACACTAATGGTAGAAGTAAAATTTTCCATGTGTTCGAAGTTAGCCCAGGGCCAGACAATTTTACGGAGTGAGGAAAACTGCGTTTGGATAATGAGATCCATTACCATGTTTCTGCAGATCATCAACAAAAGTTGCCAACTGGTTGCAGCTTACTCACCCTGAGGGCGCCCGCTTCTTCTTTAACCCGCTTCAGGTGCGGAAGAATCACCAAAAAGCTCAGATCACTCATCATGCGATACCCACACAGAAAGTCTTCACTGATCAGAATATTTTGGAGAATAACCTTGCACTCGAGATCCTCGCTGCAGCTGAGCAAGCGAATCAAATGGCGGCAGAGAGTGGCAAGGTTTGTGCGACAATGGAGCTTGCTATCGAGAAGCGCTCCGAAGGCGTCTTTGGGTACTATTTTGTAGATCATGATGCGCGGATTATCTTCTGGCCTGAGATTGTCCAATCCAGGGAGCTTATGATCCATGTACGAGGTGTCACTGACAAAAGTCACATTAGTAAGCATCGTGTGGTTAACTTATCGAGATGATTTGACGTGCTCAAACCCCTAGGATATGCACTGGAGGCCCAATACTGGTGCGTTCAGCAACATATGGTGAGTAATTACCTACCCTCTATCGGAAATCAGTGACGATACTTATCCGATCAAGTTTTGATTGTATTAAGCTTTGACTCATCTGCGCTCATGTGCTGCAGGAAACATTGCACCTTGTTCCCGAACATGCGTGCTCTTCCCGGACAGGCAGTCGATTGTTTGCGAGATATCATTACTTATGCTCATGCCGGTATAGTGTTTTATGCGACCTTTTGGCTACGTAATGAGTTCTCTGGCAGAATCAATCACGTCTCAAACATCCCTTTCTCCCTTCGACCTGGATGAGCTCTCACACATGCTCAATGTTGTTGAACACGCGAAAGGTCAGCTTCTCAGGAGTATCGTCTTTGGGATCCGTCTTGATCAGAAGCAGATAACATCGGCAAAGTCAACGAACACTCTGTCTGTATCGTCGGTATGAGATTCAACTCCAGTCTCCGTCAAATATTCATATATCTGTCTCAACCAACAGCTCGATACATGTATATGTTCTGTGGGTGGCTTATATCTACTTTCTTCTTCCAAATAACGCCGCGTTGAAATAGTTCGAGCAAAATTTGTTAACTTCTGTGGGCAGCGTGGTGCCCGTCTTGATGCTGATCAATCGCTGTATGATAGTAACAGCGAGAAGGAGCCCAAGCACATCTTAGTTCGTATTTTGAACGTTGCACTGTTCAACTCTCCGCACATCCACAGCGAATCCATTCACAATGTTTGGGTAGACAATACTGTGGTCCAACCTAGGTGGAAGAAGTTCATCAGCCAATTAAATGGCGAGTGGAGCAGCTTCACTGTGTTTGTAAGTATGCTGTTGATGTTTCAATCTACAGACCTACTCACGCTGACAGTCAACTGTGATGCTCGCTGTGGATGTTAGTTTCCTCGCAGTACCTGGAGTAGATAATCCCACCACTCAGTCAAAACCAGCCGCAACGATTGTTATTTACCTGTCAACGCTTTGCGCAATGGGTTCGCTCGTGATTTCCCTTGTCCTGGCGGGTCAATTTAGCGACAGTAGACGGAGCTCAGCTGGTAGTGTGGTGCGTCGCTAGCTATAGTCTTGGTGTCTCATCTCATGGCTCGCATCAACATAGGCCAATTTCATGGATTCGATGTCCAAATCGCTCCTTGGCATCGAAAGCCTCGCCTTTATGCTCAGCCTGCCATTTGCTCTCCTTATCTGGGGGTAAGTCGCCCCAAAGTTTGCGATATGCTTAATATTTGACGAAGAATATCACAGAATGATTTTCTTCGCAATCGGACTCTCGATCCTCATCTTTTATACTACCGATATCGTTGCATTGACTGTTGTCATTCCCGTATGGGCGGTTGTTGTCCTCCTCACGACGTGGCCAGTCTTTGCAGCTAATAACCTCCACGTCTCTGCCGTTGCTATGCGAGCCGTCAAGTCCTGGAAAGACATCATGAGGCACATGGTCATCATACGAAGGCAATGATTGAGCTTCCTTTATTTTATCCGTGGATGAGAGGTTCTTTCTCTTGACTTTGATACGTAGTTCACTTGGCATTTACATGTACTAGTAGTCCTTGCACTCTCACTCTCCCGTCATGTCATACAGTTACAGCTTACACAGTTGTTCTCGAGTACTAGGTTATGACTGCTTGGAATAGTACTAAATGAGATAAATCCAGTGCTTGATCATGATCATATTGCACTTCAATAATTTCATCCTCAGCCCTTCAGCAGGACCGAGTACTATCAGGAATTCCGTGTAGTAGCTGACATGAATTAGCGCCGGTGCGCTATGTAATCCTGTACCTAACTCAACTTGCAATGTCAACATGCACAACCAACTAGCACATCATACCAGGTTGTCTGTGTACTTAGTGCCTCTTCCTATCGATCCCTTCCAGACTACCACTCTACAACGCTTTACCTTGTCTCGTCCGTCAGCAGACAAAGATCTTTTGCATTTGGTCCCGTTTCAATACCTCCGTCGCCATGCGGGATGGATACATTCGCATGTTTATCTCCTGGTTGAGGCTCATTATCAAGAGAACTGCATTTCGATCATATAGGCGACTTCTCTCTATTCTCCTGCGAGTGATCCGACACTGTCAATCTGTCGTGAATGGAAAGGAGGGGAATTTTCGAGAGCGGCCTAGTTTAGCATTGAGCTCTCAGCCAGTGGCCAACCAACCCGAGCCGACGCCTTCTGTGAGCCTTGCAGTGCCATTACGAGTGTCGCAACCTGGAACGAACGTTCAAATGTCAATTTCCGAGCCTTATGAGGGGACGAATATCAATGTCTCAGCTTATGATACGCAATCTCCCCGGAACCCCACTGCGCCGTCCACACCAATCTCTATGCCCGAGCCCAGCATCCCTGTGGTTGTCGCTATGCCACCGTCTCCTACGGCGCCAGGACAGACCTTGAATATCTTTCTAACTCCCATTGTACCCGAACCACAGGTCAGACGATACGAAAGGCGTGTTCCAGTGTACGCAAATTATACTATGTCGAGTGAGCTGCCGTTTTAATCCATATTCACAGTAACAGTGAGTACAAGCCATTTGAGGTTAAGAAAGGTCCTCTGGACTGTTTAGAGTAAGCATGCTGGTGAGAGAATCAACGACGAGATTGAAATGGACTTGCAGGGAGCTCGCTCCGGTAGCGGGATGGGAGCCATTCACGCACCCAGAAGGGGCTTTGTTCTTTTATCACCCACATAAAGTGTGTCTACTGCCTGCTGCCAGTATATGGCTTTGCTGAAGCCACACCAGAGAGCTTTCACCGATGCCAATGTTCGAGACTCTGAAACTACAGTCAAAATAGACAAAGCTGTTGAGAAGGCGTACGAGGAAGCGCGCAATGCAAACATCCTCTTGGATCCATTCGTCGAGCTAGGATTAGAGCTCATGGTGGAGGATGGCGAAGAAATGTGGGGCTACTACTTCGTTGACCACAAAAGACGTGTCATTTTCTGGTTCGAAGACTACAAATTCTTTGAACTTATGAATAACGTTCGAGGTGTAAAGCGCAAAAGCCACGTCAGTAAGTTCTTTCCACGAAATACTAGTCTCGTTTTAAGCTCCTGTAATTGCATCGCTCCCAGAGTATGCATTAGATTCACAGTATTGGTTCGTGTGACCTCCAGATGTACGCATGTTCCATCACTCGACCGAAGTAAATGCGCTCACACTTTGTTACAGCCCTTTTTTCACCTCCCATGATTTACATACCGTGACGTTGGCAGGAGACACATCGAGCTATTTCCAAACAAGCGCGTCCTTCCGGAAGACATCGTCGTGACACTCAAAGAAATTGTGATGCATGCTCATGCAGGTAAGTAAAGATCAATAAGCGTTTCACGCCATACACGATTGACTTGTGATAGAAAACATCACTTCCGAAACGTGTCTGGCACCTTTTGCTCCAAATGAGGTTGCAAGTATGCTTGAACTTGTGAATCATCTTAAGGGTCCATCATTCCCTGATGTGCAAGGGTGATTGTTGATCGTCTTTTCAGACAGTACTAACAAGGAGCGTGAGCACTCCGTGTGGATCGCTGGTAAGTCTGATCACGGAATGTCAGTTGATTGCTTCTGATATGTTTGCTGATTTCAGCTCGATTTATGAGGCTTTTTTGTGAGTTTCAACCAGTAGTCCGCAATCTCTATATCCTGATTACTTTGCCAGGCAACGCAAAATTTGTGAATTTCTGTGGACAACCAGGTGCCCGACTTGACGTAGATCAATCGTTGTATGGAGAACATGATACTCGCTCCAAAAAGATCATTCTTCGTATCATGAATGTCATTCTATTTGGATCCCCAGATGCTCAAGGCAAGAAAATTCACAGGATATGGGTCGATGAAACCATCGTTCAACCGCGATGGAAGGATTTTATCAATAGGCTTACCACCGAATGGAATGGATATACAATATTTGTGAGTTGCGCTTTCGTTTCATATTGCCATACAATCAATGACCACCTCAGTCTACTGTAATGCTCGCTGTTGATATTAGTTTTCTCGCGGTCCCAGCTGTCGCGACTCAAACGCCCGCGATCGTCCTAGCATATCTGTCTTCCCTCTGCGCTTTGGGCTCTTTAATGGTCTCACTGATCTTGGCTGGACAAGTTAATGACAACCGGCGAGGCTCTGCTGCAGACGTGGTAAGTTTCTTTTTTGATTGTATCACCTACATTATTCATGTCCACAGGCCTCTTTCATGGTAGGGATGTCGGAGTCCATTCTTGGCCTCGAAAGCCTTGCCCTGATGCTCAGCCTGCCGTTTGCACTTCTGATTTGGGGGTCAGTTTCCGGCTCACATCCCACGGATTAGTGGCTCATCCTTTGACAGAATGGCGTTCTTTGCTGGAGCATTGTCCACCCTGGTTTTCCGCACTTCTGGCGTTGTCGTCCTCTCGATTACATCTCCAATCTGGTTTGCCGTATTCGTCCTAGCGACGTGGCCCATACTTGCCGCCAATGATATTCACATTTCTCACCTGAGGATCTGGATCATAAAACAAGTTTTACCTCAGGCTACGGGTCCCATCATCTCTCATGTCTAATCTGTGTTGTCTGACTGTAGGGACTTTCTGTGGCGCGACACACATACAGTTCGTATATGATGTTTTGCAAGTTGGTTTAGTTTAGTTTCCTCCTGGATAGTCCCACACCGAGTTTGGCAACTCTAGATCTGGGATTGACATTCCAGGCTTGTCTATCTCTTCTACATAATCCACAAAATAGCCTCCCGGCCTCTTTTAAGCACCAGTATGTCGAGTTCTGTGATGATACCATTATCGAGTTGTAGGTGTAGTAGTACAGAGTAGTACTTACATGTATCAACTCGTGACCGAGTATGTGCTTACGTCGTCTTAGCAATACTTACGACACTGGCATGCACTCACTTTTCGTTCCACAATCAACCGGTTCCACCACAGTCGCGTCCCCCATTGCGGGAATTGGTGGCAAAACACCTCCGTAGTTGATCTCAACATTATATGAGGAGCGATCGGCTAGATGGGTCTTAAGACAACCTTAGCGCTCAGAACGATTCCGGCGCCACTCAAAGACGTGTATCGCGTGCTGTTCGCTGGACCGTACGCTCATTCTCCTACCCCTTCCTATCGTTCTTCTCACCTACTTGTTTGAAACAAAGTTACTTAGTTTTCGTACTCAGCTCTATTTTCTTCCATCATGATCATCCATGGAAAGAACAGTTGCATGTTTGTCTCCTGGCTGAGGTACATTGTCAAGACAGCCGCATTTCGATCGTACAGGAGTCTCCTCCTTGTCTTCCTGCGACTGATCCGATACTGTCAATCTATCGTGAACGGGAAGGAAAAAGATTTTCGCCAACGGTCTGGCGGTTTAGCATTGAGCTCTCAGCCAGGGATCAATCAACCCAGCTCCGAGCCGGCGCCTCCTGTGAGCCTTGCAGTGCCGTTGCTCGAGGCACCTCTACAAAGTCTACACAGCTGGGAGTCCCAGCCGAGAGTGAACATCCAGAATCTTCAGATGCTAACTCCCGGACTTCGTGGAGGGTTAAATGACGCAGGTTTTAATGCAGACTCTCCCCCGAACTCTTCTGTGCCATCGAGGCCAAGCTCTGCATCCGAACCCAGCATCCCCGAAATGGGTATTGCCACGCCACTGCCTCTTGCGGCACCAGGCCAGACCTTTGATATCATTCTCACTCCCATTACACCCCAACAAGTCAACCGATACCAAAGGAATGTGCGAGTGTACGTAAATTGTATTTCGAGCGAGTTACCGTTCTAATTCATACTTGCAGTAAAGGTGAGTATGAGGCGTTCTTGGTCGAGGAAGGTCCTTTGGACTGTTCAGAGTAAGCATGCCGGTGAGAATCGGCGACGAAACTGAAATGGACTCGCAGGGAGATTGCTCTGGTAGCGGGATGGGAGCCGCTCACGCAACCAGAAGGGGCTTTGATCTTCTATCAGTCGTGTAAAGTATGTTTACCACCCGCTACTAGTGCATGGATTCACTCAAATTACACACCAGAGAGTTTTCACTGACGCCAATGTTCGAAATCCTGGAACTGCAGTCAAAATTGAGAAAGCTGTTGAGAAAGCCTACGAAGAAGCGCGCAACGCAAGCATCCCCTTGGATCCATTCATCGAGCTAGGATTAGAGCTCATGGTGGAGGATGGCGAAGAAATGTGGGGCTACTACTTTGTTGACCACGAAAGACGCGTCATTTTCTGGTTCGAAGACCACAGATCATATCACCTTATGAACAATGTTCGGGGTGTGGAGCGCAAGAGCCATATCAGTGAGTTCTTTCCGTGGAATACTTTCGCTTCGAGCTCCTGTAATCATGTCGTTCCTAGAGTATGCACTAGAATCGCAGTATTGGTGCGTATGACCTCTAGAAGTACGCATGTTACCTCATTTGACTGAAGTCAATGAGCTCACTTCGCAACAGCTCTTTTTTGCTTCACATGATTTGCATACCATGGTGTTGGCAGGAAACACATTGAGCTATTTCCAAACCGACGCTTTCTTCCGGAAGACATTGTCGTGGAACTCAAAGAACTCGTCCTGTTTGCTCAGGCAGGTGAGTAAAGACTAGTAATAAGTGTTTCACACCCTACAAGATCGACTCGTGATAGACAGCATCACTTCTTCAACATCCCTAACATATTTGACTTCGGACCAGATCGCAAGTGTTCTCAGCCTCGTCGATCTTCTTACATGTAAGTCGATCCCTGATGTGGGGTCATCGTTGATTGTCTTTTCAGCGAGTGCTAACAAGACGCGCGAGCATTCCGTGTGGATCGCCGGTAAGTCCAATCATAGACGGTCGGTTGTCTGTTTCTGATATGTTTACCGATCTCAGCTCGATTCATGGGAGATTTCTGTGAGCTTCGGTTAATAATTCGCAATCCCCACTTCCTGATTACTTTGCTAGGCAACACAAAGTTTGTGAATTTCTGTGGACAACCAGGTGCCCGACTTGACGTAGACCAATCGTTATACGGAGAATCCGACGCCTCCTCGAAAAACATGATTTTTCGTGCCATGAATGCTATTCTGTTTGGATCCCCTGGTGCTCAGAGCAGGGCCTTCCACAAGATATTGGTCGACCGACGCATTATTAATGCGCGGTGGAAGCAGTACATGGACAAGCTGAATAGCGATTGGAATGGATATACGATATTTGTGAGTTGTACTTTTGCTTCATATTGTTATAATAGCTAATAACTATCTCAGTCTACTGTGATGCTTGCTGTCGATATCAGCTTTCTCTCGGTCCCATCTGTCCAGACCCAATCGCCTGCGATCCTTCTATCTTACATGTCCACCCTCTGCGCCTTGGGCTCGTTAATAGCTACACTATTATTAGTTGGACAAGTTAATAAGAGCCTACGAGGTTCCCCTAAAGCAATAGTATGTTCATCTTTCCATTGTTTATCCTTAGATATTCTTGACGTCCACAGGTTTCTTTCTTAGTAGGAATGGCGGGTTCTGTGCTCGGCTTCGAAAGCTTTCCCCTTATGCTTAGTCTGCCGTTCGGACTTCTGATTTGGGGGTGCGTTTCCGGCTACATTAAATGGGTCGGCGGTTCATTGTTCGACAGAATAGTATTCTTTGCTGCAGCATTGTCTGTTGTGATTTTCCGCACTTCTGGCATTGTCATCTTCTCGATTGCATATCCGGTGTGGGTCGCCATAGTCGTTCTAGCGATGTGGCCCATACTGGCTGCAAATCGTATTCACATTGGGTCCCTCCTGCGGGACTGGCTTCGCATGTGGTACCACCGGCTTTCCGTGTGGTATTGGATCATAGGACAACGCGCCTCTCACTTGTGGCATACGATCATAGAACAAGTGCCACTTATGGTCACCACCCCCTCTCAAGTCTAATTTGTGTGGTCTGTGATTGTAGGGACTTTCTGTAGCGCGTGCATTTTGATCGATTTATGCCATACCCCTTTCTTCTCGAGCACCCATACACAGGATGTAAATTTCAGCTCCGGGTTTACTGTCGTCTCTTCTTGAAGCCGGTCCGTGGCGGTGTTAAGAAGCACAACTGAGGCGGTGTAAAGCTAAAATCACGAGGCTCATCCCGGGTCACGGGATGTGTATGTCCGGGGCCACCGCCTCGTGTAGAAAGTACTCGAAATGTTTCTAAACTATGGATGACAGCGTTTACTTTGCCGAGGACCGGATGATCTACACTGTGAAGATCACGCACATGTCATGCCAGTCGATTCTTTGTCATGGCACACATGCATGATGTCGTTATAAAATTCAGCGTGTTATGTTAATGTCAATCGAGACTGGTGTAGGCAATTGCAGGCTGGCAGTGCCAGAGTAGAATGTCGTCGATCCAGAGTAGAATGTCGTCGATCCAGAGATGAAATGAGTCATATGCTCACGTATACTCATCATGGGCGTAGATCGACACAGGATCATTTACGGTGGTGGGGTAACATTTCGAAAGGCATCACGGATTGGCAGTATGAGCCTTTTCAAATTCATGCGAGTCAGAACGGCACTTTGGAATCTTACGGAAGGTGACGTTGTTTCATTGAAAGCTTTAAGGAAAGTCTGCCACATACATACTTGTGCAGGCCACGTTGAGAATGAGGGTATCGACAATCGCAAGATGACTCGTTGCGATGACCCGTTGGGATGGGAAACAGGCCCGACGCTGTGCGATTCTGAGGATCCTGGGAATCGATGGCGCAGCTTTAGAATCATCGGCTGTCTGGCATGATCCGGGCCCAGGTGAACGTTAACCATATGATCACTCACTCGAACAACCATTTAATAATCAGGACAATCAATTGCCCAAGCCTCATTGAATCGTTGCTCAGAAACTTTAATACCCGGATATAAACGTGCTGTGGCACGACTGATTGGGCAGGTTGACGCCGGTAGCTGACTGGTTCATAGCGGAGTGGTACGATTTAATTTTTTTAGTGTCGTTATTGATCAGAAGCGCTGCGACTTTGAAGCTGAAGAAGCTTCGGTTAGCTACCGAATATTATACGAGTCCGATCATAAAGCCTAGGGACGGGAGATTAGCAAGGATTACGAGGCATATAACGTACTTGAATGTTATCATGGTGTCGAGCCGCGGACTCTGGCAGAGTCTGGCCCAGATAAGTACCAGAAAGACATGGCTTAGTCAGTACCTAAAAAAGAATGCCATGACTGGCAAGTGGTTGTCCGCCCTGAAGGGGTGCGAGACCATTATGATGAAAACGAAAAGGGAACATAGGACCTACATGGAAACATTGCGTTCATGTGGAGTGGTATTAGGAAGGCTGCCAGTGATGAGTCTTGTTGCCTTGTCTTGGCCAACATAGCCAGTGATATATAGCGCTAAAAATGCTTGGGTGTGTGTAATGTGGAAGGGTGCTCGACGGAGGTTATCAAGCTATGTTGGGAAGCCTCCTATGACAGCAGGGCTGTGGTTTGTATTGGTTAGAGTGATGAAATATGTAATAAATTCTACAGGAATAATGCAGGAACGCGAAAGTTTGCTGTGTTGTCAAAGATATCAAGGTTGATATCAAGATAAGATGTTCGGTTGGGGAGATGCGGAGGAGAACACTGATAATATGAGCGCATGCCGGTGCGTGCGCATGATACACACAACTTTAACCAGTCTAAACACGTACAACACGTACAATACGTTTCGTGTTATCGATTCTGTTCGTGTAGATATCGATACAAATAACTAGGTCCAAAGTGGAATCATGGGCTTACATTCATTGTCTCAGTTTGAGATAGCAGACAAGTACGTGGTAAACTGTAACTTGTTGGGTACTGTGAGACTGCGCCGCATCATCATCGGTTTGCATACTGATACCGGATCTCCCCAAATCACCGTGAGCGCCGCGCAACGTTGAGACAAGCCAAAACTGGATGAGACCCCGAGGCTGATGCACTGGTGAGCTGGCTCTGGCGAGTGTAATTGAATAAGATTACTGGCATCCAACGTTGGCAACGACTATATGTGATGTGGCGGTTGATCTGTATCTTAACCTTCAGTAAGATGTTATCATGAGCGAGGACAGCGGAAAGACCAACTAACTAATATTGGATCCGGGTCTGTCGCGAACTCGGGTCCAAGCTGAAGATAAAGGGCCGGTGTGAAGAGCAGTGCGACCAAGGGACGAAAGAGAACCGAACCGACTTGGGAGGTGATCGGGGTCTTGGTGGGCCATAATTAGCCGATTACATTACCGCATGTAATGTAAATAAAAAGTGAGAAATGACCGTCGTACCATTCCCTTGTCTCTGTCCCTTTACATTCCTCACAAGGCCTCTCATTCTATTGAGACTGGCTAAATAACCTGCCGCCATCACACAAGGCAGCCGACTCCGGCACTTGCTCATCGCAACTTCGGGCGAGCGTGTTGTCCCTCACGGTGAGTACCCAACACTGCTCGGACTTGTTTCGCTTCGTATCCAATTACTGACCGACTTTGGTTTCTTTTTAATAGCTTCTGACGCGTTAGATATCATCTCCCATCCATCCCACCTTTTAGTCTCTCTAGGTCACCACAATGCGTTCCATTCTCCAGCCTCTCGCTGGGCGCACTGTGTTTGCACCAATTGAAACAATAGTCTTCTTCGCCATCGTCGGAACTCTCGCTTACTTCCAGGTCCTTTCAGCAATTAAGCACTCTTCATTCTTCGCTCCGTCTGTTCCTTCAACACTCCGTCCAGCTCATGCGTTACTGCGTGATGGCGAGTGGGTCGGCGTCGATGAAGACTGGTATTTGAAACGCGTTAAAACAGCAGATTCCCGTCCATTGGAATTACAACAATTAATATTTTCATTAGATCCTGCTCAGTCTTCGGTCAAAGTCAGTATCTGTCCATTCTATTTTTACCGTCATCATTGTAACACGTTATTGTTTTACCAGGTTACTGCAGACTCCGCACCTGTCGACCTCGTATCATTATCACAATCTATTGACAATATTACGCACCATATAGCTCATGAGCTCTCTACCCCATCAGGCGAGACGTATACATCCCTATGCTATTATCCAGTGTCCGGTGAATCATCGTTACCCGCTTCATGTTTCACCACCGCATCCCTCCAGACTTCCCGGTCGAAGATGGTCACGCTGTCTTTTGCTGCTGGTGCTAGCGATGCATTTGTAGACGCGCTGAACCATCAACCCACGTTCTCGGCTGATGAATTTGGAGTCAGATACCAAATAGAGAGTCACGTCACGGAGACCATCGGAGAAATGAAAGGTGGTAAATGGATGGCTTACGCCGCACGGGCCCTTATTGTACGATTCTGGGAGCTTACCAAGGTCAGTAGCTTATTATCATGTTGTGTTCTCGTCGTACTCACCTGCAATCTAGAAAGCGGATTCAGTGGACATCTTGCTCGTCCTCGTCGGTTACATCCTCATGCACGCGTCATTCATTCGCTTGTTCTTCTCAGCTCGCGCACTTGGTTCCAACTTGAAACTTAGCATTGCAATCTTGTCATCATCCATTCTCGCATTCATGCTCGCTCTCCCCATCTCACATTACCTTGAGATTCCTTTGGATCCAATTAGTCTCACAGAAGCTCTGCCCTTCTTTGTCTGCACGGTTGGCTTCGATAAGCCCCTCCGTCTTGCAGCTGCTGTATTCAACCACCCTCATCTGTTATCTCCCGTTAAAGAGGGCAGGTGGCGTGGTCAGATGAAACCTGCTGGCGAAGTAGTTATGGAAGCCATCGAAAATAGCGGTAATGCCATCTTGCGTGATTACGCCCTCGAGATCGCAGTCCTCTCGATGGGAGCGAAAAGCAAAGTTGGTGGTCTGAAGGAGTTCTGCGCGCTTGCGGCCCTGACCCTGACACTGGATTGTGTTCTATTCGGCACCTTCTATGCCGCGATGTTGGCAATTATGGTCGAGGTTAGTAGTCATGTGATCTCCTTTTTTGTAACAACTGGGGGTTAGGGTCAACATGACTCTTTCTCTAATTGTTCTCCAGAACAACGCTCATGGTGTCTGATTGTCTTAGGTCCGGAGGATTAAAGCTGCTCGTGACATGACAAGATCCCGGAGCTCAAACAATTTGACTGAACGCAAACCAAGTGCCCTTGTCCGTTCACCTCCCCAAGCCCAGGACGCTAGCCTTAGCCGTCAGCTCTCAGAGAGTCTATTGGGTGTTAAGGGTTCCATGCTCAGACAGAAGAACAGCCCACCGCCAGAAGTTAAGGAAGAGAATCCCCTCGCACGTCTGAAGCTTCTTCTCGTACGTCACTGCCGCAACTGACCTCTCCTATCACACTGATGTGTGATCGAATAGATCGCATCCTTCCTGACACTGCACATTCTGAATTTCGCGACGACGCTTACACCTGCGACCATCTCCAGATACCAGACTCAGACCTTGATCGACTCTGTAGTACGCGAAACCTCTGTATCACACAGGGTCGACATTACCTCTCCTGCCATTGCGAGTGTGCTCGCCAACCTTGCCGCTGTCGACGCGACTCTTCAGGTGGAAGTAGAATCCAACTCCGCACCTGCCGATCTCCTTGTCAAAATCGCCCCGCCCTTGTACATCCGCGTCACGCCGCCAGGTCCAGTTCGTCCCCGTGCACTATTCAGATCTACCGAGGCTATCGAGAACTTTATGACTGGTTGGACAACGCTCGTCGGCGACCCCATTTTGTCAAAGTGGATCGTCCTTGTCCTCGCTGTCAGCGTCGCACTCAATGGTTACCTTCTCAAGGGCATTGCTGAGGGTGCCATGCGTGGACTACAGCCCAACAATGTGCGCTTCAGATCGGTCGTTGCTGAGAAACGCGAGAAGGATGATGAGGAGATTGTAACCCCTGGAGTTAAGGCTGCTGGTGCACGCAGACGGTCATCGTTCGTGGTCGGTGATTCGAAGCCTCCTTCACCGAGTTCTTCAGATTCCGAGAGGCCTATCGTCCGTCCCCTTGCTATCCGCCCTATGCGCGTCGTTGCACCCATCGCAATTCCCGCTGCTACTGGCGTGTCTGCACAGATGCTTGACATGAAGCTTCGCGCACAAGCCTTACCTGCGCCTGTACCAAAAGAGGACCAGCCGCTTCAGTTCCCTGTCCGGTCGTTGGAGCAATGCATTGAGGTGTTTGAGAATGGGCCTCGTCCTGCGTCGGCGGCTCTTGCGACCCTCAATGACGAAGAGGTTGTCATGCTTGCACAGAACGGGAAGATTGCGGCATATGCGTTGGAGAAGGTACTTGGTGATCTCGAGCGGGCTGTGACCATCCGTCGTGCATTGATCTGTAAGTCTGTCTCCCTATCTCAGCGATACTCGTGTTAACGTGATACCTAGCTCGTGCAACTGACACCAAATCTCTTGAGTACTCGGATGTCCCCATGCACAACTATGATTACTCTCGTGTCCTTGGCGCGTGCTGTGAAAACGTTGTTGGTTACATCCCTATTCCTCTTGGTATTGCTGGCCCTCTCAATATCGACGGCGAGCTCGTCCACATTCCCATGGCTACTGCTGAGGGTACACTCGTTGCTTCTACTTCGCGTGGTTGCAAGGCCCTGAATGCAGGCGGAGGTGTCACAACTGTCCTCACCAACGACGCCATGACACGCGGACCTGCAATCGACTTCCCTTCCATCGTCATGGCCGCAGAAGCTAAAGCATGGATTGACTCGGAAGAAGGCTTTGAGATCATCCGTGAGGCATTTGAATCGACGTCACGTTTCGCCAAGCTTCAGCGCCTCAAGACTGCCATGGCTGGTCGCACGCTCTTTGTCCGGTTCGCAACACGCACCGGTGATGCTATGGGCATGAACATGATTTCCAAGGGTACGGAGAAGGCGCTTGAGGTCGTGCAGAAGTATTTCCCAGAGATGATCACGCTTGCTCTATCGGGCAACTACTGCACGGACAAGAAACCTGCTGCCATCAACTGGATTGAGGGACGCGGAAAGAGTGTGGTGGCTGAGGCTGTTATTCCTGGGAAGGTTGTCAAGAGCGTGTTAAAGACCACGGTTGAAGCACTTTGCAATCTCAACACGAAGAAGAACTTGGTTGGCAGTGCTATGGCGGGCTCGATTGGTGGCTTCAATGCCCATGCCGCAAATATCCTCACTGCGGTTTTCTTGGCTACTGGACAGGACCCTGCGCAGAACGTGGAGAGCTCGAATTGTATGACCCTCATGGAACCGTAAGTCACGATTGTTATCATCTGGTAGTGCTTGATACTGATAGTTATCGGTAGAACCAACGATGGTGAAGATCTTCTTATGACTGTGTCTATGCCCTCGATTGAGGTCGGCACTGTTGGTGGAGGTACTGTTCTTGGTCCCCAGGGCTCCGTTCTTGAGATGCTTGGGATTAAGGGTGCACACGCCACCACTCCCGGCCACAACGCGCAGCGCCTTGCTTGTATTATTGCTGCTTCCGTCATGGCTGGTGAACTCTCGCTGCTTAGTGCTCTTGCCGCCGGCCACCTCGTCCGTGCTCATCTCGTCCACAACCGCTCCCAAGCCAACACTCCAACGTCGTCGCGGCCCGTTACCCCTGGACTCATCGCCAGCGACATCGTTTGGGAGCAAAAGACCGCTGAGAAAAGTCTCGGACCACGGCCTGATCCTGTCCTCACGCATTCATTATCGACGACATCGTTACCCCCGTACACAGCAAATCCGGAGACCGTGACTGAGACCAAGCCGTCTCAGTAGTGCCAGCCTGATCGCGTCTCCACGATACTAACATCTGTGATTTCGAGACTGACGATCAATATTCTTTCCTTTAGACTATGTCTCATACTCATCTACATACATCAATATCTTTTCCCATTGCTTTCGCTCAGCATTTAGACGGAAAATAGCTATAGGATCTTTATCTTTGTATATTTGTAGTTAGTTGGGTTATACTACGTAGCGACCGCCTTCATGTTGTGCGTTCAATCAATACCTGCTGGTTGATTTATTGTGTGTGATGTGCCTCTCTCTTAACGACAGCTTTGAAGTCCAAGTGATTATAATTACAACTTCGCCAAGTGATACCAAGAAAATTCGACACGACGCCATATTTTATGTAACATCTGACCCGCAGAATAATCCTCGCAGCTTGTCCACAACCCATTGAAGAGCGCATATATGAGGTCCGATGGTCGTCTTTGTACGCGTCCTCTTCCTCCTCCTATTCATGAATTTGTCCATTTTCGAACCTTCCTGCGAGAAATCAAGTCCTTGACAGCATTTGCGTCCATTGAGTCGAGAAAAAAGGAACAAAACCGATTCTTGAATCCATGCGAACTAATAATACCTGTACGGATAACCCTGGTAGCCCGCACCCCACCCATTGGCACCTGCTGCGGGCGCGGCATGCATGTTGTATGCGTTCAGGGCACCTGGCGCGACACAGGGGTAATACTGATAGTAATACTGAGGTGCGGCAGGGGGCTGCCACCCATTGGCGCGGGCGGGGGCGGTATAGGCCTGCACTGTGTTAGGCCTGACGTGAATGACTCCCAACATGTTGTTGGGGTTTTGCTGGGGTTGGTTGGGAGCAGGGGGCTGGGGCTGAGGTTGGAGCTGAGGCTGGGGCCAAGCCTGGAACTGGAACTGGGGCCGGAGCTGAGGCTGGAACTGGAACTGAGGCTGGGGCTGGGGCTGGGGCTGAGGCTGAGGCTGGGGCTGAGGCTGAGGCTGGAATGAAGTCAACGAGGTCGTGTAAGATGCGGACCGGGCGGCAGTACGACCACTGCGGCGTGGGCGGCGCGGATTAGGAACATATCCATGTTCTGCCTTGCGGTGGAGCGTCAGGGAGGCAGGGTTGTGGGTCTTGAAGCCACAACCTGTAGGACAAACGTACCGCTGTTTGCCAGTACTAAAATCGTTGTTGTTAATTCGGTGAAATTGTCGACGGTTATGAATGAGCACTTACTGTTTGTCGGTGTGGATTTCGAAGCTGGGTTTTGACAACGTTACAAAGTCACATCCGTCAAAGCGGCACACATGGGCGCTGGCAGTGAGCGAATGTCAGTGAGTTGTATGGCATACGAGATAACCACGGACTCGGGTGAATGTGCAGCCTTGTGTCTCTTGAATTCGTTACATTTAGTAAAAGTTTTGGTGCAACCAGCCTGAGCGGAGCAAACGTAGATCTACACGTTCCGAACTCAGTCTTGATGCATGAGGTATGCACGTGATTAGGCTCACCATCTTGGAATGACTGATTGTAGAGGAATATGAGCAGGGGATACTACGTGATTCTGTCTGAGGTGAATGCTGGTTCTCCTTGGAGTGATGATGATGCTAGGTAGGCATCTGTGCTAGTATATATACGATTCCTGACGGCTGTGGAAGTACCATTGTTCTCTGCGGTGGACGGACGCTTCAAGTTGTGGACAGACGCTCCATGTGGACAAATGTTTGCGGAGTTCATACACGTACAGTTTGTGGAAGCAACTAGTAGATGTGAGCCACTGTCACGATGGCGGAGCGTGAATGATGCATTGTCCGTTTGAAGGCTTCGAACAATATCTGACATACACATTGCCACGAAGAAAATCGTCATAGCAAGCACTGGTAAGGCGTGGCGCTTGTGGATGAAGATGCCTGCGAGAGCATAGTAACCCAATTTTAGTGGATGAGGGGCATTAAGGACTTGGCCCAACTAAGACGCTCGTGGATACAGCATCGTTGAAGGCATGACCGGGTGAGACACGAACAGCAGTTTTGAGAATGAAATATCAGATTGTCAGAGGATGTCGAGGTCGATGAGCATTACAAGTTGACTTCAGGTCCTAGCTGAGTTTGAAGAAATGTTTAAGGTTCTAACCTCATCTAAACGGACCTCCCCTTCATCTCATCGTGACTTTAGACTTTAGTGGACCGTACCCATACAGGAATGTGCGCTCTATCTCATGACAACGAGTGGCTTGTACTGTTGCATGGGTACCAAGAAAGCCTAATTCCAGGAATCTTATTGATACACCTTCAATCTGCATGCCGCTTATGATCGATCTGATGGTAGTTTATTGATCAATCGTCAACATAGCTCCCAGGTAGTTTCAGGCTTTCACCTAGGCTCGTGACCAGCCTGGCTTATACCCCACGGACAAGTCGAGTGGCGGAGCCAGTTTTCGAGTCACCACTTCGGGCACGCCCTTTCCTCACGAGCTTGCTCTGAATTATCCTTTTTCTTGCATATCGCAGATGCGCTGACAGTTGGCCGGGAATCCATCCCCAGCCATATCTGGTCCACGGCAGCCTTTGTATAGATTACTCAGTATCCCAATGCTTATTGGAAAGACAGGTTCTCCGATCCACAACATTATCTCCGGGGTCTTGATCGATTGGCATATATCATGACTCCACAACAACCGTGCTCTATCTTACATTGTTCGGATAGATATCGCTGCTAGAACCATCTTTTGCACTCCACAGCGGTTGTTGTCCCTACCAGAGCCTACCTACGTCGAGTTCGGCATCTCCCGTTGCTTCTGCAGTTCGTAACTTCCGTTGTGGAAGCAGATCTTGTGTTCAGCTACTCAACAACCCACATTCTATTCTTTCGTTCAATCCTACCGCACCCCGTGTTGAATTGGCATTGTTACTTTCACAAAACCACGCAATGACCAGACATCACGGCTTGTACATTATATTGAACATACTGGCTACATATAGGGCACATCCAAAGATGAGATTTACAATAAGCGCACCGGCGCGGGTGTGGCGTCGTCTATACCTGCGGTTCCAGTCCCACAACAATCTCCGCAACTTCGCATCCATAAACAGAATCCATTACCAATCTACCAATGGTAAGAGGAAATCGCGGACTGTACATTGACCCCGGTGGTAATGACAGTGAGGCTCTCGTCGTCCGGGGCGAGGGTGGAGAAAATGCCAGTGTCGATAGATTTGTGCAGGTTAAGCATTAGCCGGGAGATGAGAGTAACGGACATGCTGCTCCGAGGTCATATTTTATCTTGATCCGTGTTTATCGCATCAATCACTCACCAACTAGTAAATGCGCCGAGGGTGCCACTCATCATACCCTTGCCACTCATCAGGAAATAGTCAAACTAATACAGAACGCGAGTCCATGCTCACTGAATTGACCTGATTCAAGCTGTGAGCATTTCGTGTGACACATCAGTATTCACTAGCGACTCACGTAGTACGTCAGGATGTTCGGTATATTGGACAATGCCATCGCTCTGAAGGAACGCGGATCAGAATCACTCGATTCACGATCTCGCTAGTAACCTCACCCGAAATACATCGCACCTACATTCGATTAATTCAGTGTTGAAAGCACCGAAACTAGGAAATATTTATTTACCATCGTGAAATATGGTATCGATAACATTTCTCCTGGTGACCAGGGATAGTCGTAGCAAACCTCTAGTTTTGCAAATCCTGTACACTGTGAGGGTGAAAATGAGTAAATCGAAGACAAATAGGGCCACCCATGCCAGCCCGAGACCTGCAGTTATGACATCAAGTTGTATATACAAACGTGATGTAGAATTTACTGACGGATAGACCTGCAATAACTTTTGAGCGGGCGTACAGAACGTCAAAGAGAACAGCGTACGTCTCTGCTGTATATGTTTCGTAGCAACCAACCCCTGGCAGGATGACCGTATTGCCTGAAAACCGTCCAAATGTCCCCACCTAGAAACAATTAATGCATCTTAGAGTATAAAATTCTATACGAACACGCACCGAAGCTGCTCCTGCAAGAGCAACGAGGATAATTATCAGCCAAGCAAGCAGGCGCTTGCTACAGCCGTAGAGAGCATAAGTGCGAATGGTCATTATGACTGGAATTTTCAATATAAGAGTTTCTCCAAATGAATTTAACTCACGACAACCAATGATTGCTTGGGTAAAAATGACCAGTTGTCTATACAGCGTATATTTCGAACAACTAAGGCTTTATTGAGCAGAGCGACACACACGAGACTAAAATAAAACCTCTACAGAAAGAAGTTGTGAGCATGCCAATTTAGTACGTGCATAACGAAATCACAGAACCTCATCTGAAACAGGCAGGAAATCCATAACTAAGCCGCAGATATTGGCAAGGAGAGCGACATAGCGATTGAGCAGAAATAACACTGCGGACAGCGCTTTCGGACGACACCATATAAAGGCGATTTCGTCTGGTAGGATCATCATATGGTCATATATCAGGATAGCTGGATTCAGGATATCGTGTTATCGTCCTGAGCTTGGGGATAAAGACATTACAGCCAATGCTCACTATTTCCCGCCAGGGTAGCGTAAATGCACGAGAACCTGGAGTATTCAGCCGCCATCAGGATACATGGTCAATCAGGTCCGTACTGCGCGTGCGCATGCCACTCACATCTGCAACACTTCCAAGTCAGTAACATCCATTTTGATGAGGCAATAAGAAAGGCGTCGAGAATGAGCAGCGATCCGTTAATGCCATTATATACCAGCCCCATTTAACAGCTATTTATGCAATCATTCATCAGGTACTATGTACGCAGCATGATATTTCCTTGCTGAAACGCAAGGATAATCATATTGCCACCTTGGCGATCGTGGGGGAGTTGAAAAAAAGTAACCTAAAGCAACTTGCGACACGCGGAGATTTTGATACGGGAATCGGGATAACTTGTGAAAGTCCGATTGCGGACATTTATGTAAGTTGTGAACTAGACGAACCAGATCTAGGATGTTTTGTGGCAAAACGCAGAACCTACCAGCTATTCATGACGAATGAAGGTACCTTGCATCTATCACTCCCTCCCCCGTTGAGGAGTGCCCACTGGATATTTTTCAACCGTTCACAGGATTACTCAAGTATGAACGCTTCATTCAACTGCGCATGATATTATGTAAGACTATGCTCATAGGAAAATTTCCGTGTACAATAGCAGCGATGACTTGATGATAATTGCGAGGACGGAAGTACGGTATCTTTCCTGATAGCACCTGAGAAGCAGTATTGAAGAGGAAAGTTTCCGGTAACATAGGAAGAGAAGCGCATACCGGGTCCTGAAGCATGGTACTTCCAAAAGAGTAGACACATATCACTCCACATGGTTGAGTAATGAGGGCAATCATGGCCTTCCTCCTGCAGAAGAAGCATCTCAGGAACCGCCCACCGTGCGACTGGGCTGGTTTAAAATGCCCGCAACTCTATGAGGATGTTCGATAGACCGAAACTTGCGATGCATGCCCGTTCATTGATAAATCACCACATTGGACTAACATACAACTGAGTGTCACACTTCTTTATCTAAACACCGCTTGCACAGGTTAGATCCCCATGAGTTACTGAGTTCGAGTGCACTGTACGGTGTATGAGTGACCACAATTGAGTAACAGAAGTGTTTTGATAAATGGTTCTTGAACCCTATCATAAAAGGCTTGCGATCCTGGACCAATTCTCAATTGCGAGGTCATTATGCAGGTGCATATATTGATTAAGAGATCCACTATGTGTCCACGGAGAAACCGTAGCGATATCTTTACCAAAACCCGGCGTCCCTTAGAGGGGTGGAACATTCTCGTCGTCGAAGTTTTCCATATCCTTAGCTCCCATAGCCTCTGTTTCGAATCTTGCGATGTGGAATTACCTCGAAGGATAGAATACTAAGACTGATCCTGACCTTCATCTTCTCCTGTTGGTCATCTTCTTCCAGAATTTGATCCCGAAGGGTTTTAAGCGAAACCTCGAGACCTAAGTAGGATGGCACGCTGTCAGGCTCAAGGCTCATCCACCGGTCCTAACCAGATATCACCATATCCGCCATGGACATCCGGATGCTCTGATGTCTTGCAGATAGGAGATGTGAGGTCTATTGAATCGTGGCTACTATATATGGGTCCCATCGCCGATTGATAGAATCCGATGATTTTGAATAAATTTCGAAATCTGCTCCAAAAGATGGGTTGAGTAAGGTTTGTTTGACATCGTCTGGAATCTGATGCTGTCAAAATCCATCCAGGCGGTGTCCAAGTAAGCCATGCCAGATCTATCCAAGGACATGGTAGAGGGGGATTCGGAAAAGAAAGGATCGAGAGAACGATGTCGGCAGCGTCTGCCATTGTAGCAGGACTTGGTACCCGTAGCTTAACAATATTACACTTAATGCGGTAGGTGCATCTTTTGAAGGGAGCGCCAACCTTCTCCGTGGAAGATTCTGAGTGGAGGTGGCTTGGAGGTTGGGGAATAGGAGGCCCTGCCTAAGCCAAGGGGTGTAGGACTCTGAAGCACGTGACTTAACGCATCTTTCACTGGTTCGACGTTCAACGTTAACATTCAACTGCTGTACGACGCGACCTTTCTTCATTTTGCTACATACTTTGCTACATACTGACTCTGATCGTCAGCTGCTATTCACAATGAGGAAGGGCAATTCATCGCGGAATTCAACTCAAGAAACCGGTACATCTAGCGAAGCAATAGCTCGTGGAGGCTCACTTAGTTCACTCCAATCCCGACACTGGCATCGACACGTCCTTCATCTAGCATCGACCCCGTGGCAGAGTCGGCTGGTTCCTGGAGAAGGTGAGTGTCCTGGAAATACGACCAAGATTACAACAAGCGCTCGAAGGATTCCCGCAGCCATAACCTGTTCCATCGAATGTGCTTCATCGACTCCAAATATCAACGAGGTAGGTTTCTCAAACTTGTCCTTCAGTCTCTGTGCTCTTTCTAAATTTTGGTGGCTGCGCAGGTTCAGGCTGCTCCGTCTGGTGTGGAAGTGGAGGCCGATACTCAATCGGGACTTCAGGATGCACAACAGGCTGCACAACGCATGCATACACTGTCGGGACCTGCAATAACTGTAGCGTCTGTTGGCAAAGACACACAAGCGGATCTCGATGCTGCTGACATTATCCAGGACACATATCTCAAACCTCTCAGGATATTCGACGATGTTATCGGGAAGATCACAGATGTATGGGTCTTCCTCTTGATAGGAACGGAATTAATCTAGTTTCACAGGTACATCCATATGCAAAGACGGCACTGGGCGTGTTGTCTTGTGCAGCCAAAATATGTTTTCTTTCTCTCTTCTTATCTTCTACTGCCCAGCAGTCATTTGTGCAGATTATTCTAACTCAAGCTGATCACGACGTGGCGGTACTCGAACTTCTCAAAAAGTTGCGTCAAGTTTACATGTTCATCGTACAAGATCAGATGCTTGGCCAAATCTCGTCAATGCACATTATCCTTGGACAGATCTCTCAGCAAAATCTTGGATGTTCTCAATTCATCAAAAATTATTCGGAGACTAAGAGTTTTTGTGAGCCATAACAAGTTGTTGCGCTTTGCATTGTCTCAAGCCTCTATCGTTATCGCAGGGATGAGACTCGGGAAGAATATCGTCTCGGAAGCAAACGATACGAACCAACAGTACAGTAACGTGTTGGATATGCTCATGCAAAACTTCTGGGGACCAAGTCACTCGCAACGTAGCCATATACGTCCACCGTACGGGTAAGCGTTCTCCATGCTTACATATCCAAGGAGTTGGAAGGGGTGGATTTCCAGGACAGAGAGTTCGCATTGCTCGCTGAGAAAGCTGATGGACTTTTCGAGTGGGCGTGTCTCGCCTGCGGATACGTCAAAGAACCTCATGTGGGGCTATCTCCGATTGATTGCTACGATGCTGTGGTGTCACGCGATCCTGCTGAGAAAAACATGCTATTGCACAGCATGTATGTCCTCATTTTAACAGATATCTTACCCAGTGATACATCTACCCATGTCCAGCATTCGCAGAAATCGCGTTCGACGGCTAGCGAGATTCCGCCCATTGACGGGACAAATATTAGGTACTGCTGAACCCCTCCCTTTAGCTTCCCTGAACGTCATGAGGCGCCATTTTCCCATGCGAGAGGACAATTTCGACGTGGAGCTTGTGGTGGAAGGTATGGGCTCCCTCCTCAGTGGCACCACCAACCCAGATTCTCCAATCCGACCCCTTCACGCATCCTTCCGTGACTTCTTGACGGACAAATCATCCAGTGGAGAGCTTTTCATTGACTTGTCAAAGGCGCAACATGACCTTGCATTTACGTCACTTCGAGTGATGGAACAGGGTCTTCGCTTCAATATCTGTAATTTGAAGTCGTCGTATCTGCTTAATTGCGATGATCCTAGGCTGGAAGAACGAGTTCAAAAATACGTTCTTCCACATCTGTCATATTCCTATCGATTTTGGACGTCGCACGTACGAACCACAGCCTTCGACAAGGAACTCACGAAAGAAGTGAAATTGTTGTTCGCCCACGAGCGGCTGTTTTTCTGGCTCAAGTTACTCGCCCTGATCAACGCGCTCAGCGGTGCAGTCGCTGCCCTCTCACTCATTCCCCAGTGGCTAAAGGTGAGCACATTGCTACTGAGTGCCAGATCAAACGCTCATGCACAACCACAGGGCCATCCCAAATTCAAAGATGTCTCGTTGGCTGCAACGGATACACAGACGTTCATTCAAGTCTTTGGCAGCATCATTTTATACAGCACGCCACATCTGTATGTATCAGCACTCCCATTCTCGCCTGCCAACTCTCCACTATCGAGAAAGTTTTCTGTATGGTTTCCGAATACCCTTCGTGTAGCATCTGGACGTGATGTGAATTGGCCGGCTGTTCAGACCGTGCTCAGGGGGCACACTGATTCAGCTACCTCGGTCTCGTTCTCGCCGGACGGCACTCGCATCGTCACTGGTTCTTGGGATAACACTGTTCGGCTATGGGATGCAGGGACGAGGCGGCCGGTCGGTGAGCTCTTGCGGGGGCACACTTCTTCAGTTACCTCGGTCTTGTTCTCGTCGGACGGCACTCGCATCGTCACTGGTTCGAACGATGAGACTGTTCGGTTGTGGAACGCAGGGACGGGACAGCCAGTCGGTGAACCCTTGCGGGGGCACATTGATTATGTCAACTCGGTCTCGTTCTCGCTGAACGGCACTCGCATCGTCACTAATTCTTGGGATAACACTGTTCGGCTGTGGGATGCAGGGACGGGTCAGCCAGCCTGTGAGCCCTTGCGGGGCCACACTGACTATGTCAACTCGATCTCGTTCCCGCCGGACGGCACTCGCATCGCCACTGGTTCTTGGGATAAGACTGTTCGGTTATGGGATGCAAGGACGGGGCAACCAGTCGATGAGCCCTTGCGAGGGCACACTAATTATGTCAACTCGGTCTCGTTCTCGCCGGACGGCACTCGCATCGTCACTGGTTCGGACGATAAGACTGTTCGGCTGTGGGATGCAAGGACGGGGCAGCCAGTCGGTGAACCCTTGCGGTGGCACACTCTCGGTATCGTTCTCGCCAGACGGCACTGGCATCATCACTGGTTCGAACGATGAGACTATTCGGTTGTGGGATGCAGCGACGAGGCAGCCATCGCAACAGTGCGCCGTGTCAGATCCATCAGCATTCTCAGATGAACATTGCACGATCGAGACCATCACTACCATGAAATCGAACACTTGGAACAATCACTTCATTTCCTTCTCGTCTAACTCCATCCATGCGCTCTGTGATACCTCTGAGCTAACGGAGTGAGCATCCCATGATGACCACAGTTCTACCCCCTTTTTCCTGAATAGTGACAGTGGATGGGTGGTAGGGCTCTTATTCTGGGTACCATCTGCTTCTCGAAACTCATTTTATAACCCTGTGACTGCATTAGTGATACCCAGAGAATGTCCGTCCTGAGCTTGATTTGAGCCGCATGGCACATGGACAACACTGGCAAAATTGCCGAGAGGAGTGAGTCTCAAAGCCCTTTTTGTTCCTCTCACTTACTAAAGTCAACACTTGCAGATCTTAGTACTGTGATGATTGTATTCTATCGATTTGATTTTTCAGATATAACTTAGATGTAACGTTTACAGTGGATCATACTTTGTATTCTATATAGTTTATACTCAGCATCCAATCAGAGTTTAGGGTTGTCCAAGCGAACGTATGACTTATCGAGGAACTAACTGCACGATGTTCGTGCTGGTCTGTGAGAGCACATAACGACAGACAAGGCATACCGATTTCATCAGAGATGCGTTTGCGCGTGTGCCATAGATTGTGTTGAAGTGCATAGCATCCGTGTTTCCCATAGCGGACTGAGAAGCTGCACGGAAGGACATCACTGTTGCGTACATCTTGGTCATTCAAGCTCCTGTTACACCGAGTACATTCAAAGTAGGTTAAAAATCTGAGAAAACAGGGTGGGACGAAATATGTAGTTCAATGTGTTCACCGTACAGAACAACATGTAATCGCGATATCCACGATGAAGGCGGTGAGAATGAGAGCACTAGGAAAACGATGCGCGTAAGGATGATGTGAGCTGTGAGGTATGAAAAAACAGCTGGAGAAGGGAAAAGCACCAGGAAAGAGCAAACGAGCGGGAGATGAAATTAAGGCAATGTGAAGAGTAGTATGAGAGATTCCGACACGACAGATGACGTTGAATTGAGGGTGATATTCAAGTTGGGCACGGGTGCACCAGGGCGTCACAACAGGCGTCCTCGTCAAGGAGTTCTCGATAATCGATTTTTGAAGACTCAACAGGAAAAGTCTGAGGACTTTAATTGAGTTCCATAACTCTACATTGAACTTGTGATAAATGTGAATCTTTGCATGAGACTAAAAGAAGTAGACTTCGACTCACGAAGCTGTTGAGAGGCATTCATCATACAGTTACTACGCGCGTCTTCGACACACATAGGCCTGGAGTCCTTAGTCGCAAATCGTAGTTATTGGGTGGTGCATATTGACTATTTCTATCGCATACTTTATCCTTGCCCATGCAAAGATAGGAGGACTCGGCGTACTAGCGGTGTCTTCATTTCAGCTCCAAGGGCGTGAATGTGAGGGCGATCGTATACGTGGTTGGAGGAGAAACCGAAACGTGAAATTAAACAAAATTTATAAGTGAAATCAAATCATGAATCGAAACTTACCCCACTGCCAGCGCGTCCCGTCATACACTGCGAAATGTATGTGAATATCAGTCTCAGTAAAGCGAGAATTAGCACCCGAAAACGAATGACTTACGTTTGAACTTAAGCGAAACGAAACTTTGAAACCCTTGATTGAAATAGCTGTGAACTTTGTCCGCTGGCGCCCGAATTCATACAAGATACGTAAAAAATTTGTCCTTGAACACGACCCACGGTGGTCTTGCGCTAAGCTTGTCCCTGCATTTGTTTTCATTCGTAAGTTTTTGACCATGCCTGGGTTATTGTACACCGTTATTCACCGTGATTGATCATGAGCTGTCATATCTTAGGTCGCAATTTATTTTTATCCAGTAGTGACCCCCAAAGAAATCATAACATGGGTTCATGCAGGTTTCTTTTGTCCTAGCAACCCACAAAGCACCACAGCTTCCATGTTGTACCGGCGGTCGATAGAGAATCAGTGAAATGGCCATGAGACTCGTAACGCACATCCAACGGGAATTGAAATGTTCTGTTCAAGCTACAACATTACAAACCCAGACAAGTCGATCCATTTACTGTGCACAACAGGATGGAACGCCCAGAAAAGACGACTCGAGGAAGTGACCGTTGTTGCTGCTGTAAGGACTGTTGCGCAAGGATCTTGACTCAAGCGTAATTGGGCTGATCGGGTCAGGATTCGCTCACTCATTGGGTAAGGTCAGTCGATGCTCATGACTCTATATCGCGGATTCAATGAGAGACAACGGTATGGCTAATACGACTTTTAATTCACTAGAGTCACTCTGGACCGAATTCCGAACACTGATTTGGAATGGGCGATGGACTGATCAATCATTTTTATTTGCAGGAGCAACTCGGGTATCGACTTATTATTTCTGTGTCACCATCTGGCAGTACTAGTACAAACTCGCCTCAGCCTGTCTCGTTAAAAGAGCACGACGCAAAGCCTACTAACCTAAATGATTCCACATTTCTTATCCCACTGCAGGTCTTGGTTAGACAAGGTCGGGAGGAAGTTGCTGTGGTGGAGAAGCCACCCATCTGTCACGATAGCTACCACAGGTGGTAGCGAGATAGATCCCGACAACCAGCAAGTCCATGGTCATAATGCCCTGTGACAGCGCACTTCCTCACGCAATTTTTAATGCAGCCTACTCGACCTTACGGGATTCGTATCCAAAGAGTCGCCTCATCCAATGGCGCACGGTAGTTTCGGGGATGTATGGAAATGCACCTACATCGCATCCAACCGTCAAGGCCTGGAGGCAAGCATGCTACACATATGGCTGTCCAGCAATCTAAATCCATGACAGGTAGCAGTCAAATCCATAAGGATCGATATCGTAGGCGACGATTCCAGAGCCAGACTCACTCAAGTATGTTCTCAGCTTCCCCTTGGCGTGTGGTACGCTTGCTCAAACCCCATGTCTTTGCAGAGACTCTTGGATGATTTTCATGCACGGAAGCAACTGCGTCACGAAAATATTTTGTCTCTGCTCGGTTTCAGTTACGATTTTGGCCTACTTCCAGCAATGGTTTTCCCCTGGATACACAACGGCTCGCTCACCACATATCTTGAACGCCATTTCACAGAATTGACCATCGAACAAAAGCTCCGGATCGTGAGTTGTTTCTCAGGAGCGCTCGTATATCATGGTATTCATTAGAACCTTAGTTGCGGCAAGTCGCTGCAGCCATCAGCTACCGTGTGTGGAATTCTCAATAGTTTGTAAGAATAATGAGTAACAACATTGCAGTCCACTCGAAGGGTGTTGTTCACGGTGACCTTACTGCCGTACGTGATAGTTATCTGATATCCACGTTCTAGCTCTGATCTGGAACGGCAGAACAATATTCTGATAGATTTGGACCACAATGCCCACGTAGCAGACCATGGAATCCTCGCAATGTGTTCCGAGCTCTCAGGGACTTCATACATCAGGAGCAACGTGCGGTGGGCTGCGCCAGAGCTCTTCAAGGTGCCCGAGAACGAAGAGTTATCAACTCCTCCACAGCCAGCCAGCGATATTTATTCCTTTGGATGCATCATGCTTCAGGTTTGAGGCATTCCATAGTAGTTACGTTGGTTTGCGACTAAGATCCCGTAGGTTATGACAGGTCGACCACCCTATGCAGATGTGCGAAGCGATCATCAAGTTACTGTCCTGATACTCAAGGGTAAGAAGCCCACAAGACCGTCGAGTCCGCACGACGTAGACTCTTTCTGGAGTTCCATCGAGAAATGCTGGAGTGATGCAGGACGTCGCCCCTCTGCCGTCGATATCCTGAGCTTTCTAGGATCAGATCATGCCACTGCGCTAGAAAGAGCTAATTAGGGAGTTATTAGAGCGTTTTTGCTAGGTGATTTATCAAGGATTTCATTAACTTACGGCTTGTCAATTTTACACTTAACTAGAACAAGTGGAGCGCAGAGAAATAACTTATAACTTGCCGAATTTTTCAGTGACGATTCTGACGAACTAGAACTGGTGTGGTATTGAAGTCCGAGCTCGATCCCAACCCCCGGGTCCCAGCCCTCACTAGCGCATACTATGACGACGCGCATAAATGTCGGATACCACTTGTCTGTATAGTATGACGTGCTTGCGTCGTTTCACATCGTAAGTCACTTAGCGAAAACGCTCTATTATGTAAGTATATGAGTAATAGCTCGAATTTCTTTACCAGGAAGTCACTTCTACTTACCTCAACTTTCATCCACTCAGCATTTGTACTTAATACGTGAGTGTTAATGAACATGGATAGGTTTATTGGGCGATGCTGATTTTTCTTGACCAGTTACCCGAGGAAACAATTGGTGCCTCCCGGGAGCTCCTAGGACCACGGGGAGCCTGGAAGGCAGGCAGACGTCTCTTCAGCCATCTCTTGCCACAGTAAACCTTGTGCACCAGCCAATCACCTTCTCTATCCGCTGCGTAGTATTAGTAACCAGTGTTAAACAATGACTCTGAAACTTCCCTTGGAGAGGTAATCATCCATGATGAAGGTACGTACCAATTAGCATTAGTTTTGCATGCTGCAAACGTTCAATTTAGGTTTACGTGTGAAGTCTTCAGGGTTTGTCACATTTCCAGCTGTGTAGATGTCGTGCCACTCATGAGCTAAAGATCGTGTTTTACACAACAGTCACGAGACGCGGTCTTGTCATTCAAGCGCGAAAGATAGCTGCAAACATTGGTGATTTAAATGTACGTACGAAGGAAAGCATTTAGGACCGATCAAGGCGGAAAACTGACCAGTTCATGAGTCTGGCAGCAGAATCAATGCTGGATGATCGAATTAAGCAAGATTCAGAAATACGAAACCTCGCCCTAACCTGTCATGATATGAAGACAATTGTACCAGTTGTGATGGCAGTTTACCCAAGCCAGGCAACCTTACATCCCCAGTTTGTTCTGTATCCTGGAGCATGAAGATGATTCGGAGTCACATTGCATGAAACCTCGCGATTTCAATATGGCCCGGTTGCCAATTTCGTTGATGGACACAGGCCGTTGCGGCGTGTCTCCACCTCAAACCTTGACATACGTAGGTACGTTTCTTTCGGACCCTGTGTGAGCTTTAGAGATGCCTCGCAGGCCTTGTGCAGGCCCCATTAATATAGGAACAGATAAGTGGTTTGAAAACTATTGGTGCAGGCGAAATGGGACGGATCGATTCGGTGCAACCGTTTGCTTTTCCCAACTGAGACTGAAAGGGCTTTCACTGAACGGCCGACTGGTGTGAACCATGTTTTGTAACCTGGTGAAGTTTGAATTATTATAATATCGCCAGTCGAACATTCTTGAAGTTCTATCTCTTCGCCTCGAGGTTTGTCTTTTAGTAACTAACAAGGGCGCTGAAAGCAGATATTGCCTCGTGCAGTTACTGCCCTTTTCAGCAATGCCAGTGTTATTCATATCCCTGACCGCACGCTTCAAGATATCTCATTGTCTGCCGCCCTTCATCAGCACTAGTAGGTTTCCCGCTCGACTCCTGTAGGTACTGAAATGAGCGTTTGTAGTGGGAGGACAACCTCCATTCTGATCTGATTCATCCACAATATTAAGTACTTCGACTAATACCAGTCGTGGTGTCCTCGGTTTGATCCTACGCACTGGCAGTTTCTTTCCACGTAATTATCGGTGGGGCAGTAACTTTGCGATGTTGTCGCACCAATGTTGTCTGCATATAAGAATGCAGTTTATTAATGCTAAGGAATAGGACTATTTCTCACTGTGACTTCCCGCCGACAATGAACGTGCTCAACCGCTTGCGACAGTTATTTGGTCTTGTACGTTTGTCGACATTGTCCAGTCGTGGAGCCATCCATTCATCTCACTCTGACAGGTTGGTCGTGCATCTGGTCGCCAAGCATCCCCTGTTCAGATTGTGGTTGATGGTATTCCCGCAAGCCCGTCCCCGATTGTCGTCACTTCCGATGATCAAATTTCCAATGGACGCTTCCCTAGTACGTCTGACTCAGAGGACTCGTATGTCGTTTCTTTGCCTCAGAGAAGGACTTTGTAAACATTGACCAGTAGTAGTGTTCTCTGTATCAAACCAAGTGATATCCTCAGGCAAACCAGCTGCCCAACTGCCTCGGGTGGTCTTGGAGATGTTTACAAGTGTATATGGAACTGCGGCGCAAGTTCGTATGAGGTATTTCATAAACTTACTTTTTCTGCATACCCTTATTGTGACTTCAGGTCGCGGTCAAATCCCCACGATTCCGAAACCTGAGTGATCGTGAATATGTTAAAATCAACAAGGTATATTGGGGTCTAGTCTGACGACTGCATATTTAAACTTTTGAGATGCAGAACCTTGACCGCGAGACAATTATATGGGCTGCGTTGGAGCACCAATATGTATTGCCCTTGTATGGCACTGTAGAGCAGTTCGGCCCATTTCGCGCATTGGTTTCCCCCTGGATGCTGAACGGGACTTTAAACTCTTACCTTAATGCCCATGAGACCCTCTCGATGGTCGATAGGCTTCTGCTAGTGAGTTTCATTCACGAAGCTGAATGGGGACACTTACTACATGTGCAATAGCTTAAACAGATTACAGAGGGGCTCCAGTATCGTGAGTGATGGATTGACTATGGAAGTGACCGATATAATTATGTTGTCTGCAGTCCACGACCGCGACGTGATACACGGTGACCTCACCGACGTAAGTTCATACGTGCCATGCAAGTGGAATCATCTTATAGTGATCGTAGAATAATGTTCTGGTCGCTGCCGATGGATCCCCTCGTCTTGCAGATTTCGGCATCTCAAATATCTTGGTGCAAACCAACCCCGCCTTTTCCTACCACACCGGTGCAGTACGTTGGGTCGCTCCAGAGCTCCTTGACCCCCCGGAAGATGAGCCTACACAATGTGCAACTAAATCTACCGACATATATGCTCTCGGCGGTATCATGCTTCAGGCTCGTAGTCTCTCGTTGGCTTGCTAGTGACACTAATATCACCTGTGTGCAGGTCCTGTATGGGAAACAGCCTTACTGCTGGCTGAAGACCGCCATACATATTATTTCTGCTAAGTTCGGACACATAGAGCCCATCGACTCCTCCATCGGGATCCAACCTAATCACCTGGATTTCATGCGGCGGTGCTGGTCAACGGCAAAGGAGGGTCGTCCGTCAGTAGAAGAAGTGATAAATTATCTTCAAGAAGCACTGTCGTCACTGTCAAATGAGACTTCGTCTGTATAGGGTCTTAGTTCTGAAGCCACCCTCTTTCTCGTCTAATTAATGTTAACTCCAGTTGTGTATCCTATTACTATATATCATTTTGCGCTATGTATTACTCCAGGCTCCTTCCCAGCCCCCCATCCGAGTGTTAAACGTTCTGAGGGGTAATATATGAGAGGGTACTGTTTGATAAGTCAAATGATACAAGAAAAATTCAAACCCAACCCCTCCTCACTGAAGGCTGGAAGATAAAATTTGTGAACAGAGGTCAGCCACAGTTCTCTAAAACGAGTCAGTGCGAGAACAGTGCTGGGTAGAGACCCCCCCCCCAGTCGTGCTCGTTTAGTGAGGCAATACGCCCAATCACGCTTATTAATCGCGGCTTGTAACATGACTCGGTTTAAGTCGTGAATTCTGACGCGATTCACTGGTTGTATCTGTGACTCTGCAAGTTCCAAAAGTAAAGTTGATATTTAAAGGGCACTTTCTAGTATAGGGAGATCTACCCAGTATGAGCGACCCTTGTATCCGCGCTATGAAGGAAACTGATTCCCATTCATGTCAATCGATGACAATGAACCTCACATGAGAATATTATATGTTCAGAGTACTAATGTCGAAAATGAATTGTGATTTAGCAAGAGCATTCATAGAGGTTGATGACGTACATGCATTAATATCGTAGTGCATCATAGACTATCATCATCGAGAGGGAATGAGTAAGGAAATCAATTTCTTATGCTGCTGCTGCAACCAACGCTGCCGATGGTTCAGTTAAAGTAAGCTTCTCAAGAGCATCCTCGAACTGGTCATCGTCGCTGTTGTCACTTTCCTCCTCATCCTCTTCGCTTTCCTGTGATGCAGACCCCTCATCATCTGGAGATTCGTCCTCAAAATCAAGCTGTTGTTCATGTTAGTGCATCTCACTGAAGAAGATCCACGTAACGTACTGGATCATAGACGACTCTGATGATTAGACTGCAGCTCGGACACGTTGCGATGTCCTCGCAGTTGGTGAGCTGCTTGCGAGAGATCTCGAAGCGGTCACCACAGGGGCAGGGATAATGGTAGACACCTTTTGCCTCATCCCATGCCATATCTTCGATTTCGATCTCGTCGTAGTAAGCCCCCATATTGATTCATGAAGGGTTGCTAGATGTGTATAGCCGCCAGCTGCGAATGGTCGACTCACTTGTGTCCGTGGCACGTGCAAACTTCAAAGTGTGATCCGGATTCCGTCTTTAGAAGTGTTGTTTGTAGTAGTCACGTGATATCACTCCCCAAGTGCTGGACCTTATCTCAGTCTGGTGTTTTTCGACTCATTTCGTGTGTTTCACAAAAATGGGCGAGCACCGGACCTCGACGAAGGCTTGACGTCTGACATTCATTCACTCATGGACAGTTCTTCCTCTCAACTTGGGAAGCATCCTGCCCAAAGTGGTTAAGCATCGCAGCAGAGTCGAAATCTGTTTCTCTTGGACTGTGCAAGTTCGAAACTTGCCGACAACAACCCATCGGAACACACCTTAACATTCACTCTTGGATGGTTTTCTCAGAGGCTCGTCTTGATCGGTCTTAACCAAGTGGTTACCACAACACAATCAAAATCTATGTCTCTTGGACTGTGCAGGTTCGAAACCTGCCGAACAACAGGTCTTTTTGAACACACCTTGACATTGACATGGATGGCTTCCTCGGAGGCCCATCTAACGGGTCTTATCCAAGTGGTTACCACAACTGTCAACAGAGTCAAAATCTGTTTATCTTGTAGCTGGTTCAAAACCTGCTGACAACATTTTTGCAGTGTATAGATCCTCGGAGGTCCATATTGACTTGGTAAGCTCAGTCATTGTGCTGAAACCTCCTTTTTATGGTGATAGTCTGTCCGTGAAAAGGAATTCACCTTCGCACCCCGCAAGGATCGTCTCAGAAACATCACATATATCCTCGAGATGTGTATGTGCCAACCTAAGTTCCGACAAACCAACCAAAACTGTCAGGGATTCACCACCAAACGAAAAAGACAATGTTAATGGGGCTGGATGCCAGAAGAATGCATACAAGCTAAGGACAGTGAGTCTGCCAGTTGGGAAAATGATGTAACCTCAGCTTTGCTGAAGCCTCATTAATGGACACTCCTTCGGTCGTTGGTTTTTCCATTAATGCGACCGAGGACGACTTGAAAGCTAAAGGCAGAAGAATTGAAAGTGGCAGACTGAGCCATATCGTCCTGATGTGTGTGGTTCAATTGCGTGCGCTGAGCGCTCCTGTTTTATGTCGATGCCGAGGTGGAAACAAAAATTATTTACTTTCGATTGCCGCGACAAGACCCGGGATTCGGGCACCGGACAGAGATATTAACAGAGGTCGACGTCGACGCAAAAGTCTACATAGAACACTCAGTAGAACACCTAAACTTTCAAGTAAGGTATCAAATGATTATGTAGTGTCACCGAAAAGGCACGGGTGCAGCCGGTAGGGGTTGGGAAGCCGATCGTGTTTGCACCTCCATCGTGACTAGTGACTATCGGGGATGATCATGCTAACATCGCAAAAATGACGTCTCTGTAGACTGCATATGCACTTACATCGTTCCCCACGAGATTTCACGCGTTTTCATGTCAGGCTGTCGCCGGAGACCCATGGCAAAAAGATCGCAAACGTGTTATCCGTCCAGACTCCGACCGCACCAAGTCCGCACTTAGCAAGGCTGCAGTATGAGGACGACTACAAAGAAGGAAGAGCAAGTGCGCTGAAGATGATAATATAGATATCGATTTGATGTTACACGACGAAGCTGGTTTCAGCGTTTGTCAATATTTTTGGCAAGACCGGAGTCATTTACATAGTACGTGCGAAGACTCAAGCTTCTGTCTTACCCGACGCTTCAACGCTGGTCATGTGCCCGGAGGTCAGCTGTTCGCTTGTGGCGTGGATGGTACTAGATTCTTTTCAAGATGACCTCACTGGGATTTCGTCAAAGTGTCAGGTCGGCGTTGCAAACTGGCGCGTCGACGCGTCGTAACGCCAGACATCGCTCTCTCACGTCTTCCTCTGTCCGGGACCCACTGAACGCTCCCTGGACCTTCGAACGCTCACAGGTTTCTTTAGAGAAGAGATTCTCGGAAAACATGCTCACCGTCCTGCCCTCATTTGTAGGCAAGAACGTCCCCGCGCTCACGGTGGGCCGCCATCGCGGAACCTCAACGTGATCAGCCACCTAGCATGGGATTTTGACGAGTTCGATAAGCACATACGAGCCCTTGCGCGAGGGTTGGTCGCGATGGGTGTCAGGAAGGGTGATCGCGTTGCAGTACTCATGGGGAACAATAGGTGTCGTGCTATGCTGGTTCTAATGGGTGATATCCGCTAATCTAGAGCGTATTCCTATCTGAAGCTCTTATGCATCACTTCAGTGGGCGTGTGCGAGCATAGGTGCAATCCTCGTAACGCTGAACCCTGCATACAGGTTGAATGAACTTGTAAGTTGATTATACGCTACCTGCTGCTCTTGAACCATCGTGTTACAGGTGGAGACACTCAACCTTGTCGGCGTCACCCATCTCTTTACTGTACCTCGCATCAGAACGTCTAATTATATCCGGATGCTCTCTGAAGCCTTTCCTGAGTTGTGCAACTCAAGTCCCGGTAATATCCAAGAGCCCGCCCTTCCTTCGCTGAGGAACTTGGTCATGGTCAGTAATGTCTACGACACTGCAGAGTGGCATCGAGAGACGTGCGATGTGAAGAGTATCACTGATTGGAGAGAGACCTTGATATGGAGAGAAGATACGTGGGAACAGCGTCATATTGAAGAATTGGTCCAGTCTCAAAGAAGTGACTGAGATTATCAACCTGCAGTTTACTAGGTGGGTTTTCTTGTAGATGACCTTTCATTCGCTCACAGTAAATAATGACACATAGCGGGACCACCGGTGCTCCCAAGGCTGTCTCAGTAAATGATTACCTTCTACAATGCTTGCACCGCTCCTGAATACCGTCTAAGCTAACTCATACAAACTTACTCAATAATGGTATCTCCATTGGTGATTGTATGCGACTGGGTCCAGACGATGTCCTCTGTGCGTTCACCTTTAATTCTCGCAACGCATAATATAGATGCTTCTCACCAGGCAATGTACCCCCTCTGTTCCACTGTTTTGATGAGTGACAATTTTCTGTGTTTTTGTACAGCCATTCTTACCTTGAATTCATGCACGCCTAGTCCTCGGTAACCTTGCTGCATGGTCCCATGGGTCTTGTGTTGTATACTCTTCAGAGATCTATGACCCCAAAGCTATCGTGGACTCTGTTGTGCAGGACAGATGTACGGCCCTGCATGGCGTCCCCACGCATTTCTTGGGTGTCTTGGCAGAAGTACAGAAGCGGCAAGACGCTGGAGAGAAGCTGGATTTGAGTTGCCTGCGGTAAGTGGAACTAAGTCTTGCCTAATTACGCATCATCAATCATGACATGCTGAAATGTAGGACTGGCATTGCGGCGGGCTCGCCAATACCTATCAACCTCATGCGACAACTCATCGAGAAATTGAACCTCGTAGATCTGTCTATTGCATATGGAATGAGTGAGGTTCCTATTTCGTCCAATTGAAATTCGGCCAATTAACCTTTTAACAGCGGAAACAAGGTGAACTCACTCCCTCGTCGGGAATGTGGTTCTATAACGGTCGCTAATCTTATTTCAGCCCCGTATCTTTTCAAACCACACCGGCGGATCCAATCATCAAGCGTGTTGAGACGGTCGGTAGAGTGCAACCGCACGTGATGGCCAAGATCATCGACCAAGATGGACATATTGTCCCTGTCGGCAAGCCAGGTGAACTGTGTATTGCTGGTTATCTTGTTCAGAAAGGGTTCGCTTGGTCTAGTTTCTCTATTGTTTGTGTCCACTGAAATAAATCTAGCTACTGGGAGGATGAGGAACAAACGCAGAAGGTCATGCGGGCGGATCCGAATGACCCGTCCACAGTATGGATGCATACAGGTGACGAAGGGATCATGGATGAGGAAGGATATCTGAAGAGTAAGCCTGTTGTTACTTTATCTCGAAAATTGTTTGATATCCTGCAGTTGTCGGCAGGATAAAGGTTAGTACACGTGTTGACTCGGTAATCCAGAGAATGAACTACTTCACAGGACATTATTATTCGTGGCGGGGAGGTGACGCACTCCGTCTCGCGTAAGTGGTATCATCGCCTAACTCAGCTTACAGAATCTATTTCCGGTCCAAATTGAGAACGCACTGACTGCGCACCCTTGCGTCAGGGAAGCTGCGGCTGTCTCTGTACCTGATACAAAGTACTGGAGAGGTCGTAGGCGCATGGATTGTCAGAGAACCGAGCACCAACATATCAAGAGAGGACGTCCGCCGGACTGTCGCAGAGAGTATGAATCCACAGGTGAGTTCCGGAGGCAGGGCTCTCTGCCAAACTGACGTTCTCCCAGAATGCTCCAGCGTGGGTATGGTTTGTCGGCGAAGATGACACACCGGGAGAACTCCCGAAGACCGCCAGCGGGAAGGTTATGAAACATGTTCTCCGCAAGTGGAGTGCAGAGCTTGCGCAGAATGTTATTGGGAGTGTCGGAGGGAAATGATCTATCGATGTATCACGCGCCCGTTAGTTAGCCGAAAACTCGTGTTAAAATAGGGGCTATTTATGCTCGTCCGGATCGTGAGAACTTTTGCAGGAAATGAAAAGGTCAAAATTGAGAGCACAAAGTTTGTTGTCTGACTAAACTCCAACAAGCATGGCGATCACGAAACGCGTTTGCATTTACACCGAAGAGGATGTTGCAAACCACAAGTCTGCCAAAAGTTGTTGGATAACCTGCCGTGGAAAGGTCTACGATGTCACTGGGTTTGTGCCTGACCACCCAGGAGGAGACGACCTCATTCTCGCGCATGCTGGAACAGACGTAGAAAGTATCATGAAAGATGGGGATTCTCATGATCACTCTGACTCTGCGTATGACATGTTGGAGGAATACGTGATTGGACGTTTGGGGACGGAAGCAACAGTTGTCAGAGATGGCACGTACTCAGCTGCGCTTTACTGGAAAACATACTCATGAGGTACTTGCTCTGCAGACTGGGAAGCTCCAGATGACTTCCACCCCGAAGACACTAATTCTGCAGAAGATTTTGAGAAGACACAGTTTTTGGACCTGCGCACGCCCTTACTGCAGCAAATGTGGCAGGCCAACTTTAGGTACGTTGGGAACACCTCCTCGAAGACTTTTCTGACTGTCTGGATATAGCAAATCCTTTTATCTCAAGCAAGTTCATCAACCACGACATTTGCAAGACTCCGCTCGCCTCTTTGCCTACGATATCTTTGAGGTGCGCAGCATGCCTAGAAATCTGTGTTCCCATCTTATCTGATTTTAAAGGTGTGCACGCGGACCGTGTGGTATGCGGTACCACTGATTTGGCTACCAATTACCGCAAATCTGTTCCTTCGATCCATGCTCCAGTTCAATGGCCCCATACCCACCTTCATGTCCAATCCTCTGCTCCCATTCTTCCTCACATCGACCGTAACATTAGATGCATTTGCTAAAACGCTCCCATGCTTCTTCTTGGGGAATTTCATATGGACGATTCTAGAATATGGGATGCATCGTTTCCTGTTCCACATTGACGAGTTCCTGCCCGACCACCCTGCGTTTTTGACGCTTCACTTTTTGCTTCACGGTATTCATCATTACATGCCTATGGATAGGTGCGCAATTCCGCAGGGGAGTATAACATGGTTGCTAATTTTCTCTTAGACTCAGGCTCGTCATGCCGCCTGTAATGTTTGGAATCCTCCAAGCTCCATTCACTCGCCTCGCGTATATCCTGTTCCCCACTCCAGTCGCTAACGGTATCATTGCTGGTTCATTCACGTTTTGTAAGTAGGTGTGTACGAGCTTGAAACTTGTTCTGATCACCTTTTACAGATGTCCTTTACGACTGTATGCATTACGCGTGAGTCTGGTCAATTCTGATTTGACATCTTATACTGATCCGCCTTCAGACTTCACCACACGAAGTTACCTGCATACTTGCGGCACATGAAGAAATACCATCTTGCACACCACTACAAAAACTTCGAGCTAGGTTTCGGTGTTACCAGCAAGATCTGGGACTACGTCTTCAAAACCGTTCTTCCCGTATGAGTTTGCATTGTGGCCATTGCGACTGGACATCATTGTTTCTTACATTTCATTACCTCATTTTATTGGGCGTTTTCAGTACATTTACTTATGCTTCGTGGACTAATATAATGTTCATCGCTCACGGATTAATGTTTCCAATCATTGTCTCTATCGTAGTTGAAACATTTAAGTGTCATACAAGCAAAGGTATATGCTCACGTTAACCCAGCTGCTGAAACACTAGGAAGTCTTTAACTGTTCTGATTGAAACGTTTTGAAGGACAGGTAATTTTGTCATGATGCGTTCCTAGTGTGCTTGGAGATCACCCATAGGGGTGTCTGAGTCCATCCTTGATTTTATCTACATGGCATAATGAGATGCAACAGCTTTTGCCTTTTTCCATGCCTCTTCCAACAATTTCACTATCTCATCCGGGAGCGGTCCTCCCTCACTGGAGAGATGGAAATGAGGTACGGATAACATCATCTACCAAACAAGGGACGCACCATTGCACGATGTTATCATCCATTTGCTGGGGTGATGCTGCACCGAGAATAACTGCATCTCCAGGTTGGAGCATACTGTGGTGTTGCAGCCATAGTTGAGCTACTTCAGCCATGCGGACGTTATGCACATCCTGATGCATTTGAATAAGATTGACATGGTTAAAAGTCATCTCCTTTGCGCACCAATATCTCCTTCAATTCGCGCAGAATTGACAGCAGTGGTCTGCATTGTTCATGTAATAAAGGTGCCAGGTGGGATACAGAAGGATCCCAACGACCTCCCTTGGTATTTTTCAGGCTATCTTCATCGAGAATCTTTCCTACTAGAAGACCGCCTCTGTAAGACAAATGTAAGCCATCCAACAAATGACAAAGGCTATACGAGACGTACGCCAATGGTCCGTACGCATAAAACTTGATCCCAAAATGACGCAGACAAGGAATGAGCCTGAACAATCTCAGAAAAAAATCAAGTCGTCAAATCGAAAATGTCTTACTCCACTTCTACATTTCGCTCTATTGCGTTATATCCGCCTTGATACACTGTAGGCCTGATCCAGTTATTCTGTTTCACGATGCCCATAATTTCAGCGACCTGCTTGAACGAATGAATCACACTTTTTTTCAATAAATGAATTACGGCTCATTACAAACCTCCCAAGAGTTATAGTTGCTCAGGCCAAATTGTTCGCTAAAGCATGTTGAGCGGAGAATGCAATACGCAAAGAAACGCGTACAAATGTCCCTCGTTATAAAGGTCATTGATCTCTTGCAAGGTGTCCTCAATGAGCACGCTTCGGTCAGGCGTGTGTAAATAAAAGATGTGCACTTTTTTACAGCGCAGGGCCTTCAAAGATTCCATCAAAGAGGCTTGAAGATTCTTAGGCGACAGATCGCCAGGCTTCGATGAAAGGGCCCTGTGAAATAGAAACGTCAGGTTTTCACTGTAAGTTGTGCAGAGATGAATGTTCAAACTTGGTATCTATATAGCATCCTTCCGCGAGATCAACTTGGCCAATGAACTTCAGTGTCGTTAATGACGCTGCTTCAGCATTTTGCACGACCACTCACCTCCTCAGATGTTCCGCCACCATATAGACGAGCGGTATCGATGGTGGCATATCCATGATTGAGATATACACTGATGGTTTCTCGAGCCTGTTCAACTGAATGAATACGTGCTCCATTCGATTGTGGCCCTAGAAGCCCAAAGGAACCTGCTCCCTACAAATAAAGTCATTCAACCATCCCGGCCTCAAGGTTTGTCAGTGGCCTTACGAATATAAGATTGATTCGGGATGGCATCGTACTCGATGTATTGGGGAGGGAGTCGACTTATGAGACTTGGGATATCTTCCTGGTTTAGAGATGAAACTTGAAGATATCTCAAGTTTTATAAGTCTCGTGTATCCAAAGCTGTTCAGGCTTATCTGACACCCGGGCTTAAGAATGACTTCCGTCGAAAGGCGACGAGCGGTTCTACTCTGATTACCGTCGAGCAATGACTCGGACACTGTCACAGAGGATGACCATGATCGATGAAGTTAGTAAAGCAGGCTTCGGTACCGCCGCGGAGTTTGCCGGCGCTAAATTTCTCCAGTTAATTTACGAGACTCAGAACAATGCTGAGGGTATGCTCTAGAACGATCGATACTGGACCCACGGCTTTACTGTCCTTTAAATGTTCACCCCCACCTGCCTCATCTATCGTTTCCTTGCGGGATGCTGGCCAAGCTTTGGGGATGACACCAGTGGCAGGTTCCCAGTTCAGGCTGCGAACTCAGGCTGGTTGCGAAGCCATCGGAGGGCGCTACGTGGCTGACACTGTAGTTCCTCGTCAAGAGTACATTGCTGCATCATCGACTTACGTGCGACTTGTGTCGTACTAGTTTCTCAAGCTTGTCTCGAGCAAGTGTATGGATTCACATCCGGGCGGGCCGAATCTACTGTATTACAACCCGAGATGGACGAAATTACTCAGGTGACCTTCCTGCCTGACCGATCTGAGCTTCTGTTATATAATATTATACAGTACAAAAGGTTTGAGACGAAGGGCATGAAACATATCTCCCAGGCTGATCCATCCATCTTCCACTGTAACCTCCTCACCCGAAGGCTTTCTATCGTTGATATTTGGCGAAACCCCTCTTCGCAGGAAAACTTATGGCTACCATGAACGCTGTCTACTACGAGGCTGTGAGTTTCATGTTATCATGATCATTCCCTCTCATTTCATTTACATCAGCCGCGGCAATTCAGCACGCAATCTGTACCAATTCCTACCATCAAAGACGATGAGCTCTTGATCAAGGGTGCGCACTTCTGGTAGTTGGTTAACAGTGGCTTTAATATTGATTGTTTCAGTCTCATGTTGTGGTAAGCTCTATCCGCGGCTCCCACAGATACCCATACATGGATTTAACTATCCACAGGTATGTGTGGAACCGACGGGCATTTGCATGAGGGAGAATTCATCGCGAGGTTTCCTGTGAGTGTTCGCAACAGTAAATTTAAGCGTATTTTGAGACTGATCTTCCGATCATAGCTAATCCCTGGTCACGAAGTAATTGGGACGGTTGCTGAAGTTGGCAGTAACGTCACAGGGTTCGCTGAAGGTGACCGATGCGTTGCAGACCCAGGGGTTACAGTAAATCCAATTTTCCACTACACTGAGCGCATAACTTGATATTTTTACAGTGCGATAAATGTTTCTATTGTAGACGGGGACAGTCTCTACTATGTGAGAACTTCAACGGTAAAGGAGCTACAATGGCAGGAGGATTTGCTGAATATGTTGTATTGTACGTATCACCACTACTGAACCCGCACTTCTTACATGTTTGCTCATTTGTGCAGCGAGGCTAAGAAAACTTACAAGATCGAGCACCTCACCGATGAAGAAGCAACACTTGTCGAGCCTGCTGCTTGCGCCATTCACGGGATGGATAAGCTCAATGCACCTGTAGGTATTGATGCCTTGGTAATCGGTGCTGGCCCCACCGGGCTGATTCTCGCACAACTGCTCAAACTGAATGGTGCCGCCAAAGTTGTGATTGCTGCCAACAAGGGTATTAAAACCCAGATTGCACAGGATCTGGGGGCTGGTGACGCATATGTTGAGCTTGATAGAGAAAATCCTGCACCTCAGTGGGAACAACTAAGGAGGAACCATCCGTATGGATTCGATGTGGTCGTGAGTGAATTGCAGGACTGAATACCTATGTCCAATTTGAGTTATTCGTTACAGGTTGAGGCTACTGGCAATGAAGAGGTCGCGAACGACTCCATTAATTACGTCCGGCGGGGCGGTACTCTCATGATCTACGGTGTCTACTCTGATAGCGCTCGTGTCCACTGGCCTCCTTCCAAGATATTTGGGGATGAAATCAAGGTGTGTGGAATAATCGTTACTGTTCGCTTCTTGCTTATAACTTGAACAGATCATTGGTTCATTTGCTCAGACTCATTGTTTCCCTCGAGCCATAGCGTACCTTGACAGTGGTAAAGTGAAAGTAAAGGGCATGGTATGCGTGAACCGTACTCCACACTTGACCGACCACATTAATGTTTTCTAGGTCACTGACGTGTTCAAGATCAACGAATATCAGCAGGCACTTGATAAAATGAACAGCAGAACCGCTTTAAAGATTGCAGTGAAACCGTAATGCCAAGTTGTGTCGACTCCTGCGTTACCTAGTCAAATGTAATTATAGCCATGTCATCCTCCGGCATCTGGATTCTGGATCGTCCTCCTACTGTGTCTGACGAAAGCATAAGTGTTAGGAAGTCACTGAGAGCCCGATTTCGTAACTCAGTACTCAGAGTTCTCACGAGCCATGCCATGTCAGTGACACGAACGTCGTGCAACCAGGCCATTCTTAGCTGACATGCACACGAGGGCGCGGTTCCCAACGTTCTCGAGCAAGTCTCACACACTTCCCTCCACCAGCGATGTTATCCCTGCTCAGCCTGTTGGCAGGGATCGTGCTGCTCATATATTTCTATGTCCGCTTCAACGACCAAGGGTTGGCGCAACTTCCGTCGGAAGCCACAGCGTTCGCACCCAACCGGTTCACACCGCACGTCGTCCGTGAAACTGCTGAAAAGCTTAGCAGCTCCCCGAAAATTGTAAAAGATATACTTCCAACAAATACTGGACGTCGGTATATCGTAGTTGGTGTAAATAGCCCCATTGGAATTAGCGCTCTGATGTTGTCAATACTGACGTTTCGGGCATAGGCTGGCTTCTTGGGCGGCTGGATCATCATCCAACTTTTGCAACGTGGTGAAGACCCAAAGAAGATCAGAATCCTCGACATACGCCCTCCGACTCGTTCAGATCTGCGTACCGGCTTGGCCGCGCAGGTTGCCTTCTTCCAAGTAGATATATCTCACGCGAAGGCTGTGGATGATGCTTTTCAGGCGCCGTGGCCAGATTCCAACCCTTCGGAGACAGCGCCAGAGGTCACAGTCTTTCACACCGCTGCCAACATACGCTTTTATGAGCGTCATCTCGCTCTCCTTCCGCGTTCTTCCAAAGTCAACCATGAAGGGACTCAAAATGTGATCAACGCAGCGCAATCGATAGGTGTCACGGTCTTGATATATACCTCATCTGGATCTATTTCTGTCCGCCGTTCTCGCTTTTGGCTATGGCCTTGGGAGAAACATCCCAAGCACTTTGTCCAAGTAATTAATGACGACGATAACCTCATCCCCAAATATCACGACCATTTCTTCTCAAACTACGCTGCTTCTAAGGTCCTTGGAGAGAGAGCGGTGAGAGCCGCTGATGGATCTCGATCTGGCGAGAAGACACTGCGGACGGGATGTATTCGCCCTGGCAATGGTGTGTTTGGTCCCGGTGGAGATCTAATATGCGGTGCCTACCTAGTACGCAAGTACAACCCCACCTGGGTTGCTAATATCATGCAATCCTTCGTATATGTGGAAAACTGCGCCCTGGCCCACCTCTGCTATGAAGCACGTCTCCTTGAAACTACAAGAGGAGGACCCAACCCTGACCTCGGTGGACAAGCATTTACCATCACAGATACTGGTCCGCCGATCACATATGGCGATGTCTACATAGGATTGACGACACTGGCTCCCGAAACTACGTTCACAGAGATGTCACCCACCCTTATGCTTTTCATATCGCAAATCATGGAGGTCCTTTACCTCTCACGCGCGTTCCTGTTGATGTCTTCGTCGCCTGTGCGACGCGCACTTGCACATTTTATACCCGACATTGTCGGAGATACCGCCAATCTGCAACCATCGTTGTTCGCGCTCGCATCCGTACATCTCATTTTTGATGATTCCAGAGCTCGATTGCCGCCTGAAAAGGGTGGATTGGGTTATCATGGCCCGTTCACGTCTCTGGAGGGGATTTGCAGGACGGTGGAGGAGTACCTAAAAGCCGGCGAAAATGGGGGGGGGATCACACTCCGGTGGTGTTAGCTTAAATTTTCTCCGACTCAGGAAGGCTCCGAAGGAGATGACTCAGATGAGCAAGATGGAGAAGAGAGTCAGTGAGCGGTTGCATGTAGAAGCCGTTGATGTGCTGGGGTGAGGTTTGCTAATACAGAATACAGGCATAACTAGCGAATGTGGGTAGGAGACTGTTTTGCTGAGCAATAGGAATTGTTGATCGGTATGGCATCTCCGCTCAATCGGGATTCAGGTATTGTCCGTAATCATTGCAATTGTCAGCTCGGTGAAACAGGGGCCTATAGCAATGTTGCATAAAAGGATCCTGGGTGCCTAACGATCGCAATACTTCTTGTTTCACTGATAATGTTGACGAGAATTCCTCTTCTTTATGTCAGTACGAATCTTCAATGTGTCAATCACCTGCTAATTAGTTGCACTTTAAGGGAGCTGGTCAGTTCGGTATGCCTGGTCCACAGTCCATTGGAGCACGGGTCAACACCGTCGAAGACGCACAGAAGATCATAGACGTGTTCGCCAGCCATGGCCACAGACAAATTGACACAGCTCGTATATACGGGGGTGGGACGTCAGAGGAAGTAAGAGCTGGGTCTCCAAGACTTTCATCGTTGCTCATTAGTGCCATCGCAGATCATCAGCCAACTCGATCTGAAAGGATGTACAGTGGATACGAAGTATGTATTTTCGCTGCAACTCATTTGAGAGGCCTCTCATACTTGCCGCCATGTATAGGGTCTGTCCAATTGCGCCCGGGGACTTCGCGCCGGACAGAATTCGGGCATCGCTCGAAATTTCTATGAAGGCGCTGGGGAAAACGAAGATCAAAATATTCTATCTGCATAAACCGGACAGGAGCGTTCCGATTGAAGATACGCTTCGTGTTATCAATGAACTGTATGACGAAGGCCTCTTGTGAGTTTAAAGTGACGAGTGCTTGACTTTCCGGGCTGATTCAACTTTGGACAGCGAGGAGTTTGGTGTTTCGAACTATGACGCTTGGGAGGTCTGTCTAATTTTCGGTTGTCCTTTTCATGTATATCTTATTGTACCTTCTTTGTAAACAGGTGGCCGAGATGGTTGTCATAGCTGATTTCAACGGATGGATCAGACCCACTGTATATCAAGGACTCTATAATGCACTTGAACGAAGAGTTGAAACAGAGTGAGCTGTTAATAGGGTATTCACTCCTGTCTTAACCCAGCGCTAGGTTGTTCCCCTGCCTCCGGCACTTTGGAATACGGTTCTATGCATATAGCCCACTAGCGTAGGTTGTTTCCTCGTTCGTGGTATTAGATGCTTGACAACTTCTACAGGAGTGGTTTACTTGCAGGGAAAATTCTTTCAGAAGCGGACATGCAAACTGGCAGATGGGATCCCAACGTGTCTTCAATCGCAGGCCTTTTGCGCGCGAAATATTCGCTTCTTATCCCTATCCTGCGAGAATTGAAGGTCATGCTCGTGAGTCTTTGAGAAGCGCTGCGTGGGACGCGAAGTTGATGACCTCGAACATCAGGACAAGCAGGGAGTTCCTCTTTCAGAAGCCGCGAATCGTTGGCTTCAACATCACAGCAGATTGCAGCCCGGTGATGGCATTATTATTGGTGCCAGTAACATTGACCAACTTGAAAATAATCTGAAGGAAAAGTGGGTAACTTGTCTTTGATCATGACTGCCATTATCTGACTACACCGCATTGTTACTAGCGAGGGTGGGCCACTTCCTGACGATGTCGTCACGTTACTGGAAGATGCATGGGGCCAAGCCAAAGGCGTCGCATCGCACTACGCATTTTGAGTCACATCCTGTTAGAATTGTACATCTACTATCTACCATACGAAATGGTTAGTTCCGCGGAAGCAATTCGCGTGACCTTGTGTGAACTCCAGCTCCACCTGCACCCGTGGCACCGCTCCCTGTGGACATGCACTTGGCAGTCAACCATCTGCGCGGCACCGCTCATCTCCTTCCTTTGGACACACTTTTTGCTATGCGGGCGGTGGTTTGCCTGCCGCCGCTGTAGGGTTCCGGGAATCAGGGTAATCTGTGTCAATTTGTAGGTGAATTTCACCTAATTGACTGTAATCTACTCTACAGACTCCCATACCTCCCACCCGTCATCCATTGGTGTCGTTGATGACGTCGCATCATCGGCTGTCAACTTGGATGGAGGTCTGTGACTCACGGGGGCGGTCAGCTCAGGCTGGTCTGAGAATCTCGACCAGTCAATGTGATACTCATTAGCAGCGTGCTTCACTATACGTTGCCGAGCTCTTAGCTATGCCCATGTGACATTACATCCACGACCCGTGGCTAGAAATGCACCGCGAAATTCTGGTGGCAGTAGGATCACTTGCCAGACAATAAGGCCTCGAAACCATCTTAGTATCGCTGCGCAAGGTAACCTTTCCGAGAATTCTCGTCTTCACCAGCAGCAGAGTATTGGTCATCGTCGAAGGTCGACCAGATATATGTGTCGAGTTTCTGGGCCTTCTTTCTTTTCTCGGGGTGATGATTATTGACATTGACTGGCTTGTGTTTCGCAGAACTAACTTCCGCGTCGAGGACTGGCAACTATATGCTAGTACGTCAATATTTTATTAGAAACGAGATAAAACCGACTCATGGCTTTTCCGGCTGCAAGAATGAGACCTCGCGCAGCTTCGAAGTATCATACACCCATTTCTCTAAGAGAACATCGTCTGGATATTCTTTGATCCAAGTTTCAAGAACATTCATGGGCCATAACAACTGCCGAAATAACCTCTAGCTCTCGATTGACAGCTGCAGCCTTTCCAATTTATGCAGTCTAATCAGCATCTGGGCTGAAGTCGGAAAATTTATACTTTGAATCCTTTGGAACGGGAATGTTGGGCGGCATACGGCACCTTGAGACACTGTCGCAGTTCAGCCAGTTGGTCTTTGAGATTTGGTTACATGTAAGCGGCTAGTAGTATTGTTGGGAACTGACTTTAATATTTTGATGTCATTGGCGTACGTAATGGTGTTTGATCAAATATAAACTTTTCATCGGGGTTATACGAATCGTTCACTACGCTGGTCGCACACTCATCCTCTGAGCACCGTCTGCTCGTACGTCTACGTTCTGCATATGTGGAGCTGTATCAATAGTCATTGTCGGCGTGCCAGTGACCCGGTTGGATGTCCCCGCAGTGTTTTCAATATTCATTAGCTTTGCATACGTACAAAAGCCTTGCATATCGTAAATTGGAGTTTCTTTCGCAATCATGAATCTGTCTCTTATCCCCAGAAATTCTAGCCAACCAATATGCTCTCGTGCTACGCTGGCATCTCTCGCAAGGACTTGTAGGACACTTAAGGAGCCTGCGCTTAATATCCTTTGGAAAAACATAGACAGGTTCGAGCCGCCCATCGCATGCCTGCCTGAATGTGTCACCAATACAAACATCCAAGGACGGTTGGTGAGTGGAACATTTGTAGATCCACGTGTCATATTGAATATTCAAAATTTTAACATACGCTCAAAAGACCTCTCTGAAATGGAGAGTGCAGGTTTATTCAGTTGGTCGATATACACAACGTATCCGCTCCTTGACGGTCTTCTCCACCCATCTAGACAGCATAGACAATCGGGTCGTGCAAGCATTCATTTCTGCGCCTTCACCTACACCGCTGTTACCGAACCTTCATAGTTTGCGTTGGTTGGATAACCGAGCGTGTTTCTTTCCATTGTTACGCATCCTCTTTGGGTCAACCATCACACCAATGAGGCTGGGCTTTATTACAAGAGCTCCATCGTTTGCCAAATCTGCTTTGATGGCTTCCTTCGGAGCTCGTTGTCCATCCATTTGGAAACTCCACTGTCAATATGGTGGTGATTCTTGAGACAGTTCAGATGCAATATACGAAGCTCTGTGTGGCTTGCGGGAGCTTTTCCAACCTGGCATAGGGGTTCTTGATGCACAAACGCTGCTTCGCTTGGCTTCTTTATCGTCACTGAAGTTCCTGTCCCTCGACCTGAGGACGTACAACATCAACCACGCACACTCCGATTCTACTCCAACATCTTCCTCCCAATTCGAACAAGTAAATATTATTACACCATCACCTTTCGTTCTCACTCACTGTCTCAAAAATATCGGGTTTCTCTCCTGCCGATCAGTGACTTTACGCATCGATAACAGTGATTTGCATCCAATAAATATTCCAGGCCTCATTATCTCCGTCTCGGAGTGCTTCCCTCCTACTCATGAGAAACTTCATTTCGACTTCGACTTCGATATCTACAGCCACGTAGAAGAACACGCTCTTGCTGATCCTAGATTTGCACTTGGCTTTGACGTGGTTGCCCCAATGCTGTCCTTTAGTCACCTAAAGTACTTGGACCTCGATTGAATCTGCACTTCGGTCATCGATGATACCTCACTCAAGACAATGGTGCAATCCTGGTCTCAACTCGAATATTTCTTGTTTGGAAGCGCGGCTTGTTGGTTGATCCCGCCATCTCTTACCTTCATAGGACTCTTCCACCTCATGCATCATTGCCCACTCTTACGTTGTATTAAAATGCCCTTTAGTGCATGTCCAGTCGATGTCAACAGTGCACCACTCTCTAATACCAACCCGAGCGAGAATATCCACGGGCTTTTGTGGGATATCTCCAATCGTAGATCCCTTCGCCGTGGCCTGTCAACTGCACAAATTGATGCCCAAGTTGATCACTGTGGGCTTCTACGACAGGAATTATGCCGCGCCGTCGCCGTTAGCACAATTTGAGGCTGATTGGAGTAGAGTGAACAATTTCCTGCAAGTGCTTACCACAAGCGCAAAAATGAGATAGGAAACGGGAACAGCACCACAGCAGCCCATGTTGGCAGCTTGGACATATGGACTTGAGGGTGCCATGGATATTCGAGCTACATTCGACAATAAAAAACAATAGCTATCACATAGCCTACGCAGCTCTGTAATGCATGTTCTTCTACAACTCGTCGCAACGGCGGAAGGCGAGCGGATTACTAGATCCCAGCACAGTGATGGTGGATTGCCGTAGGAATGGCGACAATAGCGAGGTCCAATGACCCAACTTGGCGGGAGCGCTGAGACTCGCTAGCTCCAAGGTCTCTGAAGTTTGCGACCTTTCAACTGAGTGTCTATATCAGCACTCACACGTATCTACCGAACAGAGGCTAGTAAATTCGCGCACTCGTTTTCGTCGCGGTCATCCGAGCCAGCTCAACGGTCAATAACGTCACAAAAGAGCATCCAAGTCATATCAAGTTGATTTCAAGTTAATGCCACAGGAAGTTGGAAATATTTACCTTCAATCCCACCCACCGAATACTTATTCCCGAGCTAATATTGATAAGCAAGTGAACGTGATGGTCCAAATGGTCATGATGTGACGTCGGTCCATAAAGCTCATCATGCTTAACTTCCATAACCGTGTCGACTCGAATTCCGGTTCTTTGTGTTGGTCTGAATGTCCTATGTGTCGACTACTTGCTAATCAGTCGCACTCTTAGCCTAGGAGCTGCTCAGATCGGTCTATTTAGTCCATGAAGACGCACAAAAGACCAAGGACGCGTTCACCAGCCATGGCCACAGACAAATTGACACTGCTCGTATATATGGAGGCGGGACGTCAGAAGAGGTATAAGAGCGAGGTCTCCAAAATCTTCATCGCTCATTAATTTCATCGCAGATCAGATCATCAAAACTAAACTTGATCTGAAAGTGGATACAGTGTGTTTTCACTGCAAACTCGTTTGAGAGGCCTCTCAGATTTGTCGTCATGTGTAGGGTCTTGTGTGCCAGAGGGCCATGTGACGGATAAAATTCGGGTGGGGCTCGAAATTTCTATGGAGTTGCTGGGGAAACAGATATCAAAACACTTTTTTTCCATCTGTTCTATCTGCACAGGAGCGTTCCGATTGAAGATACACTTCGAACCATCAGTAAACTGCACAACGAAGGTCTCTCGTGATTTTTAAGCGACGAGTGCTTAACTTTCCCGGATGATTTGAACTCTGAACGGCAAGGAATTTGGGTAAGCAGGGGATTCCCATTCCCGAAGCTGCGAATCGTTGGCTTCAACTTGAATATCACGTCGGGTTGCAGCCCGGTGATGGCATTATTATTGGTGCCAGTAGTGTTGACTGACTCGAGAATAATCTGAAGGGTAATCTTTGATGGTGACAAACCTTATTGATCATACTATATTTTGCTAGCGAGAGTGAACCACTTCCTAACGATGTCGTCAAGTTGTTGTTGGATGCATGGGTGCGAACCAAGAGCATTGCACCGCACTACGCGTTTTAAGTCCTATCCTGCAGAACTCTAGTAGACTTTAGTGGATCACCGGTCGCCGTGCATCAATGAAATTCATAACGGCATACCTTTTTGTCCCTGATCGACGCCCATCGACGCCCGTTGAGGTACTGTTTTGGCGTTCAAGATTCTAGATCGTCGCGTTAGACTTATCGAACATGATGGCGACTTGGCAAGACCCTGGAAATCCTGGAAGATCCTTCGGACTTCCACTGTCATGCCAATGCCATCCCAGAAGTCAATGTTCAAGACTCTCTTACAGGAATCGTAGCTTCTGTAGCTTCACAACGAACAGTGGAGGGGGTGCGTGACGGAGTGCAAAAAGTCTGAGCAATTTCGAATTTACTATGAAGTTGGCTAGCAAAGGTGGCCGAAAATGGCAATGATCCTTCCAGTCGGATACCGGCGTGCCACCCCACCTCCCGCTCGTCGTGGTCCACCACGACGACGAGCAGTGTATCTGCGTCTGTATCCATATCCTTTTAGCCATCGTTTGACATGACGTCCACCATCCCTTTCCCTACGTCAAGCACACCCAGTACATCGGGAATTATGTCTGAGCCGCAACCAGTCAACCCAAAACATTCAGAACTGTCTATGGTGACATGTAACCCCCTCACATATCAAGTTTGCGACTTTGTATACGATAATTTCCCGTCCACGAGCTTTCTGGATACAGCTGAGCTCTTCTACGAGACTCGTGCAGGTCAGTAGATTGTTTGATATTTCCTTGCTTTCGCTCACGTTTTGTCTCCAGTGTAAGGATACCGTCATTTTCTTGTTTACTGTAATGCTGATTCTACCGAAAGTTACGAAAATCCCCTGATAACTGCCACGTCCCGCACCCTCATTGCAGATATTCATGCCCTCGTGCGCCAATTTTCTATAGTCGACATTCCAAAGCCATCCCAGATACTAGGCGCACTCCTGCCCCGAGTCCTCATCAAAGATTCCGTCAGCTCAGACCCTTGGTTTCGTGTCCTACGGATCTGGTCAGAAATTGAAGAATTTAGCGAGAGCGAGAGCTTTGGTCCGTCTCCTTGTCTCTACTTCCATAACAGCCTTCTCACGATCCTCACAGACGGCCACAAAAGGAGCATCGTCGAGCACACGCTCAACATCTTACTCTTCCCGGACTTGCACATGGGTTTCAAGATGCCCAAGTCGCTCTCCTTGCGCACGTCCGAGTCTACACCTGCAACTGAAGCTGTACATGAGCTCTCGCTAGTCTCTACCACCCCCTCGCTCCCAGTTCCCGGCACGCCATTCGCGGTTCCATCGCCACTGCACCTACAGCTTCACGTCATCACGCGTCTAAGCTTCAATGAGCAAGGACAGATCACGTATCATCGCGACGTGTGGGACATGCGTGATGTGATAGGGCTCGTACCAGGCATGCGCATCGCACAGTGGATCTTAGGGCGGGCTGGTGCGTGGGGGCTGAGCTGGATTGCCAAGAGACTGAGGTCCCAACCACACGGTACATCGTTGATCACGTCTGCTAAACGATAGTTTAGTTTTTTTGTGCTTCTCTGTTGTCCTTCCTATTATATCTCACGACGAGCATTGCTCTTCGTAATTTTAATTCAACTGTAGCTCATCCTCGCGCTCAAATTGCGTTGTGTCTCCATAGCCTTATACCCAATACCACGACTACATACTTCCCTGCATCAGGTCAATATTTTACTTGTCGAAGTTGGGGTCTCGCACTTTAGACATATCTTACATGTCAGACCAATATTGGACAGCATTCCACTGTGGCTTTGATCCCCGTTGTCAAATTGTTGTCGACGTTCGGTCTTCATAGCTTTGTACCTCATATCGCAACTATCCCATCCCATCAAGTCAAGTCAACTTGAATAGGTTTCTTACCGAGGCTGGAGACACGTCATCTTACATAGATGTCAAACAGCACAGGTCATAGATGCAGATCACCGACATTACTCAAGCTAGGTTACATGTCGCAAGTAGGCGGTGCACTGCGCCCGATGGTTTTCCCTGTTTCAGCCTGTTTTCCTATGATATAATCTGTACTCATTAATTCGTGCATGGCGAAGGAAGTTTATTATCTATGTTCTTCCGTTTCCTATGTATCAGCGCTTCCCCCAAGTCCCTCCGCTGCTCAGGCTCCCGGTTTTATAGCTTATATACAATCAGTACCCATCACGCGATTACGTCACTGTCAAAGACTGTCAGTGGTTGCATGGTTGCATGCCGAGGATGGATGTACTAGTACATAAACACTAACTTGAAAATTATATGGGCACAGCAGGTACGGTATATATATAAATAGCGGTGCATCACCTAGTATCACTTGATAGGTATAGACGCTGTTAGCGACCCTCCAGATTCATCTTGCCACTTTATCCCAAGGATTCGAATGCTCGGATCCATTCGTGTAGTCTACGACCACCGAGCGCTCGACGTGTACGCGTATGTCGAGCTCTACGCCATTGTTGGTGTGCGTATTACGCGGCGATGTCACGAAGTCAGCATCGCTTTTAGAGCGAAAACCGGTGATCACGTTCCTCGCACTTTGTGCGGGACGTGCGAGCACCACACTTTCCATACGTGGGACTTCTTGCATTTCTTTTTGTGCGATGTGTACGGGGCGGGCGCAACGGAAGGAGTGGAAATTGTGAACGTCAGCAGAAGAAAGGAACGCTGGGGCGCTGCGCACCTCGTAAATGAATGAGAATTCGTTGGCTCATGATCCATGTTACAGCATAACCTACTGATGCCCTGATGGTGTATTTTGAGCAGTCTGCTTCTCGATACATGATAAAGAACTTACCCTGCCGACTAATCATAGAAGCGGACGGACATCGCAATAAGTTTCCACGGCATACGGAAATTAGATATAATTACCTGAGTTTGGATATTAGATTCGCGATACAGTACTATGTTCAATATATTCGACCCTGAGGGAGCATTAGAAGGGTGGTTGGTACAAACAGAACTTACTTGCCTGTCAGCACAACCATATATCCAATGCCATCAAATATCAGGCTGAGTACAATCAGCAACGCCATGTCATTGAGCAGTGAGGGACTTACACCCGTACTACTCGTTCTAGCCTAACAGTAGTTCAGCAACTCTGAAAGTATAGAAGAAAGAAGATATGTACCTGCTGCTGAGAATATCGTATTGCAAAAGATGCGTGGTGGAAATCGCCAATATCATGAGATCGTACATCATCGCAATGACGTAGTAAAGCCAGGCGGACAATGTTTTTCCAGAATTCCCTGGGGTACAGCTACGGTTCAAGAGGATTTAAACAACCCACACTAGTGAAAGGTACCACTTACTTTCCCTAGAAACAGGACGCTTGTTCGCGTTAGATCTTGTCACGAGGAACGCCGACGTACATCAACAACAACGGCTGTTAGCTCAAACGGTCAATGCGAACCGAGATCAAAATATTGACCAGAGCTTACGGATCCGGTCAAACATATTGGTGAACCACTCCAGCTAAACCGGGTGAGTTACGGATGAGGCTTGTGCGTTAGGAACACACCGTAATTGAGGTGAAGAATAACAGCGCTAGAGTAATTCCGACCCGCCTGTTTCTCCTTGAAATATTCCATGTCCTGACGGTGTAAAATTCTGTACAGCTGGCGACACAAAAATTCAACATGTCATACCTGACCCCAAGGATGACTTGCGATACCATCGTTTGTAAAACTACAGCATGATCAATAAAGTCCTGGCAGGTGAACATCGGCAGGACATACCTTTGAAGATAGGCGCTATCATGTAGTAATGTTGACAAGTTTCTTGGGTGAAGTTGGTGGCGAAGTCTCCGTAATTGCTGACTAGCATGACTACGATACTGACATAGCTGTATCATTAATATAAGCAAAATTATTTTCATGATGGAACGGGGAAAGGTATACCGTATGAGGATGAATAAGACGCAGGCAGTACTGATGGAGAACGTGGTTGTCAATAGTGGAACGTAGCTAGCCATGTGTACCTACCTGAGATGAAAAATTGAGGATTGACTTCTGTAAAACCGCCATTCTGCGGGAAGTGTGATCACATAACTGAAGGTAGATATCGTTCAGAATAATCATAACACAGTGACTTACTATGGGTCCGTCACTCGACAAATGAAAGAAAGACTCACTCGTACAATGCAATGGAGATGGACGCAATTCGCAAATACTTATCCGAGGTTTCGCTGTCTACAACCGCACGCGAATCCATTTAAAATATGAGATCCAGTCTCGTGGCGCCTGGGGTGATTTTATACGGTAGCTCCGCGGAAGTTGACAGCAGGGTGATAGCGTATTAAGGAGGTCGATGAGTATCCAATCGGTTAACTGATAGATAAATAAATGACACAGATACTTCGCTTTAGACCGCAGGGAACTTGGGAGGCGAACTTATGAATAGAAAATCCACATATTAGTAGTGCTTTTCTAGGTACCAAGACTGCCAATTAAAGACACTGGAGTAGGCAATATTAGAAAGGGGAAAGCGTGGACAAGGTCCATCAATCGGACTTAGTAAAACCTTCTTGCAAAGTCCTTCGCAATGATGTTGGCAGTGCAAAGTGATACCGTGGTCCGTGACTGCGATGAACACGGGCTTGGGCCAACTTATGTAAGCAGGTGTCCCGAGCCTCTTGGAGCAATCACCAAGAAACACACCTTACATGTGAACTGTTGCGGTTGACCGTGACATTTCACGACTTCTTGTTTTACGACAACCGAAGAATTTCTAACTGCGTCACACCCTCACCATGTCGAGATTGCATGTGTGCCCGGCCACCATCGTGATGGCCACAGCATCAAGGGGAACAAATGCGCATACAATGAAGCAGCCAGATGCCACAAATCCCTTCCCACCACACGTGCAAACGCGCTGCAAAGGAATGAGGAAATGCTGTCAAGGAAATGATGGAAATTTGGCCATCCAAATCGGATGGTCTGCCATGGCAGACTAGGCTGTACTCGCAAACAAATTTCTGCTACCGCTTAAACCTGCGAGCATTCACCCACACTCCTAGCGAAGGATATGGCTGCCTTATGCAGTGCCGCACAAGGAAGATGCGGCCTCTATTGCACTCCTCATTTGTACCTATCAAATCCACGATTGGCCAATGCGGGGAACTATGTCAAAACATGGGAACATATCAGTCCTAAGCGGCTATCTACTATCCGACCACCAGTGCATCCATCTGCGCGAAGCAACTCGGGACATCAAATCAGCAAGACTATACGTATATATAAAGGATGGAGACACTAGAACACTTCTCATTTCTCATGAAAGTTCATGAGTGAGAAAACACCTAATAGTAGCGCACGCCAAGATCCTTCACCTCCCCCGCCGACTGGAGAGTGGAGCCGTGGTTCTATCACAGTCCTGCGAATTTGGTCCGAAATCGAACAATTCAGCGATAGCAACAGTTCGGTGCGTTTCGTACTCACACAAATAGCTACAAAAAGAGCATCGTCGCCTGCTTTAGTCACAGACCTACGCATAGGCTTGAAAACACCCGAGTCGTTCTCTGGGCCTACTCACTTCGCAGCCTGTTGTAACCACATAGGCGCTATGCCTGCGTACGTTGAGCTGTGGATCATTTTGCGTGCGTGGGGGGTCTCAACTTCCACTGGGAAGAGTACCTGGCCCCGAGTCTCCGCCACTCGACTCGTTCATTATAGTACACCTAGGCTGATCGCGAGTTCCACGATGTGGGACACGCACGATGTTGTAACGCTCATTGCATGACATGCACATTCTACAGTGAATCTTGGGGCGAGCGGCGCGTGGGGGTAGCTGAGACTGAGGAAGAGACTTGGGGATTTGGCCGCGGGTATATTATCTATAGGGCCCGTGCATTGCTCAATGCTGATCACGTCAGTGGTATCTTTTCTTTTCCCCCCTTCCCACCAACTCCCTACGAGTCTCGTAGCGATTACTGTCGTTTGTGATGGTAATCCTCTGTATCCCCTTATAAGCTACATGTAGCTTTAAGTTGAAGGTTACGTGGACAGCACCCTGGTGGTATCATACAGCGATATCACTCAAAAGTGACACGTTGGCTAACTCCTTGAGTGTAACTCAATCGTTGAAACTGCACTGTCTAGTTCTTGATTCCCTATCCTATATCCAACATTTCAGACCTGCGCGAACACGGCACTTGGGACAATACTAGTAGTACTGAACACGGGTATATGGATGACTTGATAGGCGCTGGTGCCTCCAAGTTCATTTCACCGCCGGCTTATCCCACGAATCCGAATGCTCATAACCATAGTCCACCTTCACCGAACGCTCGACGCATACACGTATATCAAGTTCCACGTCGTCGGGATGTCCATTACGAGATGATGTGGGCGGGGACTCTGGATCGATGGGACTTTTAGAGTGGCTTTTAGATTCGAACTGTGAGCGGAGACCGGACACCACGTTCTTCCGCGCACTGCTGTGTGTGGGACGCGCGACGACCACAGTTTCTAGGCGTCGAGGGTCTGGCTCTGACATTTCTTTGCGAGGTGAACGGAATGAAAATTGCAGGTGTCAGCGGAAGAGCAGTCAAGCTCTGGAGCAGTGCGCACCTCGTATATTTATGAGGATCCGTTGGCTCATAATCCATGTTACAGCATAACCCAGTGATGCCCTAGTGAAGCATTCTGAGCGGTCTGAATCTCCTTGATACCAGACGATGCGAAACTTACCCCGCCAACTGGTAATAGGAACGAGGTAACATAATTGTTATGAACTTCTATAGCGATAGGGGAAAAAGCCCACGTACTTGAGTCTCCGAATCGGTCGTATGATAAAGAATGAGGTTCAATAGGTTTGCCGCTAAGGAAATTTTAGGGGGTGATCGTCACAGGCAGAGCATACTTGCCTGATAGCACGATAAAATATCCAATACCATCATAAATCAGGCTAAAGATGATGAGCGGCACGCATCAACTCTACCAGTAGTGTGGGACTTACACTCGTACTAATCGACCTACTCTAACAAGAAGAGTTTAGCGAATCTAAAGACAAAGAAGAGAAAAGGCGCACCTGCTGCTCAGAGGATTATAACGCAGAAGATGCGTGGTGGAAACCGTCAACATCACGAGGTCATACAACATCACAGCGAGGTAGTAGAGCCACGCAGATAATGTCTTACCAGAATCTACCGGGGTGCAGCTATGGTTCATGAGGATCTGGAAAATACACTGGTCAAGGAACCACTTACTTTCCCTAGAAAAGGTACGATGTTTGTGAGATCTCATTGTGAGGAACACTGACGTACATTAACAACGACAGCTGTTGGTTCTGAAGGTCAATGCGAATCAAGGGTCGTAATATAGGCCAGAGCTTACGGATCCGGTGATATAGATCAGTGAACCATTCCACCTTACACATATAAGAAAGAAGATGATGTTCTTGTGGCAAAGGCCTACCGAAATGGAGATGAGGTATAGCAGTAACAGTGCAATTCCTATCCTCCTATCTCTCCTTGCGATATTGAATGTCCTACGGGGTGTTTAAGTCTGTGCACCCATGAAAAATCGATAAGACATACCTAACACCTAGGATAAACTGTGATACCATAGATTGCATAACTACAACGTGGTCAATATAATCCTGGTAGGTGAGCACCGATAGGACAAACCTTTGAAGGCAGGCGTCGTGAGATAGTAATGTTGACACGTTTGTTGGCTAAAGCCGGTGGCGAAGTATCCATAATTGCTGAATATCATGACCAGGGCACTGACATAGCTGCATTAAATGTAAGCGAAAGAGAATAATTACGTGTCAGAATGTGGATAGAACATACCGTATGAGAACAAACAAAACGCAGGCAAGGCTGATAGAGATTTGTCAACAATGATATGTGAATGTCGAATATTCGTGTATCTATAAGTACCTGATACGGAAAATTGACGGTTGACTTCGGTAAAACCGCCATTCTGCAGGGAGTGTGATGATATAACTGAACGTAGATGTTGTTCAGAACACAGTGATCATTTGGAGACTTCAACCCAACAAAAGAAAGAAAGACAATGCTCACTCGTAAAACGCGATAGATATGGATGCTATTCGAAAATATTTTTCCGAGGTTGAGCTATCTAAAGCCAAATTCCGTTCCATTTAATAGATGAAAGGCGCGTTTATTCCGGTGTAGTAGCTGTGTCAGGTGGTTCTGCCGTTCTAGCCTTGATAGATAGAGGCGGGGGAGAAGGTATACAGCTCAGAGCCGTGTCCGAGCAAGTTGATGACGCAGAGCTTCTTCTGCGACTAGGCACGGTACGTATGACCCGGACGGAAATTCGATTTCGACGGAGAAAGGAAGCAAGACCGTTGATGGAGAAATTTAAAGGCATCGCGACTTTGTACCATATCTACTCTTTGAAATTGATTCAACATGATGCTCCGAGTCAGCAGGTAAATAGAAAGCCCTAGCAGGCAATCCAAAGTCGTCCCTAGATCGGAAATATTCGGTAAAATGTTCGTGAAGGCCAATAAGACGTCGCAATATTCATTCAATTGCATGTCCTGGTCATGTTCAAGTTCAATGAGCAAGTTGAGGTACACCCCCTGCATGAATTTGCTGATGTAAGCACTCCTTCGTTTTGGCCTGGGCTCTAATTCATAGTGCAACTTGATTACTCTCCAAAAGTCACTCGTACTACTGTCGCCGCGAAGCATTAGAGTCTCATGGCTTCGCCCTAAAGGTACGGTCTTACTTTCTACGAGGAACACACACTGTCAGATATCCAATCCTGCCCACACGTAGCCTAGAACGTTCAAAACGTTCGAATCTGAGATAGATTTATATCTACTATATATCTGGACACGTAGAAAAATTTCCCAATATTACCGTGCGACCGTACCCTCACCAACATTGGATCCCACGAGTCTAAAGTTGATGAAGGGCGGGGGTCTGGCGCGTCTCGTTGCCTCTTCCTGCTCATAATAGTACTTGACATTCTTACAGCCCTCAATGAACCCATATATATTATCCTGACTGGTCACTGCGCAAACTCGTACACATGATTTCCTCCGATCTGCCAAGGTGTTCCATTCACCCTGTGGCCCAACAGAATAACTCCCGCCATCCCCCGGGCCACACCGTACCCGCGCATGCTGGCACATGCAGCGATGACTGCTCGTTGACGGAACTCAGGGCTGAAGGACATATATTCACTGATGATCAAATACTGTCGCTCAGCATAAGCAGCATCCCTTACGCCAACAAGGTAGGAGTCTGGCGAATTTTCATCTACTTCTGTAACGAAAAAACGACTATTGACACCGACCCGGAAGACCATCATGGCTCAACTCGGTGCCTAGCCGCGTATCTCCTTACAAATGCGTAATGACTCACAAAGCTTTCAGTTTATTTTCCTCCGGAACCAGTGAACGTCAGGCGGAATGCATCATTCCTATAACTTCCACAAACCGTTGTTCTCTTCAGTTTGTTCGGATAGTGTCTCGGTCTTCGTGGGTGTGTTATCCTTCCAGGTGAAATCAAACGTGTTTCTGCAATCCGCCTCTCGCAACTTGTCAAAGGGTCGTTATTTCATTCCTCGCAGCGGCGGCATCGAAGAGTGTTTCCTTCTACTTGTACAAAACGGGTAGCATGCATATGTCCATTTCTTCAAAACAAGTAAATCAGTCTAGTGCTTGCATATTACATGACATGTATATGTTGCCTAGAATGATATATCACTGCAGATAGCGTTACACATATTAACAGCGAAGTTGCACATCCACGCCCAGATTCAATTTTCCATCGGATTATCCCATGAACTAGAAACCCCACATTCATCCGTGTGGTCCAACGTCACCAAGGGCTTGACACATGTACATATGTCAAGTTCCATGTCATCAGTGCGCACACCATCGAACGATCTGAGTCCAAATTCAGGATCAATATGATTTTTGGGGCTGAGCGGAGAACGGATAGCGGACACCACGTCTCGAGCATTTTGTGGGGAACGCGCGGCGACTATGTTGTCCAAACGTCGGTTCTCTGCTTCTGAGAGCTCTGTGTATGTAATGGGGGCGGAGGAGCAACGGAACGAGTGAACATCAGCGTAAGAGCAGTAAAATTCTGGAGTGGTGCGCACCTCGCAGATGGATGAGAATCCGTTGGCTCATGATCCATATTACAGCAAAACCTATTGATGCCCTAGTGGTTCCCTGTGAGCAATCCTGTGATGGACATTGCAAAACCTACCCTGCGGCCTAATAGGATGAGATCAACATAAGCGCACTAAGCTTCCATGAATCATGGTATATAAGCCGTACCTGGGTCTGGATATTGGATGTATGATAAAGGACGATGTTTAATATGTTCGATCCTGATGAAATACTGCTCAGTGGTGTGTGCCAAGCACAAGTAGAGCATACCCACCTGTCAGCACGACGAAATATCCAATGCCGTCATAGATCAGGCTGAGCAAGATGAGCGACTCTGCATCATTTTGAGAGTATCGAGGGACTTACACCCGTACCAGCTGTTCCAGTCTAGCAATAGGTCAGCAACTCTAATCGTTGAGGAAGAGGATAGGTGCACGCACCTGTTGCTGAGAGGATTGTAGCGCAGAAGATATACGGTGGAGATGGTCAATACTGCGAGGTCATACAACATCGAAACGGTGTAGTAGAACCATGCCGACAGTATTTTACCAGAATTTCCTGGAGTGCAACTATGGTTCATGAGATTTTGAACAAATTGGTAGAAGCACCACTTACTTTCCCTAAAAACTACGCTGTTTGCGTGAATCATGTTACGAGGAACATTGACTTACACTAACAACGACAGCTATTGGTTCTGATGTCAACATGAACTCGAGATCAAAATATGGGCCAGAGCTCACGTATCCGGTTGAACATATTGGTGAACCACTCCAGCTAAACTAGATAAGAGAGATGTTACACAGGAGTCGTAACAACCCACCGAAATTGAGACGAAGTATAGCACCACTAGTGTAATTCCTATCCGCCTATCCCTCCTTGCAATATTGAATGTCCTGTATGACGTAAAATTATGTAGAGCCGGCTGCCCACAGGACATACCTGACACCTAGGATGACTTGTGATATCATAGTCTGCATAACTACAACATGTGTGAATAGAGTATTGGTAGGTGAACGTCGATAGGACAGACCTTTGAAGACAGGCGCAACCATATAGTAATGTTTACACGTTTCTTGTGTGAAACCAGTGGAGAAGACTCCGTAATTACTGAGTATCATGACCATGATACTACCGTAGCTTCATAAAAGTCAGCGAAAAAGTCGCACGACGGGACGAGGACAAACGTACCGTATGAGAATGAATAAGATGCAGGCAAGGCTGTCGGATTGCGGTTGTCAGTGGTGGCACGCGAATACCCGTATGTACATACCGGAGACGAAAAAGTGACGATTGGCTTCGGTAAAACCGCCATTCTGCAGGGAGGGTGATGATATAACTAAAGAAAATCGGTCATGACCACGGTACCGTGGCTGGAAAAAAACCTTACTCATATAATGCAATGGAGATTGATGCTATCCGCAGATACTTCTCCGTTGCTTGGTTTTCCACGACTGCAAGCTCTTTCATCTATGAAATGAACCAGAAAATTCAGATCAAGGTTAGTCGGTATGGAGTTGCGGATATAATTGTTGCGCAAGTTGGGCAGCGGTCGCGGATTCGAATTAGGATGGGGGACGACGTAGATAAAAAAAATGTAAATGTAAATGTAAGAACGACTGTATGTGAGTGAGTTGATGGCGAAGATCGATGGACTGGACGCTTCGCGTTGAAGCAGAAGTTAGGGAAGCAAGATTAAGAGGATGATTGGCAAGGCATTAGAATTTGAATCGGTGAATGGATGAAAGACCTGAGTACATAGGCAATGGAAAATTGACCAACTTATTAAGCGATCTTGTTCCTCAATAGCCTGTAACCCCCCGTAGCCGATCCAACGCAGTGGTTAGTTAACCTTTTGGCGTGAGATGCGGGCAATTAGCTAAGTCACAACATTGACGGGTGCCTCAGGGAGTCACAAACGTTAAAACAAGCTTATAAAGGAAGCGCCAAGTGATCGATCATGCACATGACATATGCACTATCTTTAGACATAGCCGCTTATTTTAGTAAATTCCTTTCGATAATCAGCGCCCATCTAGCTTGTCTCCCCTTGACAATATATACTACAGGCTATAGATAACCGGTTGATGGGCTTTTCTACACGGTCTAGCCTTCCAACTGCCGAGCACATGTTACCGACACTCGCGCACGACAGCTTTCATATGCATTCCAAGAACCGCTCAATGTGCGGTGGCATGTCAGATGCACATCGTTGTTTGTTCACCGAGGTCATGTGGAGACGATCACAAGCACCACTGTGGGGAATAGTCACCTTGCTTGTTTAAGTTTCTTGCTCCACCATATGCCGAACCCCTGCCAGCAAAGCTTCCGACGGTTGATTCGCTTGCTGCAATTTGCACCGGGCTGTGGTGGTAAGGTGTACGTTTAAGTCCAGTACCGCACCTCTAGAGCACTGAGTTGGACATCTGCGTCCGATCTCACCTGATCTATCATGAATCAGTGATTAGCTACAAGAGGTCTGAACTGAATCGTAGATACGATCACAAATACCTATCTTTTTTAAGGGTGATGTCTTTCTCGTCATCCATCACCCTCGAAGATTTAAGCGTCTTGTCCGAGTCCGCGGTAATATGCTAACCTTGTCGTATACCGCATTGGAAGCATGACTGCACAATAGTACTCAGAGCTCTTGCAAACCGTACTCAGTCTAAAACTTACTCAAACAAACTTATCATGGCCCATCATAGCGATACACCGTGTGTGCATAATCCAACACCTGAATTATTGCAATATCGGTGCCAAACACACCCTAGTGTCGGAAGTGAGAAAGAGGACTAGGAACGATGAAATAGGCACTTTCCAATTGTCTTGCCTAGTATAAAAAACTTGTTTATCCAGATCTCTGGTATTCCTTGCCAACTTCAAGGTCCAGCATAGCACCTTTCCTGGAACGCGCAGGTAACGATACCGCATAGGAACAATTATGCTTTACAGCTGCAAGCAAGGCCTTCGTTGTCGATGCGCGACCCCAAGTTCCGAAGCAAGAGACAACATCAAACACTCAGCCCCCCATCAATATATCTACATCTAGTCTTGTCTTCATATCTTGCAAAGGTTTAGCCCAAAGGTTCATCCACGGACCACGGGTAGGCAAACGACCAATCATGTGCTCACCAGATGCCGACTTGTGAATGTCGCGTCTTACAACTTTCATCGCAGAACGACTCGAAGGAGGCAATACGACTATCTTTCTCGTCGTTCTTCACACGAAAACACCAAAAACAGCGTGAATAAATTGCATATCCAACCTGCCACTTAAGCACCACTCCGGCCTGCAGCTTTGATGACGGCACCATTAGCTAACTGCGGCAATATCTTGTTTGGTGCTGACGAAGACGGCGCTGGCAAGAATCCCGCTCCGACTAACCACGCAAGGTACCTTCCCATCAGCTGATCTGAAACAGTGAACGTGCACTGCTGCCCTTGGGAGTGCAACAACGCCATAGTGTTAGTGGCGTCAAGCTCGGGAGCTTTCGTACTCGTCGGTAAGTCATCGAGAACGAAATGGAGGAGGGGGAAAAGAGCGTTATCTTGGGCCTCCATGACGTGCTGCTCCAGCTTGCGACGCCATATGAGATACTCGCATTGCTGTGTAGGGAACCCATACTCGGCCAATGACGAGAGGATGTTGTTGAATGTCGGAGGAGGCACCGCAGTGATGTGCAGTACGCTTTGCGCAGCATTTGGCAGGGGCTCCACGGCAGCGAGGGCAGTGCAACGAGCAACATGATCCACAGGCACCATGTTCACGGTGTTGTTGATATCTGGGACAAGGCCGAGCTGGACGCATCCCTTGACCATGCGCCAAATAAAGTCGTCGGTGTTGGTCACTATGGGGCGCCGCAATCAATCTGTCAACATCTCACAGAAGAGGAGTTTCATACCTGCAGTGTGAGAGTCGCCAACAATATAACCGGGCCGCACGATATGGCCCCGTAAGCCCCTCCTACCAGCTTCAAAGAGCAGCTTCTCCGACACCCACTTGCTCTGCCCATAGCCGGACTTGAGACCCACTTTTGCACCATCCAGGTCATCATCTTCCGGAATACCTCCCCGCGAGTCTTGAGACTGTGCCAGAGAGTCGGACAACCGCACATAGTGCTCGGTGTCGATCGCCGATGTGGATGAAACGAAAACAAGCAGCTTTTGCTTTTTCGTCGAGGCAAGTTCCACAGCAGTCAAGGTACCGATCACGTTCGGTGCACGAAGCCTCTCGTACGGGTACACCCAATGCACCTGCGCAACACATCGTTAGATATCATCGCATGCATGCGAAAAGGTAGAGTAGCTCACCAGGGCACCATTGTGCAAGATGACGTCCGCCTCAGCAGCGACTCGTGACCAGACTTCATCGCCCATACCGAACAAATCAAGGCCAAGGTCTCCAACCACCACCTCCAGTCTACCCGAGGTGAACCACTGCTCATCCCAAACGCCTCGATCATTGGACCCTTCTCTAAGGCGCGCCACACCTTGTTCGACGCTGGGCGCGCGTACGAGACAAATGACCTTCCGAACCCTATCAAGGCGCTGGAGGAGATCGCGTAACACAAAAGCCCCGAGATAACCAGTAGAACCCGTCAAGAACACAGTTACAGCACCCGACTTGAAGTCCTCAGATATCGGCGAGTACGAGGGTTGCAAGCGTTGAACGAGCGTCTCATAGTCCTGTCCGTACTGAATAGCAGGATTCAATTTCACGGACGCCTTGACAGGCGTCGCAGGGCGCGTCTCAGCGTCCGCGTAAGCGATACCAAAGTCCGGATCACGAAGCGCATCTAGCGCACAAGCGAGGCCCGTGATAGTTGGCTGGTCGAAGATAAGGCCAAGTGGAGCTTCGACAACGAAGATTTTGCGGATCTCGAAAATGAGACGCGTGGCAAGGATGGAGTGACCGCCCAGGTCAAAAAAGCTTTCGTCGAGGGGGATAGGCGTGGGCGCGTTCGGGAGGATACTAGCCCAGATAGTGCGCATGGTTTGTTCGGTGGGGCTCGCTGTGCGCCTGTTAACAGTCTTTTTGGGTTCGGAGTGCACAGCGTGGGCATGTGCCGTATCGGGGAAGGGAAGTGCGGGTTTGTCTATTTTGCCATTAGGGTTGAGGGGCATACGATGCAGCGGAACGAACACTGTAGAAAGAGAGCTAAGTAAAGGAAGTGGAGCAAGGCAACGATCAATCCTACATGATGGTATGCTGTAACTAGGCAGTTTCTTTTTGAGGTGCTCTCTAATATCCTTGATGAGCCGTCTATACTTTGGACTCTTGCCATCAACCTCTTCGTCATCCTCTGTGAGCTCGCTGGCAAATCCATCCAGATTCGAACTTTGCAAAGGCACGAAGTAACTGACAAGGATCTTTTCCTCGTCCTTGTCTCTCCGCACGAGTGTGACGTTTTCTCGCACAAGCGGGTGCTGGCTCATCAACGTATCGATCTCCCCAAGCTCAATCCTGAAACCACGGATCTTGACTTGGTCATCTGCACGCCCTGTACACTCAACGCGTCCATCAGGGAGATATCGACCAAGATCGCCCGAACGGTACATCCGGTCACGGATGCCCTTCCAATGACGTGACTCGGGCCCAGCGAGGCCCTGAGGTGGGTGTAAAATTGTGTCCCTCCAGGGTAAAGTGGAAGGAGAGAACCAATTGCTAACGAACTTCTCGGCGGTAGCTTCGGTATCGAGGTATCCCTCCGCTAAGCCTCCAGATCGCACATAAATCTCTCCGACCTCTCCCACTGCGCAAGGGACATTTCTGTCACTGCGATTGACAACAAGGAGCTGCACGTCAATCATGCCCTCTCCAGCTGGCATGATGTCCTTCTGAGTGGCGAGGAAAGTCGCGTCCACGGATAAGGGTGGAATCGCGAAGTAAGATACAGCGCGTTGCGTCTCTGTTGTGCCGTACATATTGATGATCTGCACATTTGGGGCGAGAGCTTGGAGGCGGAGGCAATCGCGCTTGGTTAGGACGTCACCGACGAAGAATGCGTTCTGTAGGGATGGGATCTGGCGCGTTGCTTGTGCAGAGAGTAGCTGACCCATGGCAGGGGTTAGGTGCGTGACTGTAACCTTGCTGTCGTCCATCCATTCTGCGAGACGGCCGGGTGTACCGATGTCTTCCGCGGTGGGTACATGAAGCTCTGCACCCAAGAAGAGGGGCGTGAAAACTGTAACGTTAACCTCATCAACGGATGTATCTGCTTGAAAATATAGTACGTACTATCACGTTGGATGGGATCGTGGGCGATCCCGCTTAGCATTGTGAACTTGGAAGTTTCAGTGAGTAGGAAGCGGTTGCCCATCCAAGGGAAAAATGCGTGAGACTGTAATGGCGTCCTCGAACACCCTTGGGGATGCCAGTGCTTCCACTGGTGAAGGACAGCGTGCCGATGCTGTCAGGACCTAAAAT